AAGTATACTATGAACACAATATATCATGTATAAACACAATCAACGGAATTATAAGGAAATTTAATTAATCAATTTACTTCCATTTCTTACCTTTTTCATCGTCATTGTGGCACATTCTTTTATGCTCTGTGAATCTATTTTGTTCAACCCACAACGATGGCAAATGAATGAGGAAGAATGGAACGAGAAATGATAAGAAAGTGTCACAGCTATTCCATTCTTGTCATTTTTACCCTTTTGTTTGTGTATATAATAAAATATTGTGCTATGGAGTACATCCAAAAAGAGCTATTTATAGCTGACATGATAGAAAGAGAGGAAAAACTGCGAAGCAGAACAAGAAAAATATCACTAAGCATTTTCTTGATACAACTTGTTCCATTGTCTACGTTCTCAAGTAGACGTAAAAGAGAAATGAAAGAAATTATTATTTTTTTTATTTGTGTGATTGCTGTTTGCAACCATAGTTATGAAGAACTGGGGATGTTTATATTAAAATTGAAAAGTTTCTTCTTACTTTTAAACATTTTAAAGTTTATCGGTTTTCAGAGAAGCTTTTATTTTCTAAAATAAATATACCTTCAATTTCCAATAAAGTAATTCTCCCTTGAACTTTACTTCTGTTTACTCTTTCCAAGCATAAATATCTTAAGCGATTTTTCATTTTGAATAGAAAAACGATTCAGAAGTATAAAGGATTCAAGCAGGGTTGTGCATAACTAAGATTTTATATTTTTCTCGAAATATAGCTTAATTGAAACTCTCGGGATCTTATCTGAGCACTGATTTGATTGTGTCTGTAGTAAAGCTTTCAAATTTATTGTTCAAGTCTCTAAAATTCATAAGAATATATCGATAATTAATCAGTTGCAAATTCAAGTTAAAAGGCTCTTTAGACTTACCCTTTCCTAAAAGGATCACAAGAGTCATCCTCTACTATTACAGTCATGTTAGAAGCTTCTCATAAATTTTTTTGAGATTTTCTCTTTAACAAAAGTGCAAGATTGAAAATTGACAGTATCGAGTGATTTAGGTTGGTATTTATGAATCTTTTTCTCATTGTACCATTTTCAATCTTGTTAATATTAGGATACGTAGCTTTTTTGAAATTGTTTAAAATGTTGATAATCATATTGCAGATTTTAACAGCAATTAAGATATTTATTTTAAAGTCTGAAATATTTATTTAAAGCATTTTGCTACTGGAATGCAATCTTGATTTCCAAAATTGGAAATTTCAATTAAAATTTACGAAAGTTAAAATGTGCCATAGTGACAAAAAAAAATTAAGGAATGAATCTAAATAATATTTTTCATTGTGTAATGTTTTCATAACACAAAATTACTGTTAATTAAATTTTCACATCCTTAGCCTTTCAGTTATTTTGTTTATTCGTACTGCTGCACATTATACATTTTCATTACATCCGATAAGCAAATATGTCAAATCTGACATGCATAGAATAAGCTACACATCAGCATTTATTCATATTACGTAATACTCTGTAAATATTGATTGTAATGTCATGCTTAATATCCAAATTTCTGAGAATTCTAAATCCATTTTCATTCAAAAGGGGCTATTCATAAATTTTCCTCAGTCTTATGAATTATTTCACTTATTTTTTATTCAAAAGAAGGCTTCTGACTAGAAATTGAACCCATAAATTATTGACCAGCTTTTTTCCTTTCACTTTTTTCGGATAGAAACATTCAATCTTTAAGGTGGAAACCCTTTTCTGAATCCAATTAAAATTTCAATCAATTGCAACAAAATGTTATTAATTGAGAGAATTCCTCCGAAAGGATTTATAATAGCTCCTGTTTTTGAGAATATTTTGTGGTTTGGTATGCAATATTTTACTTTTTGTGGAAGATTGATTGGAGTCTTAAAGCTATGCTCACTATCATACAAAGTTAATCAAAATAGGATTGAGTTTCAAGCCGTTCATCCAGATCTAATATAAACGAAAGAATTAAACTTTTGAACTATTAATTTTTTAAAACCTTTAGGAACAATAAATTAAAAACTTTCTTGTTGAAAACTTGAGAAAATAAATTGGAAAGGATTTTGATGAGTGATAAAACCATTTTGTGCTGCGGTTTCAGACTAGATAAGAACACTTTACTACTCATTCCTTCTTTAATCTTTTTCTCTCTATTAAAATTATTCAAATTCTATGGGATTTTACAAAAGCAAATTTTACATTTGAATAATCTACACAGGACTTGAAGAGATAAATGGGGTCTAATATAATTTTCAAGTAAATTGCTGTCCATTTGTTATAAAATGAAATTATTTTATTTCATTACGTCATTCTATTTCTACCTGCTTTATTTGTTTGTTTCCTTTTTTTTATGTGCTGTGCTTATTTGCAAACCGCTTTTTATTCCCTCGCACATTTTTTCGTTTTCATTTCTACTTTGGTACTAGCTTATGTGGATTGAAAAAGAGAGCCTTTTTTTCGAACTTTCTTTTTCCATTTATGTGATTTTTATGGTTTGAAATTTTTCTTTTGAAAAATTTTAAACATCTACAAAAATTATCTAAAAATCGTAAATCTGTTCCTTAATAAATTGTTGAGTTTAATTGAACTGATTTAAATTGTTTTGAAAAAAAATTGAAACCGTTAATAATCAAGAATGTTAAAGCCTTCACTCCGACAATCTATGTAACCTTCACATTTCATCCTCAATCTCTTAAGGTATATCATTTAATACAGTAGAAAATTGGAATGAAATCTCGATGGAAGAAGCAGACAACAACAATAATAAAAAATGTTTAAGGTTCATTCATTTTAGATGAACAAGATGGAAAAAAAATTTTATTAGCACAATTTGTAGTCCATAAATTAAGAAAAAATATTCAATGCCAAAGATGGAAATTTGAGCTTATACTGTTTGAAGGTAACAAAGGTGGAATTTGTAAAAAAAAGGCACTGGATTGAAACTTGAAACAATTTTAATAAAAGAAAGTAAAAGTTGAAGGTTTTGCGTTAGGTTTCTCATAATTTTGCAAAAGATAAAGTAACTCCAAATAAATTTATCTTTAATTCTTAAAATGTAAATAATCTGTATTCCTAGCTTGATATAGATTTCAAGGAAATCTTAGTAAGAGTGTGTGTATACTCTAATTTTCTGTTTTTAAGGAGCATAAAACAAAGAAAAGAAATATCAATGTAAGGAGGGTGACACAATTTCAATTAATGTTAATCAGAGCATGAAAATTTCTCCGAAAGAATAAAATTTTTACTTATTTATGGATTCTACATCTGTGCTGCTTTGTTCGTTCTTCTCCATTTAAACTTTTTCACCACTGATTTGCTTTTACAAACTTATCTCTCGTCTAATTTTGTATGTGTATGAAAAGTATATTTCGGATTTACTTACTTTACATCTTTAAAAATTCATGAGGCATTCGGAGATTCTAGCAATTCTATTTTAAAGTTTCAGCGTCATTGATACTTCGACACTGTTACATTTTTTCATTTTTAGGTCAACACTGAATTATATTTGATAAGAATCTGTAAAAATCGATATAAAACAATAATTACGGCAAAGCTTATGTTTTAGTCATTTTAATCTTATTTTAAAAATCTAAATAAGTACAAAGCTTTAAGTATCTGTAAATAAGTAATTATAGAGTTTTTTTTTTTCATTTAAAATTCTTAACTGGAATAAAAAAAGTTTACTACTGACAAGAATGCTTTACTTCATTTCAAATTGGACATTCATGCCGATAAAACATGGATTTTAAAATTTTGTTAGCTTTAAATTTACTGCATATGTTGCTTATTCTTCGTTATTCCGACACATCACGAAACACCGAAGTAGCGATTTTAAAGATTCCAACTGTTGAAGATCAAACCGTTGAGTGGACTGGCGTTTGTGATCATGTAGTCCAAATGATGATAAACAGTGAAGAATCCGCTAATAGAAGCATCGACGTGATAATTTATCAAATGGGATGGAGATTAAACAGATTTAACTATGAAGGTTTTGAACAAATGCTGAGCAAATATGGAATTGAAAACATTACGTTAAGGTTATTTTTCAAGTATAACGAAAAAATGAATCACAAATCAAATTTCGTAATTCTTTTACTAAATGATGTAATTTCATATATAAACAAAGTGATTGAAATTGACTTTAAAAAAATGTTTAGTGATCAAACGACTAATTTCTTCGTTATTATGAAAAATTCTCGTATGCTTAAACCAACATGGGTATCGCTTATAAAGACGCGATATTACAATGCCTATTTCATTATCCTCAAAAAGGATAAAATTTTCGAAATGAGTCGAACTGTAATTACAGGTGAGGGAAGTAAAGCAAACTTAGATCTAAAGGAAACCAGTGTCATCAAGTATCAAACAATGAAAGAAATTTTGAAGAAAAATCAAGTTTTATCATACAACATAATATTCTACAACTCATTTCCAATATCTTACATGAAGAATGGAATTATGGTTGGACCAGCGGGAAACACAATTCAAGAGTTTAATAAGCAGACTGGAGCATCATACAATATATTAAACGATCCATCATCCGTTCCGTCAATATCAAAGATCTATGGACTCATGCAATATTACGGCGATGTTTGTTTTTATTTAAACTTGTATTTTGATAGTTCAAAATTTATAGTTGTTTGGACAAATCTAAACGACGGAATGTGCTTGCTTGTTCCTCGAAATATTCATGTATCATCCTTTGAAAATTTCACACTCCCACTTGATGAAACATCAATTATACTGGCATTAACTTCTACTTTTCTGGTAATTTTATGTTGGAAATGCATTTCGATCATAAAAAAGCGTCACCGTTCAATCTCATCAATTAGTTTTGCTGTATATGATTTAGCATTGAATTTTGGAGCATCTGGATTGGAAGAACTCACCATTCATGAGAATTTTCTTATTTATTCATACATCTTCAGCTCATTCATTCTTGTCTCCTTCTATGAATCCATTTTCTTGTCTCTTATGCTCACGGAAACCACAATGAGATCAGCAAAAAGTGTCCAAGAGCTCATAGATACAGAGACTAAATTCTATAGTTACATAGACACATCTCGTCAATCATATGAACACATTCCAATCATTCCAGATAATCTCATCATTAAGAAAGTGGACTTAGCATTTTCAGTTTCGCTTCAAGTTCCAATAAACTTTGACAAAGATTTGGTTTACTTTGTATTTTGTCAATATGCTGATAATTTTATTGAGTCATCGAGAAATTTACTAGATGGACAAGCAATGTTTGACAAAATAGTTTTAAAGGAAACTTACCAACGTTTTATGGTTCGAAAGGGATTCTTTTTCGTTGATGAATTTACGACACTAATCAATAACTTACAGGAATCTGGAACATACAAATTTTGGTATAAACAAGCAAACGAAAAATCTTTAGGAAAGTTGCAGGCAGTTGAACATACTAAAGAAAGTGCATTCGATGTAATATCATTCAGTGGAATGGCAATTCCACTTATTGTGTTACTTGTTGGGTGTTTTGTATCATTTATGTTTTTTATATTCGAAAACATTGTTAATAGATTAAAAGAATCATGCTTAAATCGAATAGTACTTATGAGAAACAGAGTTAAAGGTTTGAAGATAAAGCGAAGTGTTAACTTAGATAAATGGCTGCAAAAGTATGTCTACAAAAACAAATTTAAGGCTGATGAAACTATTAAGGCACGAAAAGACGAGATTTTACGAGTAATTGATCAGATGTATTCAACTGACATGAGAAGCGATACATTGAAAAGTAGAGAATCTTTGAGTGGAACTTATTTTTCATTAAAAAAATTTAAGAAACAAACAAGGCAACGGTGCCGACGTAGAATTATTCAAGTTAAACCTTGTTATACAGAATCAAGTTTGTGAATAGGTTGATCAAATTTTTTATTGACATTGCACTTTATGACTTTATAAAATTTTTTCTAGTGCAAATTTTAAATAATAGATAAAGATTTAAAATATTCTTGTAGATTTTATTTTCTAATTTGTGTCTATCTCATATATATTTCGATTGGGAAACTGCATGCATAGATGATTTTTTAATTAATAAAAATTATGACTGAAACATATTCATAAAATTCTATGTTTGATTTGCTTCGTGATTCTTCAAATATTCCACGTCTTGCTACTCTATGCTTTAATTTTATCTTGAATTAAATTGAGGAATTTCTATTTACCGCATCCAAATTTATCAATATCCAATGACTCGTCTGGTCTTTAATTTTAATCACCAAGTTCGAAACTAATAAATTCTGTCATTTTTAATTTTTAAATCTATGAATTTCACTCTTAAAGTTCATCTCAATTTATGACACAAAATGTTAAGAATCACCAGATTCACCAACCACTAAACTTTTCCCTTAACCATGCACTCCTTAATTCCATCCAATATGAAACTTTTTGATATGAAATAAATGAAGAAGACTTTAAGAAGTTTTTCACAAAGTTTCATCCATTCTTCTCCATCTTCACCAGTCTTTCAACAAAATAAATTCCATGGAACAACATCGTCGACTCGACTTTCATCATCTCATTTCTTATTCCTTTCTTTTTCATTTTTCATTGCTATGTGCTGATTATTCAAGAAAAATACTTATGTACTAAAATAAATGTCTTTTTTTTCTACTTACAGGATTTCCCAAAGTGGTAACTGATTGAAAGATTTCAAAAGCCTCTGTCTCAAGAGTGTCACATCTTATTTTATGTCAATTTATCATTTTCATTTCTCTTCTATGTTTCTCATCTTTTTCCCATTTTGTATACAAAAATAAATTTCGTATGCGATTCGCGTTTAAAAATCAATACTTAAAGGTGCCTTCTCCATCAGCAAGTGCTGGACAGATTCCAACAAGTCTTCGTAGATCATCTGCTCGTGCATTGGCAACAGAATCAATGATTCCACCACGTCAAGGATCATTTAGACAACAGCGACTCTCACCTGTTCAGCCTGCATCACCGGCACCGATAGATAAACCAGCACTAGCATTTTGTAAGAGAAGGATGTCATGGCCTGAAATAAATACAACATCCACATCACGGTAAATAATTTTTGAACAACATTTAATGTACACATATGAGATTTGAAATTGAATAGATCTGGCGTTTATGTCTATATGTTGAGTAAATATTAAATGATATGCGAACTCGTTTTCTGTTTTGTAATTTTGTCATGAATATTCACTATGACATTCGCATGTTGAAAACTCGAGTTTTGTAAAGTTTTAGAAAGTAAGGAGATGATCTTGACATTTTCGAGAGTTAAGAATGATCTGTAAAAACATAAAAAATAATATTCCGAAGTGCAAAAACTCAATATATGAACTTTTGAATAATCTGAAAAAATTCAATCAGACAATATCATAGCTACAGTCTAACATAACATACCCGATAGCATATTTATATGTCAAAATTATTATAAATATTTCACAACAAAACAAGCTAACAGAATAATGTTGCTCGAACTTTTTCTATGAATAAATCAAATAAAAGGAACAAAAAAGCAAACTAGACAAATAAAAGCACTAGTTACAACGAAATGACATGAATGTATAGTATATCATTTATGTCATCATTATAATTTTATTCAATTTTTGTGGAATTCGTATGGAATAAAGAGAAAGTTGTAAATAAATTACATGATTTTTTACATACATGTAATCCAGGGGTGACGAATAGCAATCTTGTTAAAAATAGCTTAATTACAACTTGTTCCTTATTTCCTTTTTAAATTTATTAAGGCGTACGTTTAGAAATCAAATTTTTAAAACTTAACGGGAAAGTAAGGTACTTTTTGATTTCTGAACGCAAAAATAAAGACCGTTCGCCATCCTTGGCATGGATTATGTTGTAAACTTTTTACCATGTTGCTAGATGTGCTTTTAATGTGAGTTGAACGAGAAGTTGCTATAGTAAAATTACTTTACAAGCTTTATTATCATAGAAAAAAGCCAGAAAGCTTGTGCTTGTTATGTTACACGATAATAATACGATGATTGAGTTTATTTGGAATTAAATTAGTTTATGTTGAGTTTAAGGCTTTAAATATGAAAATATTGGAAAAGAAATTTCCCTAAATTGTTTGGCTTCTAATGACATTTTGTGGAAAAATGTGTCTCCATGTGTCTCTGGGTAAATTGAGTGATATAGGAATGAAAAAATATTTTTCTCCTGATTTGCCATTTAACCTTTAAGTAACATTGAACCAAATGAACATAAAAGATTTTTAGAACGAGAAATTTTGAAATTTTCAATGATCAAATCAAGAATGTGAACCTGATCAAAAATGATCAAAAAACAGTGGTTGATCAATAGACTTCCTTTAAAGAAAAAATTATCTCACTGAATTTCATATTCTTCATCAGTTACATCACCGTAAAGACTCCAATAAAGTCTAATTTCCTCATATTCTTCAATAAGCCTTCAAAACATTTATTCTCACTTTCTTCCTTTATTGAGTAAGCCGTTTTATATGCTTTTAGTAGGTTAAGTAAATTAAACTTAATGACACATACACAGCCCCACTTGTGAAACAGCAACAGTGAAAATAAAATAAAAACATTTTACGTGTAGATGTCTACATGCATGCTACATTTTCTGAAAATTGCTAAATAAACCTTCCATTATTAACGTTATGCGGCAGGTTACAATAAAAGAAAATGAATGAAAATATTATCATTTGTAAAAGAAAGAGGGACGGGGTGGACGATGGGGATGAGTTGAATTAAACCATTTTTATCCATTAGTGTTTGGCATGATATTGTCTACTTTTACTTCAATATACTACTTTTGTTTCATTCATTTCTGCCATTTTGGACAACTTTATTGAATCACGGTTGAAAGGTTTGTCCGTGTATGTATATAAATCGTTCAGTCATCAGCCATGCTGAGACACCTAGTCAGTCAGCAAGTTTGTACGGAAATGTTTGTCCTTTGTACGTGTTTTAAGTCTCACGAGCTTTAATGCAACGACAAGGGCGTGAGGAAAGGTTCGCGGTAGATTTTATCGCATCTTACTCTGTCAGTTCAAATAAATTTTTTTTGATAATCACGCAAGTTCTCCAAACAGTTGTTTCTAGTTTTAAAACTTTTTGCTATCGAGCTATAAGATGCCGTTTATATGTGACTAAACCTACATCACCATTTAAAACATGTTCATTACATTTCTCACTATGATGTTATCCAGTTCATTCAACCAGAAAAAAAATTCATAAAATCATCCTTAATTCTGTTGCATTTTCGTGAATTTTGCCGAAGCGGTAATTTGTATGTGATCCTCCCATCCGATAATTGAGTTTTCTTTTATCCGATTTTGTGGGTGGAATTTTATTACATTATGGCTTTAATATGATATCCACGAGTTTCGGCTAATGAAATGTAAGCCTTAAAGGCTCAACACATACAGACAAGACGAGAGAGAGAACGTTTTAAAATATTCCACGTAATACATTGAGATTAAATATTAAAGATCGATAAAATGCGTTCGACAAATAAAACTGAATTTAAAGTGGAAAAGAAAAAGAAAGAAAATAGAATTCATTCATGAGTTTCATTGACATTCTGGGTTGATGAAGACGAAGGGACCCGTAAAATTCGTTAAATTATGTTGATGAATTTTTCTCGGAATTTTTAAGGCTACTCTCGAGGTTGTTGGCTATGGAAATTCAATTTGTATGTCAGGGTTTATAGACAAAAGCAATTTTAGTTCTTTTTGACTTTGACCTTGGAACGCCTTATTGACATTTTTGGGAAATTTACTCGAAAATTCAAAACAGCTGTGTCGCAACAAAAATGCGTCTCTAGCTTATATTCCATTATCATGATATAGTTGTTTATAAATACACTGTTATAGAGTTTGCTCAAGATAATTTAAAGGACAATTTATTGATTATTTTCAAACAATTTACTAAATTCCAAAAACGTGCTATTTAATTGCGACATAAATGTTCTTAGTTTATTTCTCCTTTATTATTTTCTTTCATGCTACATTTGAACATATCCAATATAATTCCATTCATTGACCACACTACTGCTTACCGTTTGTTAATATTTTATTAACTCTAAATAAGCGTACAAACGCATATCTATATATACTTACTTATCATAGACAGTAAAAGTTGAAGAAAAACTTTTCTTTTTTTTTTCATATGAAAAAAACCTAAACTTCCATATTGACCGTAAACGATAATCTTGCAACGAAAACTTTATTAAACTAGATGAGATTATTTAGGATCAATTTGATGTGTTAATTTATGGAGTTTTTTCATCACTTTTATTATGTGAACAAAAGTTTTTCTTAGAAGAAATCTGAATTTATTATAGAACAATAGGTAAAAAATAAAATTGTAAATCTTACTATAACATCGAACAATCGACAACCCTAAATTCATGGAGAACATTCTATATGTCTCTATGTGTAAATCGAATTCATAAATCCTCGATTGTTCATGCAACCACACGATCTTATCAATTTCTTCTAATTCCGCATGTTACATTCCATCATTATACATACCAAACATGAAAATGATATTTGATATCGATTATGAAGCTCAATTTACGCAGTGGAATCCAGTTATCATGAAAATTTGATCAAAATGCCATTAACAATCCATTACAATTCACATCGTCATTGTATTTCATGTATGTTGCTTATCAGCTATCAAGATTTATACTTAAATTTACGAATATTCATAAATATTTTAGATGTATTACATTATTTTTTTATCATCGACAGTATTTATTATGATAAATGGTAGCTGTATTGCGTGATATGTTGAATAATGGCGTGTGGATTGTAAAATATAAAGCTATAAATTGGCTATAAGTGGAAAATTTTGCAGCATAGCAGAAAATTTAAAATTCTAAAATATTTTAAAGATTTTAAGCACATTCGATTATTAACATTTATACACTTACAACTTTCCAGTTACTTTACATCATACTTTTAATTACTTTTTTATTGTGTGCCGCTCTAAAGAGTCCCTTTGTGTGAACGAAGAAGAAAAAGGGAAATGCAGAAACTTTTTTAAAAAACTTAAAAAGAACTTTATTTTTCCTTCTCTCAAAAGCACATAAAAAGTTGACTAAATTAATAGCTCCGGTGATAAAATGAAAAGTTTTGTGCAAAAAGTTACCAATTAAATTCAAACTTTTTTGTATGCAAAAGTAAAACTAGTTAAACACTTTAGCTGACAGTGACATAAAAAAGAAATAAAGCACATCCAAGCTCAATGTTTTGTTCAGTTTTATGTGTCTCTATGCTACATGGAACAGTATAAGCGTCAAAATTTTACATCCAAGTCTTTGGATGGGGACTTATATGATTTTTAAACAGAATTAACGAGGAATTTGAGGAAACCGCAGCAAAAATCAGTAACCATACCTGAAATGCGTTTCTACTTTACGCTAGTCTTCATGAACTGCAATGAATGTCAAAATGATGAATATTTGTCCTGCTGCATTTTCATTTACTTCAGTATGACATTAATTAACATAAATTTTCGTACATAAAATGAGATCTCTCAGACGTGGATGATGAATTTCGTAACATCCATTATTTTATTATTTTTCCTTGCATGGCAATCTTTTGTGCATTATTGGAAGTTTCTCTCTCAAGATAATTTTTTCCCTTCGCATTCCAACTATTTCATTTAATTAAATTTTCGAAGCATGAATCTTGAGATAACAAGATCAACAGTAGCAACCAAAACAATAATAATTTTGTGTAGAGTATTAAGTGGAATGTAATAAAAACAAGATGAGATGATGCAAGAAGCAATAAATATTATTTGCTTAAATGTAAAGTTTCTGATTCAAAACTGATAAGCGATTCTTATTCTTAAAAATCTTAATATTAAAATTTTATGGTTTAGGCATCCTTAAAGGTCATCACTCCTGTCAAATGCACAAACATTATTTTTTCTCCATCATCCTCTCAAAGTAGCCTCAATCTTCGTAGCCTCTAGACGAGAAAATTTCATTCATTGCTCTATCGTCTACACAACTTGCGTCTAACAAACATTAAATTGTTATTAAAGATTTTTTAAAATCTTATTGACATAAAAGCGATAAGAACTTCTCCTTCTTTTATTTCTTTCGTTTACCATGTGCATTAGCTGAATTTGAATGGATATCATGTCAACAAATTTTTATGATGCAATGATTTGAAGAGCAAAAAGAATGATTAGGAAAATTGGAGTTCCTAAGAGAATCAATATCAAATTCACTTTCAAAACATCGCACATTCATCCCTTAAAAATAGCAAAAAATACTTCCAAATCAAAATACGTTAAATTTTATTTCATGTTCGTGCAATATGTCAGTATAAAAGCATATACACGAGAGGATTGATGAATTTTTTCACTTTCATTGGCATCCACATATGTAAAATAAATTGATGGATTGTTTTTTTGCAGCTACATATTGTTCAAAATCGTAGATTCAAGTGCGGTTCTCGAATTTCAATTAATTTTTTATCAACGGATATTCAATTTGAGGCAAAGGTGACATCAACTTATCAATTTTATTATAATCATTCGTAGAAAATTATTTTGACACAAATAAGGTGGCTTTTGATGCTTTTACTGATATCAAAAAGCAATAATGTTCGATTATTGACCAAACATTTCCATCAACTTTATCAAGTTTTGTTGCAGATAAGATAATTTTTATATGTTCTATAGGAAGTTGCTGAATTAGTGCTGATTTAATACAAAAACTGTTCCTTCATATTTGCAATACGAGTAGGTGTTGATTTTCTACAACATTTATTGCTCATCAATGTGTTTAACGTCGCGTTACTCAATTGAATACAAACTTGAAACTTTTCTTTATTTATTTTTTGAAAGCGTAATGACAATTGGACCAGATTAGCACGTGGAACAATTAAAATAACAATTTTTTTCTTTCGATGAGTTCATTTCGGCGGAATAATCACAGTTCTATTAAATTTTCATTCTAGCTCATTTAAAAGATCCAATTCGACAAGCTAAAATGAATTTTCTTCGTTCTGTCATTTTTAATTTAATGAAACGAAATTAAAATGAAAGAATCGCGTTATGTCTAATTGAAAAATCTGTCATTAGTGAATTAAATTGGAAACTTCTTATTCTTTACGCTATGAAAATGTTCTGTTGATGATAAAGATAATGAAAATTTCTTAGACTTTGGGGATCATTTTCAAATGACGTTTATTATAATTTTTGACAAATATTTCCAACTTAAACGTATAAGCTTTAACTTAAAGTATAGTCCTATGAATGATGTTGCTTTAGTTGTGAAATGATATTGCCTAGCCAGCAAAAAATATTTGACCTAGAAATAAATAGTCAGTACACTCATATAGCTTTTATATAACTTCATAGCTGCATTAACTTTGATTGAAGCCACAATATTCTTGTATCTATCCAACAAAATTACATCTTCATGTCTCAAAATTAGCCTCAAAATAGAATTAATTTTCTGCTGTCTCAATTCTCGTCACGAAAAAAGAAGAAATTTTTATGTGTGCCTATCTTGCTTTCGTTTCCCTACAAGCGATTATCGTTAAGGTTTATGGTGGCACAAAAGATAGAAGTTGAGGAACAAAAGAAAAGAAGAAGAAATAGAGATAATCTTAATATTTTCAATGCAAGGCAACAAATCCACTTGCATTTGTTTTTAAGGATATAATATCTAACTGTGAGAATATAGGCCACTTTTCAGCCATAAAGTGTAATATTAATTCACCTATTATTTCAAAGATTAAAAACTTTCAAAATATTGAATTACCTATAATGCAAGTACCCACCCCTTATAAAAGTTATCTTACAAGAAAAATATGTTCACGAGCTTTCGCCTATTATAGCATTATGGTGGATGGTAAGCTCCCAATCTTATGAATATTTAATGCAGATGTGTCAACTGTGGAAACAGTCTTGAATGATTTAATTCTATGAGCAGCAAGAACGGAATAATAGAAAATTTCAGAAGAATTCAATGGAAAGGATTCCGCAATGCACAGAGGAAATTTTTATACTGTATAATCCCAAATATCGCAAAATGAAGTTGAACATTTGAATCCAAAATTTGTGTGTGAATGCATAAAGGGATCTTTCACTTATGACGTCCGAAAATATGGTCATTTTTCAAAAGAGATTGTTTTTTTTCTTGCTGACACCCCCCCCCCCCCCCCCCCCCCCCCCCTCCGTCATAAGTGAACGGCCCTAAATTCTTTTTTGTTCGATAATAATAAAAGAAACATGCTGTTATGTATTACTTAACTTTTCTATGCTGTTCTTCTTGCTAAAATCATATTTCATTAGATAAACGAGACAAAACAATTTTTGTTGCCAATTTAATTCATTTAAAAATTGAAATGTAGCAAAAATGGAAAATTTGTCATAACAACGAAAAAGTTTTATGAGAGCAGCTAGGCTACGCAAATTAATGATTTCTGAAAAATATAACGAGCCATTTTCATGGCTGTTAATTGTTTGTCATATTATTTTGTGCTGCTGAAAGTCAACGACTGTTGTTATTTATATCAAAAATGTTTTTTTAAAAACATAATTTTCATGTCCATTAGACTTCAGTCAACATATCAAAATATCAACTAATAGCTTCAACACTTGTCCAACAAAAAAGGTTAAATCAAGTGAACTCAGCACAAATGTATCGCTATCGGTCGATTACCGAAAAGGTCATCTGATATATTAGCATTGAGCATAATAATTTGTTGGATCAAAAAAAGTTTGAGAGGATTGGTAGTCAATTCTAGTCACTGACCGATTATTGCTAACAAACCTATAACATTCTAATTGCATCAGCAGGAACGAGTCAAGAAAAATATGGAAATTTTTTCAATGTATTAATTTACAAATTTTACAAGCGATACACTGAATGAATATACTAAAAAAGAGATGTGCAAATAAAAAGATAAAGTCATTCGCATTAGCTTCAATGATCATCAAACAAAGTTTTAATATGTTGACTTATCATTTTTGCGTCAAGTACACTTTTTGTGTCGTTTTCAAGGAAAAACTTTTTGGCCTCACTTTTCGAATTAAATAAAGAAATTAATGAACACATAATTGAGTTAACGAGTTGCTTAACTTTACAGGCGCCTCTCCATTGTATTTACAGTATGAGTTAAATAATTTTATTAATATGCAAGTTGCTGTAGCTGTAATCTCACCAACTGAAACTCAGATGGGAATTGTTTGTTTATTTTATTGTGTTTGCTTTTACTGTTTTGTTACTATTTGAGTACGGTTCAATTCATTAGCTGAATGATAAGTGGCAACTAGTGCTCTCAAAAAGTTTGTATATGTTAAAGACAAAATGTAACAAAATTCAATTGCATTAAATCATTAAAGTTTTCTTATAAATTGCATTCAGCTACAACTTTTTTAGCAGATATAAAGTTTAATGCTCAACTTAAAAATAATAAACTCAAAATCGTTTAACTGGGCCATATAATCTATTATCATAAACTTCTAAAAGTCGACGAATATCCCTGATTTATTTTTCTTGCACACATTCTTCATGAATAATTGTTATTCTGTCAATAGATTACAATTCATTATGAAGAGTAATTAGTTGATAATTACTATGCGTGTCATCAATAATCAGTTGTAATAGACAACAATCAAATAAATTCTTCGTTCAACTCTTAAGATACTTCAAATCAGTAAGTGTATATTGAGCTACTCGTGAGAATTTTTATGTATAAAATAATCATCAATAAGAACTTATTAGAAAATAAATTGCAAGTGATTATGCAAGTAAAATTTGTTTGGGGTACAATTCGTACATTTTAGATGTCCTGCATAATTTTTTTTATGTGTAAGCATATTTAGAAATGCTTAATAAAGCAAGCAATAAATCATTCTAAAAATGTTCAGCGAAAATGTTTTACTTCTGATTTATTGACTTTTTTACATCAACAAATCACGAATACTTTGCATGAATCAAGATCAACGATGCCATTTTAATGGCCTCATTAATAGGTTTTTGCTAGTCTGTTCGCTAAAAAATACTTCAACGTGATGAAAATATTCATGGAAATCATAATACTGCTCCAAAATAACATAGCGCAAAATAAGTCTCAATTCCATGGAAATACATTATTTACATCAATCGAAAATATTATTATGATGAATCCTTTACACTTCTAACGATTTTATTATAACACAATGTCTTCTTTAACATCCTGTGTTATGCAAAGTAACGACATTCCAACGATGAATAGAGCATCAGCATGAAAAATATGAATAGAACGTTTAAATGCAAAAAATGTTAACTGTGAGGCCTTCAAATTATCGAGCACATCTGTTGCTAAACTACTGAACAAATATAAAAGCGAGTGCGATGTCGATGTTGAGAAATACTTAATTAACTCACAACTTGTGACATGAGCAACAACTGTCGAGTGAAAGTGAAAATGAATGAAAAGAAGAGTTTTCTTGTATTCATCTTTCATGTGTATATATAGACATAAATATTTGTTTTGTTTTCTTTTAGAGATTTATCTCGATTTAGAAAGCTTTTGGGGATTTTTGGGTTTGGTAACAGACTTTTTGCAAATAATAAGCTTTGCTTTCAAAAAGTTTTAGAAATGTTTCAATAGCTTGAATCTCGATAATCTTAAGAAATATAGAAATCCAAAAATGGAAATCAAGATTAAATTAAACAGTTGATTTATCAAAATATTCTGGACATCCTGCTCTAGTATTGACATCATCCCTCATATGAAACACATTAATAAATAAAGTAAACCAGAAAAAAAAACTTAATAACTTTCTCATGCTTACCCTTTTCATGCAACATCACATGTAGTGTTCAGGAAAGTGACGGCTCATTCTTCGAGTCTTTTACAGCACTGTCGTGGAAACGTGAAAATAGGAGAATGTCCGCCGTCCGAGCAGCTGAAACTCGTGCTGAGCAAATGCCAATTGATGAGAAGGAAACGATAAAAGAGGATGAGATTGAAACAGTAAATGAGCGTGAACAATTGTATGTGGATGTTTTATACACAATTGCTAATTGTGTTGGATGTCAACAACCGGGTGGACAGGTGTGTGCTGTGTTTGTTGAATTATTATTGACATTTTTTATATTGCTTATTGATTTTTGTTTCACAGTATGCTCACTATAAGGATGAAATGTATATAGCAGCACAACGTGCTTTTGGCGTTTCACCTGATCGACATTATCGATTACTTCACGCCGCAGTTGAGGACAAACCAAAAATTATTGTCTTATCAGTGATTGTACAAGAAGCAGAAGGACTCGAAGCTAAAGATGCAAACGGTAAGTTTTTTTGGAAATGACTCGTGAGAAATGGTTATTTCTCTCCTAATGCCAATTTATTAAATGTTTTATTGTTAAGTGTAAGGGAAGCATTTTTTACGATTCTCGTGTTCATGTTATGGACTTCTTCTTTTTCGTCTTTTAAGGCTTAAACGTAAGGCTTACATTATCCCTTTTTATGCTAAACTGAACTCAGCAGATTGCTGTAGAATTAAATAGTAAAAAAATGTGAGTTGAGTTGATTACCTGGGTTTACGGTTTTGGCGCTGTTTTTACATTCCTAAAGTTTTTGTAAGACTGACTTTACATACCAGCAAGTTACAATGAACTCCACTTGATTCAAATACTTAGAGAAAAAGCAACATTTATCCACTACTTATATAACCAAAATCTTGTTTCATACACTTTAATGAACTTTTTCAATTAACCAATAAGAAAGTTTAATCAGTTTATGCTCATTAATTATAATATTCCAATCAGACTACTTAAAATTGCGATCAGAGTATTTTTAACAACTTTTCATTCCTAAAATCATCAAATTTCAGTTTTAACACCAATTTAATTAACATTTTTGCTTTTAATCAACATCCTTGTCACGTTTTAGAAAGCAGATTCCAAGAAATAAACGAAAAATAACTCTTTCTGCTAAATTAAATTAGCTCAATATACCTGAAAGTGCAAATATGTTCAGAAATACCCAGTAAAGATAATAAAGGCAGTAAATTCTATGAAGATTTTATCTCATTTGTAACGTAAATCCTTTGGAATTCATAGTATTAAGTCAATGGATCGAAAGCTATTAGCAATTAAAGGATAAAATAAATGTTGTTAAATTGTCTATAAAATAGTTAATTTAAAAAGCTTTTAAAGCTTTCATGTTAATTTATGTAGATTATCAATAATGTTAATCCACAACAAGATCTCATTTACGAATTTTAATTAATCTCAAATTCTCACACAACTGTCGGAAATTCATGTCGATTCTATTTTGGAAAGCCACTAATTAAATTAAATTAGAGCTTTTATTATTGATAAGCAGACATGAGAAATTCCTTCCTTTAAACAGACTTTAGTCTTCTATCCCCTATCAGAACCTTTAAATAACTCTAAAAGCGGTCATGTTTTAATGTTTTGACGATTAATGTGTCAGTTATTATTACAGCATGCTTCATTAATCAACCGTTCCGCACTTTAATTTTTCGACAGATTTTCCTTTTAAGATGTTGGAAGAAAAATCTTTCTCATTTTTGTCGTGTCTGACGAATTTGTCAGTGGACAAAGCTGAAAAGTCTGTTGAGATTTTATAAAATCAAATCGGTTGTTCTGTTGGAGTAAATATAGTCAAGATTAATTTTATGAGTTTTTAACAAATTCTCTTTGCAAGACTGCCTTTCGTAACCGTGCTCGTCATTAACTTATTTAAAATTCTAAGAAAATATTTTATTCTCTCGACAGGAAATAAAAAGTTTTCCGCACGGGACGTTTTCTTGTGTAGGCGAATTTTATGAAACATAAAATAAAAACATACGAACATTTTTTATTCCCATTTAAGTTTTTTCATGTTCTTATGACTAAAGGTGTTTTTTAACATCATTCAGGGAAAGAAAAAGAGACATTAGGCAGATTTGAAGATAAGGAATTAGCATTTGTTTTACTTCCTTAAATATAAGTCATAAATGAAACTCCAGGAGTTGGATGCAAACTGCAACTAAAGATTGAGCAAAGTATTGCCCTTAGTCTCACCTTTAATTTTTCCAATACGTCAAATTAAAATCACAATCTCATCAATCCATTAATAATTGCTTTCTAAATCTCAAATGACAAAAAGTTCGTCACGATAAATCTACAAATTTCATATATTGATTATATTTGAGCATTTTATGGTCCGTGTCATAAAACTATCAATTGACATCAAAACGCACTTTTCACTATCGACACATCTCTACTTCTACATACGAAGCCTATAATTCAACTTAATAGATCAATCATTGTTTGACAATCCTTTGAATGTTGTCATAAATCTCTGTGTCTATAAGGCGCACATAACAAGAGAAATTTTCTACACAGAATAAAGGTTCTCCTCATTTCACTGGTTTCTGGCTTGAATTCTATTCTATTGTATTAAAACATTTTAATTCAATTTGCGTGTAGTAAAATCATTTTACCATCTATCCAGCTTTGTTTCTTTTCTCCTTTCTTTCCCATTCATTTACTTTTTATCCATTTTTTTGAAATAAATAAATGCTTTCATTGCCAGCCCAAGCCTATAATCGTGCTCTCCCCTTTTTTACATGTGTACAATATAATATATTTATGCGAAAAAGGAATTAGCTATATAGCACTATTTATGCCGTTTACTTATGAGTACGTAACGCTTTAATCAAATTGTTTATCGCTGTTGCTTACATAATAAATGTATTATGGCTTTATTATGCGGTGTTGATGTCTATTTACAGCTTTAATTATGACATTTTCACATAATTTACATTAAAATTAAGGCAAAGGTAAAATGAAATAGTCAAATGAGAATTGTGAGGGATATCCTTAAGCGAAATTATCAGATTTTTTGGACATTGACATATTATCATCAATTTTTCTAATTATTCTCTATTCATATATGTTAATTAAAGCTTTTTCATAAAATTCTATTCATTCGTCCAAAACTAATCCTCAACAAACTTTTCTTAAGGATAATATTAACATCACTAACCAAACAAATTTATTATGCTCAAAGAACTTTGCGTTGAAAGAGAAAATTTTATGTTTATAAGCATGAAACAAAAATTATTATGATTATTACGTGATAACACAGTTTATGGCGAATGAATATTTTATATACTTTTAACGTTTATGCAAATATGGTTAAGTCTATTTATCCTGTTATGGAAAAAAAGGGACAAAACTATAGAAAATTGAGATATAATAATGCTTAAGAGTGGTGCGAATATGTATGATTTTTTGTTGCATGCAGAATGAATCTTTAATCAACATAAGTCATCAACACATCGAATAGTATTTTTAAAGAAAAAAATCAACTTACTACATACGTCGTATCAGATAATTTGAGAATAAAAGCAAAAAGAAATTTATAAATTCGACAACCCAAACCTGATAAAATCTTTATTTTTATTTTAGTTTAAATAATCCCCACATTTTCCAATTAATAGAGCGAAATGTTTAATTAGTAAATAATATTCTATTACAGGTCATGAACATAATCATTCTCGAAATTATTAACATAATTATAAGCCCACAATTTGCTATAATTGAATTTGACATAATGAACAAATTTTGAATCGGTTTAAAAATTAATCATTTTGCTTTTCAAATCAGAACTCCTTATACCTATGTGAAATTTCCTGAATTGAAAAGCTTTCAATTTAAAAGTTTTGAAATAAGTTTTTATAATGAGAAAATTAATTTAGAAAAAAATCAATTCAAAGGTGAGAATTCAATGAACTCGTTGAAATAGAATAATAATCTCTTAATTAGACTTTCGCTAAAAGTCTTAAATTTCTTTAATGAAAATGTTGCCAAATAAAAATAAAATAAATTAAAATCGCTTTAATTTTCGATATTTTGCTGAGAATCGACTTTAAATTTTAATAAAAACTTTTGATACATAACAAAAGATTATAAATTTATTTTGTTGATATTTAATCAAAATTCTGTTATTCAGAATTTTTAACTACAAAAGTTTGAAACTATAATTTAAATAAATAAATTTTGCGAAGTAAACAACATACTACAAAATGCATGTGTGCATACATAAGAAACTTGGAAATATATTAAATTCAAAACTGTTTTTCATAAACTTCTTAAATCTTTTCAAAAGAGGATAGAACTGTGCATTTTTACTCCTTTTTGACGTCTCCCAACTACAAACCATTTCTCCAAAGAAGTATGGAATAATCTTTCTTATCAATAATCCCCTTCATCCAAGTTGCTTTTCATTAAGAATGCAAAAATGTCTTGCATATCAACATTATTGCATATAACGACACATGTTTTGCATTCAACAAAGTCTGTGTAGTTCTACTAATTAGAAATTTTGCTTTAATCATAAAATATTCATTGTATAATGCCATACACAATAGGGGCCCGTCAAAAATGAATTCTACGTCATCGGAGACCACTTTTAGTCATTTTTTGCGATTTTTTTCCATTAAACTGTATTTTTTTCTTTTTTGGTATTATAGAATTCGCCGAGACAAAGAATTTGACACCATTATCGTTTTTCTAGCATGTCCGGTTCCTTCTGTAGAGCCATTCGAATATCCACCGATGACGTAGAATTTTCGGGAAAGGGTATTTTGAGTGTAAACAACCTTTAATAACTTCTTTATTACCAGCTTAAATTTTAGTTTTTCTGTACAAAATTGTGCTATTTCTTCTATTGGTTCATTCAAATTGTCATTTTTATCAATAAAATGATTGGAAGTTACTTAAATTAACACTTTAATTTTCAAAATCTTGTAACGAATATCATTTTTTTGAATTTTCTTTTATGTTTTTAGTCAACAAAAAAATTCTATTTTTTCGAAAATTGCTGAAAACATAATTAAAACGTAATACAACTCATATTTAAATGTCGATAGTATGTTTCTAAGGTTCTATTTTGTGTTTTAAAAGAGATAAAGTTACAAATTCAAGAGTATTAATTAGATTTTCAGCTGATTAAAGTTTTGGTAATTTTGCTCGAAAATATAAGAAATTTTTGAATTTTATTAAACCGTTAAACTGAAATTCCTATTATTTTTGACGGGCCCCAATATATGTCACATAAATGTTTATTTTATCTATTTAAGGAGAAAACTTCATTTAATGTATATGACAAACTTCCTCCATAAAAGTAATGAGGATAAAGTGTGAGACAAAGTTATTTTTGTGATGAATTTAAGAAGGGTGGACCATTCTTTTCTGGAATTAAATTAATTGGATTGGAACAAAATTTCAACTCACCTGCGCTGTTGAGATATCTTTTGGACTAATTTTCTTGCTCACAGACACAGGATTTTAGCAAATATCTAAGAAACGGCTTAACCAATTTTAAAAGGGTTTTTATATTTTATAGAGAACTCCATGCAAAAACTTCGTACGCAAAACAGTTTTCATAACAATGCTTTATTTAGGTGAAAAAATGTTAAAAATTAGTTTTTCAAAAAAAGAATTTTTGGTTTTGACCATAGCAGGCTATTTTCAAAGAATATCGATTTTATATCTATATTAGCATTCTTTTTCATTTATAACACCTAGATATGTTTTAAAATGCAATTTAAAGCATTTTTGGTTTCGATCTATTTTCAAAAAATTATCGATTTTATATCTATATTAGTATTCTTTATCATTTATAATACCTAGATATGTGTTAAAATGCAATTTAAAGTATTTTTGGTTTCGATCATAGTAGGCTATTTTCAAAAAATTATCGATTTTATATCTATATTAGCATTCTTTATCATTTATAACACCTAGATATGTTTTAAAATGCAATTTAAAGCATTTTTGGTTTTTGATCATAGGAGGCTATTTTCAAAAAAATATCGATTTTATATCTATATTAGCATTCTTTATCACTTATAATACCTAGATTTGTTTTAAAATGCAATTTAAAGCATTTTTGGTTTCGATCTATTTTCAAAAAATTATCGATTTTATATCTATATTATGAATCAACATTTTATTATTAAGAAAGAAATGATCGTAGATATTTTTGAGAATATTGTAAAATTAGTTTGATTTTAGTTGTAACACTGTTCGAAATAGTCATTGAAATACAGTCCACTCATTCTAAAACCTTAAAACATCATATTTTATTGGTCCTTCGAACCTTGAGATTGAAATAGTGAAACAAGACGTGGAGTAGACTTAGAAATTGAATATTGAAAGAAATTGGAAAATTTGAAGAAGAATTTTGAAGAAAGTTCAAGTTGAAGCTGGCAGATTTGTTGAAGCAAAGTTCAACAAGAATTAGCAATATTGAATACATATGAAGGAAAGAAAGCAAAGCTGAATTCAATAATCGAAGATTTTGAAAGCATAAAAAGCACTTATGACATGTTAAAGGAAGAAACAAATTTTGAAGAAGCAAAAGTGTATCATGATGTGTTCAAAGACATGTTAGATGATTTCAACGAAGTGTTCATTGAATTTGAACTATTACATCGAAAACGAGAAAATGATGTTGAAACTCAGAAGTTTACTTTGTTCAAGAAACTTGCAGTTATTACAACATTTGAGTTAGCAGTAAAGATAGAAACTCTGAAGAAAGAGCAAGAGAGACGTTTAGAAGTCAAAGTAAACGCAATTCAACCATCGACATCATCAAGAAGAAGAGTGAAACTTCCTGAAATAAAACTTCCAGAATTCAATGGAGAATTTAGCAATTGGATATCTTTTAAAGATACTTATATCTCCTTGATACATTCAAAGCCAATGTATTCAGAGATTGACAAATTTCATTACTTGAAGTCATCAGTGAACATTCAGCCAGAATCTCAAAATATATTGAGCAACTATCAATTCTCAGGAGACAATTACAAATCTGCCTGGGAAGCGTTATGTCGAAGATTTGACGATCGAAGAGTTTTGTTGATGCAATACACAAATTCTCTTATGACAATTAGTGGTCCTATTGCTGGTTCCTTATCAGAAGCAAGGAGAGTCCTAGATACTTACATCAGTCATCGTGCAGCATTCAATTTGATGAAAATTACGCCAGAAGAATTATTGGACATGATTTTTGAACACATCATGATACACTTTTGCTTCTTCAAAATTTGTTTCTTCCTTTAACATGTCATAAGTGCTTTTTATGCTTTCAAAATCTTCGATTATTGAATTCAGCTTTGCTTTCTTTCCTTCAAATGTATTCATTATTGCTTATTCTTGTTGAACTTTGCTTCAACAATACCTAGATATGTTTTAAAATGCAATTTAAAGCATTTTTGGTTTCGATCATGGTAGGCTGTTTTCAAAAAAATATCGATTTTATATCTATATTAGCATTCTTAATCATTTATAAAACCTAGATATGTTTTAAAATGCAATTTAAAGCATTTTTGGTTTCGATCATAGTAGGCTATTTTCAAAAAATTATCGATTTAATATCTATATTAGCATTCTTTATCATTTATAATACCTAGATTTGTTTTAAAATGCAATTTTTAATAAGAAAATAAGTTTTCTGTAAAAGTCTTGTGCTGGTATTCATAATGAGAAAGAAGTTTTAAAAATATAGAAATTTTTTTCTTCTGATAATGATGAATAAAAAATATTTAAAGAATTTAGAGAATTTCATTAAATAATCAGTCAGTATATATTAAGACATAAACCTAACAAAATATTTACAGACGTGCGTCATGTTGCATAAAATAATTATTCCTCCTATGTGTATGATTATCAAAATGATCAAACATATATTAAGCACATGACGAGACAATGCAAGAAAAATAAAAATAACGACATTGTCACTGGGGAATAGAATAACAAAATTTTGTCATTTATTGAAAAGTTCATTGACATTTTGAGCAATTTTCATCATCATTATTATTCTTAGGATAATAACGAAATCATAATAAAACTACTATTAATTAAACATAAATGTCAACTTTTATATATTTATGTTTTTGTGCAATTCTGAACACTATCAATTTCTGAACTAAGCTGAAGAGTAGGTTATTCTGGTTCTTATCAAAATGTTTTGTCAAATTAACTGCCAACATAATTCCTTTTTGACAAAAAAGTGTTTTAATTAATATCTAAGTTTGATAAATAAGAATTTGATTTGTACATATTAATAATCATTTTGACATGTCCTACATTCTATCCAATTTCGATAATTATTTTTATTAATATTTCTAATGAAAGGAGATTGCTGGGAGCTATTTTTGAGGTGATATTAATGGCTGTACCATCACCTACACACATTATAACGGTAGTCAAAATGAAATTTCATATTTATTAAGGTTAAATTAAGTGATGGAGGCAGATAATGAAACGTTGATGACAAATTTAACTTGGAATTTCAGGTTGATGATATTTGCGGCATTAATGTTTAATTTTTTCTTGTTAAATTTTTGTTGATTTTTTGAAATTTGAATATTTTTGGAATAGTTCAGTCGATAGTTATGTAAATATTGGACATTGTAACCCTTTTCAATATTTCCAAAAAAAATGTATTAAATTTTACCTTGAAATTATTCTAAATTCCAACAGTTCATTGAAAATTTCTTAAAATAACCCATCATCAGAAAAACAATAAACAACCGATACTCCTCCTTTAATTATGTTTCTATTTAAGCTTCCAAATATTTATTCCAATGTGAAAATTTATCGTTATTAAAATTTAATAATGTCATGTTTCATGGCACCTTCCAAAAGTTTAATTATTTGAAACATTATACATGTGTGCGAGCACAGTAAAATCATCATAATCGTCTGATAAACCTTTTGCTCCGTTTAATTATTTTTGCTCCTAAATTTAATACATCATTAATAATCGCATCATATGTCATCACATTTGTATCTTTATATCATCATCGTTATTTATCATATAGGTGCGTATTCAGTGTAAATATTGTGGGTGTTAAAATTGATCATTGAAATTATTCAAAACTGTTGTTATGTTTATATGATATCCATCGAGAATGGAATGTTCACAACTCAATATTTTGTCATTTTGCTTATTTTTAGAATCTAGATCAAACAAAGTGACTAAGTTCATTTTTACCAAGCACAGTTTCGCTGTGTTAAGCTGATTAAAATTCAGTACAGTACTCTCCAAATGCAACAGCACCAAAAAAAATAAATTTCATGGCCTGAAATGCAACATGTAGCATCATCAAATTTTTATATCATTGTCATTTTCTTCTTGCTAGTTTTATGCCAATGCCATTGTGGTTTACACAACAATGCATTTTATTTCTGTATGTCTTTCGCCTTTATGTCTCATGTATCACTTGAGGGGCTTTCCTCATTATTTAGGACAGAGAATTTACCGCAATTTGCTTATGCTGAATGAGAAAGTTTATAGCTTCTCGAAAACATCTTTATTTTGTTGCTATTTTTTCTTTCTCCTCGTCGACTTCTATTAAATTCAAATGTGTGTGTGCATGTACATGAATTTTTGTGGTTTTCAAACCTCTTCTGACGTTTTTTTTTAAATTTTTGGGGTTGAAAAATGTAGATTAAAGAAATAAGCACTAACATGCAAAATTTGTATCTTATTTCTGCTGCAAAATGAATAATTAATAATTAGACCACTGCATGACTACCTGATAATCCAGGTAGCTCTTTTATGCAATAAAGCTTTAATTTCTATTAGATTAGAGAAATCTACTCGGTATTTTATCTACCTTAATTTTATTAAAATGCGCCACGTCCATCCAAAGATAATCTTGTACCCAACATCCTCACCTAAAACACTTGCATAATTAATGAATGCCCTTTTTGCTCATTTCCTTTCATTACAGGTTTTAGTGATCCTTATTGTATGCTCGGAATAACATCAATGATGGGATGTCAACCACCACTCTCACCACAACCGCCAATGACACCTCGAACACTTCCTGATACCGGCATGGATAGTTTAGAGTCTCCGGATAATAAGCTTCGGAAACATGGAAGTTTCCGATTGAGTTTCAAACGAAAGAATCAACATCGTGATTCAATGGGACCGATGCCTGCAAAAATCATAAAAGCAACATCCGTTAAACAGCACACCCTCAGTCCCAAATGGAATGAAAAATTTAAATTGTAAATTTTTTTAACCTTCTTCTCTCATTGCATCCTGATGATCCGAATTTTATTCTTTTATGTTTTTTGCTCTTTTTTCATTCACATAAATATAACACGTTTGCAGCGATGTCGATGACATCAACACCGACCAATTACATCTAGACATTTGGGATCATGATGATGAAAGTAGCGTTATGGATGCTGTGTCGAGACTGAATGAGGTCAGGGGCGTTCGTGGCTTGGGGCGGTTTTTTAAACAAGTATGTCAATCGGCGAGACAAGGTTCACAAGATGATTTTTTAGGAAGCATAAACATTCCAATATCGGTAAGATATGAACAAAAATAAAAAGTTCATTAATCACTCTATGTTTTTATTATATCCTTAGGATATTCCATCAACAGGCCTCGAAGGATGGTTCAAACTTGAAGCCAGAAGTCATCGTAGTAATGTTCAAGGTCGAATTCGTCTGAAGCTTTGGTTGTCAACACGTGACGATCATGGACAATCAGAGGATGATGCATTAGTTGAAATAAAAAAATTAGAACGATGCTATATGGTTTTCATGCAGCACGAATTGTCTACACATGAGCCAACATGGAGTTGGGGTGGAGATATTCAAGGTTCAGCATTAACCATTTTACATCAGATGGCTGTTCAAGCTGATTTGTCGGAGCTTCAGTGTGCATTGGCACGTTTTGTTGCTTCAATCACGCTCAATAATAAAACACCACTAGATCCTAAGTTTATACACAGAGTCATGCTTGAACTGGATCGTTTTTGGATTCAAGTTGCTATGGAGCCATTAGGTCATGAGGCTGAACAATGGTTAGCTAAAGCCATGGTTCGTTTTGTGGAAATTTCGCTCAATCAAATGAGACGACATCGAGAAATATTTCCAGCACTTCATCCTCCATCATTAGTTAGATTAGAATTTTTGCTTAGATGTTTAGGCTTACTCGGATCAATGCGCGCTTTTCGACAAGTTTGTCCATTTAGTAAAGGCGTGCGTGGTGAAATTGTCAATTATTTACGTAAAGGCTCGGTTTTATGGGCACAAAATCAACTTAGAGAATCTGTTCGTCATGAAAATCCACTTGTTCACTTTACATCTACAATTCTTGCCGATTTACAGACTGGATTAACTTACTATCATCCTATTTATGATAAGTATGGAAATAAATATTATTTGCCTAGGAATTTTAGTTGATTAATATTTACTTTACAGCACCAATGGAGTTCAATATTTTAGCATTGTATACAAGCAGTTTGATCAAATTGTAAGTTTTTGACAACATCAAAATACTGTTCATGACTAGAAAAAGTTTTATCGGACACAATAAGACCCATTCCTTCTCAAAGTTGAAAATCATCCATAAATGACTGATTTGCTTTGGGGCCGTTCACTTATTACGTGACGCTTTTAGGGGGAGGGGGGGGGTCTAAGATTTTGTTACGGTTCAAACAAGGAAATTTTTTTTTCATACAAATTTTGTTACGAGGGGGGGGGGGGGGGGGTCTAAGAAGTCATTTTTTCGCGTTACGTAATAAGTGAACAGCCCCTTTGTCAAAATATCATTAGTTCAATGAACATCAATAAGAAGCTTTGATCTTCAACTCTTTCAATTGCAGAATTTTCAACTCAATTAATTCACTAAAGCTGTACTTATTTTTATTGAATATTACTGTATAATCTACCATCTTTCTCTTTCTCTTCTCTCTTCTATCGTTTGATTTATAAATAAATATAGCTTGCGGATGAAGTTTCGATGCGAATGGAAACAGGTCAAATACCTGGTGCACCAACAAATCAATATGCAGTATTAGAGGGACGAGAACAAATTGATACAAGACCATTTGAATTATATTTTGCACTACAGGAATTTTCTATTTTAAAACAGCATTTATCAGTTCAACCTCAGCCACCTGAAAAAGCATTAGGAATTCAAAATTACCATTTGTGGTTCGAAACAATCATTCAACTTTGGATAGCTGTTTGTAAAAATAAGGCACTTAGTCGTGTACGGTCGGCTATTACAATGGATGAAATTTGTGAGGGTGAGAAGATTGTACGTCATAGTACATCGTCCGTTGACATTGCTAGTGTGATTTATCAAATGAAAGAATTTTGGCGTCTCCTTCAATGGCCTGATCCAAATTCAGCTATTCATTTTGAATCGCAAATATTAGATGCTGCATGCTCTACTGCGCTTCATTATAGTGATTTAGTTCATCAAAATTTGATAGATAGCGGTTATTATGAACAACAGGGACCATTTAGAATTTCCGATGAGCTTTGTGTGTCCGTAAATAATTTAGAATATGTAAGGCGAGCTTTAGCTGAGTTTAAGGGTGACGATCCCAATTTGAACATTATTCAAATGCAACAGAGTATGCGGCCGATGGATAATTTATTGGATAATACACTTCTGCAACTAGAAAGAACGACAGAAAGGATTATGAACCGAATAGCTATTACAATGCAAGCACCAATGCAAAAATCTGTGTTCCATTTGGTAAGTTGGTGTCCAACTCGATTTTGGAGTTGCCTCCTATGGCAATCGTTCGCATGATTTGAAATCAAAAACTACTGCTGTCAAGATTGATGTCCTGCTGACAACTAAAGTAATAGGTTTAGTGATTTCACATTGTTCGAATCTAATGCTCGAAATTTTACAAACATGTTAAAAAAAATCTAAAAATTAACATAACTTTTCACTTAGGCTTGGTCACCCGACTCCCTGCCAGCAGCTCAAGCAATCATTCCATTATTAGAATATCTTGATCTTCATCTATCAGCTCTTAATAGTGCCCTACTTACAAAGAATTTTCATCGTGCATTAAATATAATTTGGCTTTTAGTATTAAATGAACTCGCAACACAAATGGATTCAGCGGGTGGAGAGAAGCCAGCAAATTTTCATGATCGCCTATATGAAGCACTTCAAATGCTCGTTGATTTCATTCACGCAGAGGGATTGGGATTAACGCATGATGTAATAAAAAATGATGATTATTGGCGTGTTGAACAGCGCCTTCAATATCATAAGAGCAACACGGAACAGTTAATTGATATATTTTATATGCAACGACTTCAAGAACAAATACGATTGCAAAACTCAAATGAACCTGCACAATTTGGTATGTTATCAGTTCGTGCCTACTTAAATCATGATTCATTGTGCGTTGAAGTATTACGTGCACAAAATGTTATACCATTAGATCCAAACGGCTTTAGTGATCCCTTTGTAATCATTGAACTTTTACCACGACGTTTGTTCCCCCATTGTACGGAACAACAAACCCATGTTCATAAGGTATGTACAGCGTGTCAATGTCAAAATGGAGAGTGAACGAGGAAAAAATGTGCTGGGTTTACATAGGAATGAAATGAAATGGAATTTTTTCTGTTATTATTTCCTTGTTGGTACTGCTGTATGTTTGTTATATGTTTAGGAACAAGAACAATAGAATTAAAAACATGACACTTGGGAAAAATATTTTTTGTTGTGGTTGTTTTCGTGCTTTTCACTAAACAACTTTTTTTAAACTGATTGTGAACTAAAGTCAGGAAGGAAAACAATGGGAAAAATTTACTTGAATTGGTGTGTATTTTTTTGCTAAACTATTGCATTTTAAACTCAATGAAGTGACATGAATGTCTATGAAGTTTCAAACTACTTCGTCAGCAAGAGTTTTGAACAAACTTTTACACAGAACTTTCCTGGTACTCTTCTTATTAAATTTTGTATTTGCCGATGAGCAGAAGTTGCTCGGTGGTGCAATAATCTAGTATTTTGAAACACCTGGTCCTGCGGCCATGGTTTATTTTTGCGACTTTATTACAAACTCAATTACCCAATTTCATAAAACATTTTGTTGTTGTTAATAAAATCAAATTAAAAAATTCCATTAAAAATAATTTACGTAAAATTCCACAAACGCTTTACATTGTATGGCTCTTAAATTCCATTAAGAATTTATTCGAAATAAAATCCACAATTATTTTCTGCCCCTCCATTTTAATTGTTATCACAATTTAACTATAAATCCATTTAAAAATGTTTCATTTTTATTTAAAATTTCAGCGCACCCTCAATCCAGTATTCGACGAGTGTTTCGAGTTCGGTACGATAACACAAGAACTATGTACACAGGAATGTGCAATGATTGGATTTACTGTGATGGATCATGACGTCATAACAGCGAATGATTTTGCTGGTGAGGCATTCTTGTCACTCAACAACATACCTGGAGTGTCGGAATGTGGAAGTATTGAAAATTTCCATGGATTGAAGCAAATTGATTTGGTCTTAATGCAGCAAAAAGATAAACGTGAGTATGAGGAATATTTAATGATTTATGAAAACCATGTTGATGGTTTCGAAAAAGATCAATTTCGAATCGTTCATCAACTTTGAATTTATTGACCAAATTCCAAGTTCCATTAAACATTCAATAAAATTTAAAACAAAATGATTTTTCTTCCTTATCAGATCATCCAATCTTCCAAATACTAGAAACACGTACGACAGATAAACTAGCACTCGATTATGTCCGCAAGCAAAAAGCAAGAGTGACGTGTTAAGTAAGTTTAAGAGTTGTCTACATTTAAACAACTTACATTTTCTTCATAATTAAAAGATAAATCTCTTCCATGTGCTCTTTGTATGGAAGTTTATATATTTAAGTAAAAGTGCAACTAGAAGTGGAACAAAGTAATGAGAATTATGCATAATCAGATGAAGTATAATATAATAATTTTTAATTAAATGGGCTTTAATCAACACCTGAATCTGTATTAAGATCAGTATATACATGTACATACATACACCCCAATATGATTATACATAAATGTTGATTAAATTAACATTTAATAAGGAAACAAGTCAGATAATAATTACAATAACTTACAACAAATTCTATTTACTAAATGACTCGAAAAAAATAAATTAAAAACGAAATCAATTAAAAATAAAAGAATAAAGGATGTTCTTTATGGAAATATTGAGCTGTCGAAATGTCAATCGAAAAAAAAAAAATACTTTATACCTGTACATCTAAATCTAAAGACTAACTTAATGCATCATCGATTCTATTTGTAATCAGTATATGAACTAAAATAGCTCTAAACTATTGTCTTTTTTACTACATAGCTTAATGTTGTATTTTAAACGAGAAATCAAATCTGCAAAAAAAAACCTCAGAAACTTGAAGTTGAAACTGAAAATAATTTGGAATTTATTAAATGTAATAGAGAGCTTGTTATTTTATATTTACATGAAATACTATGCATGCTGTTCATGTCATTTTCCATCAAACAAATAAACTGTCCAAAACTTTAAACTGGCTTAAATGATTTTCTATTAGGTAAATTTTTTCTTTGGAAAACAACTTATGAGTTCTTGGATCTTTTAAATAATCAGGATGTTGTTTGGATGAAGTTAAGGTAAATATTTGAAGTAAATATGAGTGTTAATGTAAACATGAAAGAAATTTTGCTAAGAACTTTTCTACTTAAGAATTACCAATTAAATTGTTTCCAAACTTCATCATTGAATCACAATTTTCATAAAATCACATTTTAACCATATTAAGAAGTCCATACAAAATCCTTTATTTTTGTATTCATAAACACGAATCAGAAAACCATAACTTAATAATCAAATATACACAAAACGGATAAAATATATGATAAAAAGAAGTTTATATTGATGTTTTATACTTAAGAATATTCTACTCTGAACAGAAACAAACACAAAACTATGCTTTAAGATTTATAAAGATTCTTTTTTTTCACATTGTAAATAGGAAAAATGAAAAAAATCCAACTTTACTGTACCTAAAGATAAGTGAAATATAGGACTCATCCTTTTCAAGCTGTGTTCTAAGGATTATATTTTTAATATCGTTTTTATTTGTCCTTTTCATCGAGATTGGAGAAAAATTTTCTCTTTTTAGACTTTCGTTGTGTCATTTTTTTCCAATGGATGTAATCATTTAAAAAATTTGATGCATTTGCATTAATTGGAAGTAATCGACTGTTAAACCTAATTGTAGAGTATCTAAGCCTTACCTTAAAGTTTTTCTAAGATTAAATTTTTGAGCGCAAATGTGATTTTATGTTTTGGACAAAATCAGAAATATTTTATAATTGTTAATTTAAAAAAAAAAATCTTTTAACATGTTGTTTTTAAATTTCTTAAAAATTTGCAAAATAAAACAAAAGTTATTAATAAAAATAGGGGAAATTCACGCAAAAATACCTTTATAATGTGGATAAGAAACAATCTATTCTTAGAGTTTCTAAAAAAAAATCTTCTGTATATCGCTATGAATCTAGATTTTAAAAAATGAAATAAATTTAATGATACAAACTTTTGTAAAAGAATAGAAATCAGTAAAAACGGTAATCTTATGATATTTACACGTACTTCTTTCATATGAAAGTTTTAAAAATAATTGAAGGATGCTTTCTTTGTTGCTGATTTTGATTTGATAGTCTTTTTGGGTGAGTTACCAATCGAGTCGATCTAATAACATAAACCGTCAATTTAGGAAAGTTTGAATGAAAATTTGTTAAGTTTTTGAAACTTCTATTAATGAAATATCCAGACCTAAGGTTAAATTTAATTAAGTTTACTTCCACACAGCCCAAAAAGGCAACCTTACTTTGCCTTAAGGCTACAAAATGGTATAGATTACCATCAAATTTTTCCATTCATTCAGATTTTCAAAACAAAATTAAGCAACAAAACCCTTTCACAATGATTCAGATTCGGAAAAAATGTTCAAAAATTCCTTGTGCACAATACTTTTCCGACACATTAGAAAATTGAAAGTTTTTGTTAATTTCTCTTGATTTGAATCTTTTAGCATCTTCTAGATAATGTTTTCGTTCATTGCTCAAAAAATCAGTCCTTAATATAAAGGATAAACATGATTTTTTACCAAAACTTTGTAAAAGTTTATCAAAAAATATTGTGCATGATCAAATTTTGTATGAAAATTGATGTAAATTTTGATCGCAAATATCTCGAAAACGGCATCAAACGGCATGTCCCCAGTTGTATGGGAGATAGATTTAAGCTTAATTAATTGATTTGTATAGGTTTCAGAGAGGTCTTTGGAAGACTTTTTAACTTATGAATAGTTTAAGTTTTGTAAAAATACTCAAATTTCAATTCATTTTTAAGGCTTAATAAGCAGATTTCTATTGAGTTTGTTGTTTTAATATGTAAAGCTAAGCTTAAATTAACTAGCAACTGCTTTCAAGACATCCAAATAACAACTTAAAGTAGAAAAAATCATATTTTTTTTTCATACACAAATTGTAAACAAATTTTGGGTGAGATTAAATTAATGATTTCTGGAGTTAGACATCAAATTGGGACGAGATATTTTCATAGGATATGCCTTAAGTTAAGATCTTTAATCTGGCATTTAAAAGATAAAGTTTAATTAATATGTTATTTTTGAATTTTTGAACATTTTTTCCGATTCTGAATCATTGTGCCTTTATTAAAAGAGGTTATTAAAAATTATGAAACAATGGTGATGATGTGTAAGTGTAAATTAAGAAACATAAAAAATTAATTAAAATGGAATAAAAAGTTTAAGAAAAAAAGGGAAAATTGAAATTATTATGGAAAATCTGTCTTCTTTCAAATACTGTGATTTAACAATGGAATTCATAGATGTTAATTCATTCATTCTCTGTAGAATCAAGAATTGAATTTTAACAATTATCTAGAGCTAATCATTAATATTAACATAAAATCATATAAGAATATACATACATAACTATAAAATTATAAAAGAATAATCAGAATTGCGTTTAAAATCTGAAAGAAACTTAAAAAGTTTTTATCGCAGATAATATTGGAATTTCAAAGCGCAAAATACAGCATATAAATGTGAAATAAACTTTACATTCAACAGAACTTTCATCCATAAGTGTAATCTAGACGAGCTTACCTTCTTCTTGTCCTTTGTATGAATTTTATCAAAAATTTTCAATTTTATTTTTTTTATATTTGAACACTCAACATCAAAACTACCTTAATTTAATTATTAGGCAAAGATTACTGCAATAATACAATATGATTCTTTACATTTCTGACAAAATTCAGCACAAAGGATGAGAACTTAAACACGAACAATTTTTTGCATCTCCCATTCTTAATCCATTCTTTATTCAGTATATTCATGCACTTAAAGCTTTCACATAAGTTTTCTTGAAACGACAAACTCGTTTACCACAATAGTTATTTTTCATGAGCTTTATCGCATTGTGAGATTAAAAAGTTTTCACATCATAATGAGGAAATTAAAAAGAGCTTTTAAAGAAAGTTTCTTCTCACTCATCTACATCTGGTGCTCGTCGACAGAAAGCTTTAGTTTATTTTTGGAAATTACTTGCTTTAAGGACGCAGAATGTGGCTTTATTTTTCAATACATGCATTCATGTAGGGTTTTATGCTTTAGAATTTCTTTCTTCAAGTATATAAGCATGAGAACAATGCGAATTTAATTTTTAATAGGCTTAAAAGTATCTTCTCATAATAGATCTCTCTCTCTCAAAATCAAGACATTAAAAATATTAAATTCATCAACTTAATAAAGCTTCCTTTTGTCCTCAAAATTACGTCTTGTGGGTCATGTCAAACTTTTTCATGAAACTTTTTATAACAAAATGTTATTGATTTTCGATACTTTGTCGGTGATGAAAAAAAAATAAGAACTTAAAATTTTACATTTTTTTCTGCTGTATAGAAATAAGAAGTGATAATAACAGCATTAATGGCAATATTTTCATCATCAGAGCCCACATAAAAATAACTTTTCTGTGAAACTTTCTTTGAGAACGACGGAGAAAACCTTTTTTGTAGATCAAATAAAATCTGTTAAAAGCTTTAACATAAACAGAAAGTTGCTTTTTTGTGATCCCGAGAGAAGTAATGTTGAAAATTAGAATTATTTCAAGAAATTTTCCAGACTTTAAGAGCTTAGGAATGCCATAAATAAGTTCTCAAACCCAAAGAAATATTCTAAACAAATCATTGGAAACTGATTAAGTTGCCCATTTTTTACTCTGGTTAACATTTTCATTTTTGCATAAAAAAAGACTAAATCAAATTTTTCTCATGATGCGTAGGCGGTTATGGCCCAAATATTCATAAAGCTTGTAATGTATTTTAGCATGAGAATATACTTGAACTGCTTTATTTACTCTAATTAAAGTGAATCTCAAGTATTGCCGAATATTTCTAGACAATCAATTTCAAGTGAGCATAACCTACTCTAACTTGATAATGAAATAAGGTTTTAGTTTTAAATGTTGCTGAAAACTTAAAGTAAAGTTTCGGATGAATATGTTTCCAAACCAAGAAAGTGTTCGGAATAATTCTTTTATTGAATTTGATTTTTAAGAACAAGGAGAACTTGAAAGAGTTGGGCATTGCAAGCAACACAAACTTTAGTTCTACTGAACACGTAAATGTTCAAGTCACAACGACTATGTTTAAGTTTTTTTTTTAATCATCTTGCAGAATTTTTCTCAGTTCCATCATCTTACTCAAAAACCTGAATCGTGAAAAATTTCAGTATTCAATTCCTTGTGACCTGCAAAAATTCCTTCTTTTTATTTCCTCTACAAAAATAAAACTGAAACAAATTTCATGACTACAAGAATCTATATTTTTATCCTTGATATTTTTATAAAGATATAAATTGCATTAACTTTTACTACACAAATTTTATAAATTCCAATGATGCTGAAAATATTGATAAGTATTTTTTAAAAAAAATATATTTCTCTCGTGAAATAAACTTTTGGAAAGAAAAAATGTTAAGAAAAACTTTTGCTGCAAATTATGGACAGAAAAAATATTTTGCACTAAACGAAAAGAAGAAAAAATTATATAAAAGATTTCAAAATAATTCTATTTATATTTATAAAAGTGTTTTAAAGAAAAGAACTTTTGTAATAGTTTAATTATACTAAGAATGTGGAGTTTGTTTACAAATATTATTGGGTAGTTGTTACTTTACTCTATTTTTTAATTGTGAATTTATTAATAATAATTTTATTACCTGTTTTTAAACTCAGAGCTTTAAACAAACCTATTTCCTGAACACTTTATACAGATTTGTCAATTTATAGCTAGAAGAAAGTAATTTGGAAATTGCATTAAATTATAAATAAAATCAAATCCATAAAATATCATCTATAGCCTAATAAATTTTAATACTTCACAATATAAACTTCATGTAAATGCAGATATCTAAAAACAATTTAATACAATTTCCAAGAAAAAGTCTGAAAGTTTTCAATTATTTTATGCGCTTCATTTTCAATTTACAAATATCAAAATTAAATCGAAAATATCAAATTTTATTTCAATTTGTTGATAAATTATGCTTCATAGTGATTTTTTAATTAACTACCCTTAAGCCCACTTGTTATGGAACATTTCATTTAATTTGGAAATATGAAAAATCAAAAGCACAATAAAGTATTATCATCAATTGAATTTAGACCATTGCCATTGCCTTTTTAATTCCAACTTATTTATTTCAGGATAATATAATAGAGTTTAAAAAAAATATTTTAATTTTGCGATAGCTAAGCTTTTATAATAAAAATAAGTTTATAAACATAATATAAGAGACATGACCTCATCACAGTCAATACATTGTATATGTGAAATAAAATATATACTTCCTATTTTAAGACATTACCCTTTAAAACCTATAATGCAATCATTATTGTGTGATCGAAAAAGAAAGGAAGTGAATTCCACACAACTTTCAAATTCATTTATTCAGAGGCTTGATCAGAAGTTTTTATGAGTTTAAACTTCTCAACCCACCCCACTTGAAAAATTTCTTCAATTTGAAGTGATATTACTGCGTTTTTTAAGTTAAAAATTCAGAATCCATCCTCCCTCTCTTCCCTTTACTCAAAATATTTCTTGATTATCAGTAAACTATAAATTAAGTTTTTTTTATTTAAGCAACCCAATCAGTCAATCTCCATTCTTTGCGCCTCTACTCCACGTGATTGAGAAATAATTTACCCTCGTATCAAAAAAATTAAATAAACTCATCGGCACATGACTTTACAATTAATACATGCTGTATGCTGCTTCACCTTCAATTCCTTTAAACATGGCATTAAAAAAAGGATGAAAGATGAGTACAAAGCTTGAAACATAGCTCAAAAATCACTCATGTGAGAAATTTGATTTAATATCCATGCGAACTTTCTCTGTTTACTTAATACGAGGGTTTGACAGCAAAATGAGATTGAAATTACTATAAATACACATACATCCGGCACTAAACACCTCAAAAAAATATATAATTTTAGATAGATACTTGCACACACATATTGTTTTCATAACTTTCATTTATCCTCCAGATGTGTATATGTCATTAAATTTTGCAAACTATAAATGACACCTTTGGATCTATGCACACACGCATCTAAAGGTAAAATCTGTTTTAAATTCTCTCACGATTTCCGACCTTTTTCATCTGTATTATATTTTAGCATATTTGTCTATTATGACTGTATTCATTTAGCATATATTCCAAGCATTATTCCTTGTTCTTCCATAACAACCATTTACAATGAAAAAATTTTCTAGCCAGCATTAAAGTTGCTTTAAAGTATTATTCCGTCCCTCATTTGTATATCCATTTACATTACTGATATTGTGAGTGAACAAATTATGAAATTAATCTCATGGGCGAAATAATGAAAATTGTAATGGAAAGAAAACTTTACATCTGAAAAATTGTTGCAGAGTAATTTTTAAATTTATTTTTCTCTCGTCCACTTCCCACAGGAAAGTTTGAAACAATGGGTAAATAAACTAATTATAGGATATTTAAATAAAATTTTATTCAGTATTGGATCATGATTTTTTTTTGCAGAATTATGTGTGGGAAACTGGTTAAATATACATGCATGATGCTGCTTATTTTGTTGCTGATTCTTGCTGCTTTGTAATTTTATAATTGACTTTAATAATTTTCAAATTAAATTATAATTTAAACTTCCTTTTCAATTATAGCAGATGACCTTTATCAATTAGAATTGTTTTTGACACTTTATTTCAATAAATTTCAAATGTCAAAAGTTTCAAATGCCAAAAGCATCTTCTATGAAAATGACACTAAAATGATTTCTATTTCAGAATATCTTCCTTCGGGCTCTAACGCTACATCGACAACTTGAACATTGACTTTATTGTACTATGGCAACTCTTGACATTTACATCGGAATTAAAGTATAAATTCTGTTGTAATTTTTTCAAGCCAACAAGAAAAAAGTAGAATTATTCGACATGTATTAATTTGTATTTTATACAGCTTGAATGAATGAACTTTTGTTTTTAAGAATCAATCAAAATTGAGGTTTATAAAAAAATTTAACTTTTAATTTTCCCTAATATTGGTATCCTTAGTGGTTTGAATCAAATATGAACCTTGTTATGAATTTTGTGTAGCTATTGAAGAAATAAATGCTATTTCACTGTCTCTTGAATGTCAAATATTGTGTTGTATTAACTTTACACAATGAGTGAAAATTTTTTTTTAAGTTTCACATCTCATTTCCGTTCATGTCCAACTTATTTTTTTTTGTAAATCAGGAAATTGAAATTCTATAAATTGGCCGATTTTACATTCGCAAGACCCAATTGTCATTGACAAAAGGATTCAACAAGATGAAAATATTTCTTTTGATTGGAGTCGCATTATTGGGAAGCGCTTTAGCTCAGAATTCTGCAGCCCCAACAAAGCAACCTAAGCCTACAAAGCCACCAAAAGCAGGTCCAGGTAACATAATTAATTGATTTCTTTTGCCACTAGTTATTTTCTCCAAAACCTACCTCAAAATTTTATAATTTTCAGTCGTCACTTGCTCTAACATTACCCGTTATGAGCCTCGTTCATGCTGCCCATCATTTCCAAAAATTGATAATAAGGAAATCATCAAGTGTGGACGTCAATGTGCTAACAAAAATGATAGTCACATTTGCTGTGTTTCAAATTGTACATTGAATGAAATTAAAGGTTTTAATGTCGATGGATCATTCAATGTTAAAGCATTGACAGACTTTTTTGCCAAATATTCCAACTTAAAAAATAAGACAGGCTATACTAGCTTGGTGGCTGATATAGTACAAAAATGCGTTGCTGGTATGTGTTAATATTCTTTATAAATTAGGAAACTTCAAATTATTATTTATACAATTACAGGATTGTCTGGTAAAGCATGTCCCCCTGCAGAAGTTGCATTCTGTACCTACAGACAGCTTTTCATTCAATGTCCAGACATGAAAAACAGCACAATTTGCAAATCTGTCAAAGATGCAGTTCCAACCTGTCCAAGTTATCCATTGATAGGAGAAAATGAGAAACCAAAGAGCAGTAAGAACGATGCAAAGCAAGCTGACAGTAAAAAGGAAAATGGAAAGAAAAATGATGAAAAGAAGCCAAACGAAAAGAAGGAAAACGAAAAGAAGAACAATGATAAAAAGAATGATGGCAAAGGATCTAACGTACCAAAAGGAAAAAATAAAACAACTGCAAATCCAGCTGCTATCAATGGAACAACTCCTAGTAATAATGCGTCTGTTGAGCCAAACAAAGCTCAGAAAGGAAAGGCCAAAGAGATCAAATTTCCACAAACAACACAAAAACCAACAACAGCTGTTAGTGGCAATAATACAACTCACAAGAGTGAATCAAGAGATGGAGCTTTAGGCCCCCAAGGTCCAGGATTCCAACCTTAATTTTTTTCCGTAAAAATAAAGATAAAACTAATTAAAGTTTAATAAAATTCTAATTTTTTTATGTTTGAAATGAGAAAAAAATTGAATATGTTTGATTTATAGTGGATCTAAAGATATGATAAATTCTTAAGTTTTCTTTTACAATTTGGGTTATAATCTGAGAACTGAAACACGGCTTTCCATCATTGTATTTTGTGTCTGTTGTCTTATGGATACTTTCTAATAAAATTCCATGATAATTTTTTAATTCAAAACCAATTTCGGTCCTACAAAACATAAAACATTTTTTACTGCGTTTGGATATTCAATGTTCAGAGTATTGTTATTTTTTTATTTCATGTAAAAATTGTTTTCTAAACCACTTGACAAGAACTTTTAGTGACTCATATAGAATGTATCATGTTGAAAATTTTAATACGAAAAAAAAAATTTTCATCCACTGTTACTGAAAACATTGAGTCATTTGCCCTTGCTCGAGGTATTAAATAGATTAACAATAACAGAATTTTTGAATAAAAACCTGGAAACTTTGCTAAATCTATATCAGTTCTGATTAATCTACTCAAAATGGAAGCTCGTACAGTCTCAGTTATATTATTTTTAATAGCTGGAGTTTATTCAAAAGAATCACATGATGGTAAGCAATCTACTTAATAGCTTTGATGCATATATATATCTGAAGAGTTAATTCCTATAACAGAAAAGTTGACAAAGTTTCCAGGATGTGAAAAAATGAAAGATTTTATTGGAATTCCATTATCAAAATGCTGTGAATCACTTCCGCATATGGTTGACAAGGAATTATATAAAGATTGTATGGAATCGTGCAAATCAAAAGATGATTTTGTTTCCAAACGATGTTGCATGGCTGATTGTGTTCTTAAGGCTGCCAAATTATTGAATGAAACTGGATACTTTGATTTTGAAGCTGCAAAAACGACATTGAACGAGAAAGTTTCAAATGACGAAAAATGGGTCGAAGCTATAAAAGAATCGGTTGAGACATGCAAAACTGAAGGTAGTATTAACAAGAAAACATTTGAACAGTCGAATTTAATTCCATAAAAAATCTTTTTTCAGCACCTCAAAAACTTGAAGAATGGAAAAAGAAGGATTCGCCAAAATGTGAAACAGCTATTAATATGGTAGCAAAGCACTGCATACTTCGTCAACTCTTCTTCAAATGTCCAACTAAAGCTACATCCAAAGAATGCACAGATCTCGAAGAATTCGGACAAAAATGTCCACTTTTCCCAGTTCCAGGAAAGCAAGGAAAGAAGGGTGATGATGCCGGAACCGACGAATAAAATTTAGATTCATTAAGATTTGATTGGTTTAAAATATCAAAATAATATAAGTATTCTTGAAAACAGTGGTAACGGGATGTTTTACTAGGTTATAGTCTGTGATTAAAATAAAGTTTATTAAAGCAGTCAATTCCAATTGTTTCATTTTGACTGCACCATATACAATGTTTTCTTCATACTTAAGTGACATCTATTAGATCTTCTCTGAAGTAGGTTAAGTATTCTGCGTTATCGGCACTGTTTAAAAATATATGGTCTTGCGAATTATATTTGGACCAAAGAGAGAAGGTGGCTTTTACAACAGCAGGAGCAACGCAGAATTATATTAGCTTTTCAATGAAGCTGATATCGTCCGACGAATCAAAGTCAACAGGCTCCGTTGGGCTGGACATGTCGTTAGGAGCCTGTTGAAGCTCCCATTAATAAAGCCTTTAAGAATGTTTTTGTAGATGGCAAAAGATTACAGATGTTGACAGAGACAGTATTACACAATTGATGTACGGCCAGCGAAGTAAGTAAATATGACATAAAACTATTTTAAAAAATAATCAGAGCAATAAACAGAACTAAAACAAGTATAAAAAGAAAAATCAAAAACTGCGACTAGGCCATAATAAGTAAATAAATTCTAACACTATCTATTGTTATCAAGATCTATTTAGGAGGTGATATAAAATAAATTTATATCAAGATAACAGAAGATAATATTTTCATCAAAACATTTCATTTTGAAGCTATAGAAATTTCAAATACATTTAGCTATGACTGATCAAGCAAGAAAGGTCTTTTTAAAGATTTTGAGTGCTACTCCATTTTTATACTCATTTATTGCTTTGAAAATTCATAATCCAATGCAGCAGTATAGTTTTAAAGATTGTCTTATCGATGACAAAAAGTAAATCAAAAATAAGGCGTGGAAACTATCCCAAATATCCCATATATATATATATATATATATATATATATATATATATATATATACAGTACCGTTCAAAACTGTTTCCATTTTTCAAGAAAATTTTTCTTTCCAAGATATTTCTTATAAAACGTAATATTTTTCCAACATGTTATATATCGTTTTAAAGCTTGTTTAATAAGCTATTTAAAAATCAGTGTTGCATTCTGGCTATTTGTCTGGATCAGATAAATTCTGAGACAGAAATTTCTTCATAAAGATCGATTCTACATGAAGATAGAAAATCTAATCTACACAAAGATTATTTCTACATAAAGAATGTGTCTACATAAAGATTCGATGTAGATGTCTACAATTCTACATTCTTCTCTGATGTAGACCTGGAAAAAATGTAGAATTGTAGACATCTACATCGAATCTTTATGTAGACAGAATCTTTATGTAGAAATAATCTTTGTGTAGATTAGATTTTCTATCTTCATGAAGAATCGATCTTTATGAAGAAAGTTTCTTAGCTAGACAAAAACTATTGAAGAATCTACATTCTTCTTCTAGTGTAGACATCTACATTTGCAACACTGTTAAAAATGATAAGCAACTTTGGAAAATATTTAATTAAAGTAGATTTTTTGCTTAAAATATACACTGTCACATGGAAACACTTTTGAGCTAATAACTGTTTTTCCAAATTTTGATGCATAGCAGAACTAATTGATTAAAGTTTGTATATTATACATAAATTAAGTTGCTAGACATAGTTAAAATATTTACATAAGAATGTTAAATCACATGATAAATTTTCACATAATTTTGAAAAAATTACCGAATTAAAGCCAAATGTTGTGACGTTTGCATCCATACAAATGTATTTTAGCTTATTAAATCTGAAAAACAGTTTGTAATTGTAAATAGGAGCATTTGAAAGCAAAAAAATTGATAAGATTTCATGGAAACACTTAAATTTTCTTACTTGCAAACACAAACATTCAAAATTTTTTATTACTTCCTCCACTTCAAAGAATTTTAATCGGTTTTTCTGATAGATTTTATGTTAACAAAGATAACCATATATGATTTATGTAGTCATTGTGAGAGTAAAAGGATGTTTTTTATAATTTTGTTGGTCAATGACAGCCATATTCAAAATTTTTCAAAAATTTAATTCTTTTACGTAAATATCGACTTTAGAAAGTCAAATATGATAATTTATTATTATGAATTGGATATTTTAATTATTTTAATCATTTTGCGTTGTCTTAAGTCGATATTTACGTAAACAAATTGAATTTTTGTAAATGCTTATAAAAAATTTTGAATATGGCTGTCATTGACCAACAAAATTGTAAAAAAACATCCTTTTACTCTCACAATGACTACATAAATCATATATGGTTATCTTTGTTAACATAAAATCTATCAGTAATAAAAAATTTTGAATGTTTGTGTTTGCAAGTACCCTGTTTTTTCGTTATAAGCTAGTAGCTTAGAAGAATAAAAAAGTGATTTTTTTGGATCACTAGTAGCTTAGTAACGAGTAGTAGCTTAGTAAAGAAATTGAACTTCAATGAAAATTTTGAATTTTTTAACTTAATTAAAGAAATTTTGCTATCTTCTCGATTCTATTTCATTGACAATGTCATAAGACATTGAAACTGATACTTAAAAAGTTGAAAAAGATTAATTAAACTATATTTTTCGTAGTAGCTTAGTAAAGATTACAAAAAATTTTCAAGTTCAAAAAAACTTTACTAAGCTAGTAGCTTAGTAACGAGTAGTAGCTTATAACGAAAAAACAGGGTAAGAAAATTTAAGTGTTTCCATGAAATCTTATCAATTTTTTTGCTTTCAAATGCTCCTATTTACAATTACAAACTGTTTTTCAGATTTAATAAGCTAAAATACATTTGTATGGATGCAAACGTCACAACATTTGGCTTTAATTCGGTAATTTTTTCAAAATTATGTGAAAATTTATCATGTGATTTAACATTCTTATGTAAATATTTTAACTATGTCTAGCAACTTAATTTATGTATAATATACAAACTTTAATCAATTAGTTCTGCTATGCATCAAAATTTGGAAAAACAATTATTAGCTCAAAAGTGTTTCCATGTGACAGTGTATATTTTAAGCAAAAAATCTACTTTAATTAAATATTTTCCAAAGTTGCTTATCATTTTTAAATAGCTTATTAAACAAGCTTTAAAACGACATATAACATTTTGGGAAAATATTACGTTTTATAAGAAATATGTTGGAAAGAAAAATTTTCATGAAACATGGAAACAGTTTTGAACGGTACTGTATATATATATATATATCCCAAAAATATTAAAAATAATCCCTGAGCCTGTATGCATTAGAACTGAGATATCCCATCATATCCTGAAATTACACGTCCAATACACTAAGGATAGGTTGGGATAGCCTAATTATCGTGCATACATGCTCAGGAATTTTTTGAATATTTTTGGGATATGCGGGATAAATATGATATTTGGGATAGTTTCCACGCCTTGATCAAAATAGATCTGGAATAGTAATCATTTTGACGCCCAGTCATCAGATTAAATATTCAGGTTTTGTCCTTCTTCTGCTACGTTACTCACTAACCAAGGTCACAACTATTTATGTCAAAATTGACAAGCCAAATGTTAAAATTGAGTGCTTAATATGTAGCATGTAAGCTCCCATGTACTTTTATAAAAAAATATTTTACAAATTTCACAAAACAAGAAGCAGTTTGATATTTTGGTTTCTGTCATTGCTTAATTATCATGAAATTTCTTGGTTCTATTACTTACTTAAGTTTGTTAAATTTTTATTCACTTGCAAATTTGCATTACAAAGGTTTTATTAAAATCTGATCTTTCAAAATCATTTAAATAACTTAAAATGTTATTTTCCAGATGATCCAGCCTGTGATAAATCAAAGCTTGTTCCAAATACATATATTGAGAACTGTTGCCCTACGCTACCACATTTTAGTGATCCAGAAATATTTGCTGGATGTGCACAACACTGTGCGATGTGGATTTCAAACCCTGATCAGCCTGGAGCTAAGAAATGTTGTATTTTAAATTGTACCTTACATATGGCTGATGTTCTTAGAAAAAATGAAACTTTTGTTATTGATAAAATGGTTAAATATTATCAGAAGACTGTCAAACCTGAGACCTCCAATGTTTGGTTCCCAATTATTAGGAAAGTCATCATCAATTGTCGTGATATTGGTATGAAATATAAAGAACCAGCAATTGAAGAAATGGCGCCGCAATGTGAGACAACAAATATTACAGTAGCCCTAAACATCACAAGATGTATTCGTAGAGAATTATTTTTTGAATGCAAAGATAAACTAATGGAATCTGAAAACTGTCAGCTTCTTAAAGGATATGGTATGGATTGCATGTATTGGCCATGGCAGTGTTATCGAAAGAAGCTTTTTGGAGGAATTGAAAAGCATAAAAATTCAGCTGTACAAACTTAATTCACAAAATGACAATTCATGTCTCTTGGTTGTATTATCTCAATTCCTAATGCTTAAATATTTAATAAAATAAAATTAAATGAAAATGTTCGATTTATATTTTAAAGCTTCACTTTAATAAAAAACTGAACAACATCAAATTTCCTGTTTTTAAGTAGTCTGCAATATTTGTCAAACCTTGTTTTGTCATTAGATTTTAAACTTTAATCTTTTTAAAGTTAATCTACAAAAATATGCAACCTAAATCGGCTGAATTTGTTTTTTTGATCATCATTGCTTTAAATTTAAAGGAGGTAAGCAAGACATTTAGAATTTCGTTTCTGTTGATTTAATACTTTGTGAATATCCAGGTCGTAAATTTAAAAACATTTGCGACAATGTCGAAGAAGAAAACTGAAAAAGAATGCCAAATTCTACCAAAAGTTTCAAAACCAAAACTTCTTGAATGCTGTGCACTTCCAGATTTCTTCAAATCTGATGTTCGTGAGACATGTGTTTCAGAGTGTAGCGATTCAGATGCCGATCAAGATCCATGGTGTTGCATGACAACATGTGCAATGGAAGAGACTGAACTGGGATCAAATGGAACCATTAATAAGGCATCGGTGAAAAAATATTTCTATGACATCTTCATTTCTATTGAGATAAGAAAGGTATTCTATCAAATACTACCCAAATGTTATTTAATTTTAAAAAAAATCTGTCTAGATGCTTGACAAAACATTGACTAAATGTGAAAATGAATGTAAGTTTCGTAAAATCCAATTTAAATCCAAATTAATATTTTTATTTTGATTATTATAGCTCCAGACTCTCAAACTGAGCATTGTGATCACCCAGAATATGGAACCATCTTAAGTTGCATTCATCATGAGCTTTTTAAAACATGCATAATGGCAAAAACTGATCCAATTTGTCAAAAAATTAAGAACTTCATTAAAAAATGCCCTTCACGCAAGGACGAGCTTTTTGACTCAAAGTAAAAGACTTATGACAATGAAAAAACTTTATAAAATAAATCTGTTCAAAATCAAGGATAATATCCGCAAATAAATAACTTTAAAAATAGAGCAAGGATTTTTGCATTTGATTTTTTTTTTATTTAAGATCCAAGATAATTTATCTTGATTTATCAAAAGAAAATGTTTCATTGCCAAATTATGGAACAATCTGCAATGTAGCCATGAAACAATAATAATTAAGGTAAAAATCTTGAAAAATATTTTATCAAAATATTTCGCGAGATAACATTAATTGAAGGATCTTTTTCTCGGATAAAATTCAGTTTATAAGCATGGAAATTTGGGAGACAAGTCATTAGTTTTTCTCTGAATATCTTCCAGTATTCAAATCAAAGCTTTAAAATCTTTTAAATTAACAAAAAAAAAAAAGTAAGAATTTTTTTATGATGAAACTGGCCATTTTTCTTCTAATTTTCGTCGTGTCTGTTACGATTTCTAATGCATTTGAAGTTAAGCGACATAAGCTGATTGGTGCAGTAAAAATTGTTAAACGAAGATCGATTGTTTTTGATGATGTTGACCCTGCAAGTACTTGTTCAACTGCTCAAAAGTTTTCAACATTTTGTGCTACAAGTCCGTCTTGTGAATCCAATGGACAAATTTTCGTAAGTTAAAAATAAACTTTAACTTTACATCTAGTAATAGTTTTAATAAAAATTCCAGCAATGCTTGCCAAATGGAAAGTACTCACTAACGACATGTAAAAACCAAAAGCCATATTGCGTTGGAAGTGGTGGATTTTCTTTTTGTAGCAGTGAACCTGATGCAACAGCATGTGCTAGTGAATATTATCAGTGTCTCGGAAATGGGGTTTATCCTGAACTTGATAGTTGTCGCTCATATTACAACTGTTCATTAAATGCTGATGAAACTGCTGTTACTGCTCAAAAATTTACATGCGATAGAGGCTTTGTTTTTAATCCAATTAAGGGATGTACTAGAGGTTTATGTAACAAACCTGCATGCCGCAATAATAAGAGAACTGTTTGGCGTCCATTGAACTATCTTGGATTTGATCGAAACCGTATGGGACTTTTATGTGTTGCTGGAAATCCAACATTTATATATTCATGTCCAAATAACATGCAACTTGATCTTGATTCAACAAGTGAACCAAAGTGCATCCTTAAATGTACATTGAGAACTCAAATTGCTCCAAGCTTAGACGACAATACAAAATACTTGCAATGTAAAAGAGGAAAAGTCGAAGAAAAATATTGTGACCCTGATTTTATTTTTGATTCTTATAAATTGAAATGCATAAAATCGCAAACTACTACCACTACCTCTACTGAAGGAACAACACCTGTCGAATCAACTAGCATAGATCCACAAACCACTTCTCAGCCATCAACAAATCCAAACACAGATCCACAAACTACTTCTCAGCCATCAACAAATCCAAGCACAGATCCACAAACCACTTCTCAACCATCAACAAATCCAAGCACAGATCCACAAACCACTTCTCAGCCATCAACAAATCCAAGCACAGATCCACAAACCACTTCTCAGCCATCAACAAATCCAAGCACAGATCCACAAACCACTTCTCAACCATCAACAAATCCAAGCACAGATCCACAAACTACTTCTCAGCCATCAACAAATCCAAGCACAGATCCACAAACCACTTCTCAGCCATCAACAAATCCAAGCACAGATTCACAAACCACTTCTCAACCATCAACAAATCCAAGCACAGATCTTCCAACGACCACCATTGGTGCCACAACAACTGACATATCAACAACTGTTTAAGAATCTTTTATTTATTTATTGCTATGAAGGAGCTAAGTTGGTATTAAATATTCATTCACAAATCATTTACTTAAAGGGACTTAAACCTTTTATTTATATTCATCTTATCCTGTAATTTATTAAATAAAACCTCAATAAAGTTCTATACTTATTACAAATATTTATTCACCTTTACTTTTTCTTCGACCTTTTGCAAACATATCAGCAAAGAGCCCCGCAAATACTAAAGTAGCTCCAAACCATTGCAGCCTGGATAATGAATTGCCAAAAACCATGACAGAGAAAAGAACTGCAAAAAATTTTCTTACTGTTGTTACAATGGAGCACGGAAGTGATCCAAAATTGCTAATCATCGTGAATATAAAAAATTGTCCAAATGCCCCAGTTGTGGAAATTAGAAACAGATCCTTAATGATATCGGGATGAGATGATGTAAATTTTAAGAAGTGTATCCATTCTCCAGTCATTGAAATTACAATTGTGAGTATTATCGTGCACCAAGTGTTAACCCACATCATCATAGCACCAGCTGATGGATTTCCAACTGATGTTATTCGATCCTGTATAACCCCACTTATGCCGTTCATAAAAAGACTAAAAAGGATCAAAATTTGACCAAGTATTGTACTTTCTGATCTTGCTGAATCATCATCAACTTTGTACATAAAGATCGTAACACCAATCACTATCAATAGTGTATGGAAATATTTTCTCATTGGATATGACTTCCTGCCAATTAAGACACCAAGAAGCATAACCGGAATTGGTTTAGCTGACTTTGCAATAACTTGTGTAGGGAATGTGATCCATCTTAATGCCATATTACTACTGACCATTGACAATAGATTTGATAGTGCAGCCAATGCATAATAATAACTTGGCGTTTTATCATCACTTGATTGAGGCTGTCTGGTTAGTATAACTGTGTAAATAGTGCGATTAGTAGCATCACATGGAAAGTTATAAAGTACTTCATTTACCTTTAGCAAAAATTAAGTTGCAAAGACATTCAATAGCGACTAGAGTCAATGTGCATGTAAATCGTTCTCCAATCATCCCATCCTGATTGATTTTATTACCATATCTACCCCTTGTAATCCTCTCTTGAATTATTCCAAAATACGAATGACATATTAATATCCCTAGTGCACTTATTACGAATCTTGTTCTCATGACTTCAGAATGCATTATGATTAAGAGCTTTTTAAAAGAACAATGCATATACGATACGGATGATTTATTCTAGTAAGCTTGATTACATGATTATAAATTCGTGCTCTCTCTTTCTCTTATTTTGATGATGCTACAGATTGAAAAATCAGTGAAAGAAAACTTTTATTTGATGACAAAGATAAGTCATGTGATAAGATATGATCATATTTTGCAATTTATTCAGCTTAACTGAATTGTCTTACAATGTACCAGAATGTTTGCGTTATTTTACAAAATTTATTATGAAAACTTTTAATCTTTATAAGGACAGTATTTAACCCAAGTTCAAGGTTACAAACTAATTCTAATCTGAATGAGATTTTTTGATTTTTTTTTTTAAATTTTATAAATCTTTGGATTTTAAGAAAAAATCACAGGCTTCCTCAAATAAACTTAATCTGAATTATAGTTTTTTTAACTTTTCAGCAATAAATATAAAAATTTAAAATTATTTATTCGCATACCTATGCGGTGAAAGCGTAAAGTCATTTGAATAAATTTCATCAAACTAATATTTGTACAGGTTTCAAAAATGCCGTAGATCACGAGAAGAGAAATAAAATAAGAATTTTTGAAAGACTTGTTAAATTGGTTCTATGGGAAATACCATTCAGGTTTTTTAAACAACAATAAAAGATTAGACAGCTGATACTTAACGAAATGAATGAATATCAAAAAATTTGATTGACTTACATCTTCTTCTGTCTGCTCGCAATCACTAAGATTTGAAAACATTAATTATCAAAAATGTTAATTTCTTTCCAACAGTTTCTAGAATTTTAAATATTGAGGAGATATTAAATAAACAGAGAACTCAGTTTCACGAGATCTAGTCTATAGAAAATAAGATTCATATGATTCTTTAGTAATTCTGTGCATGTCAAAAAATTTTTGTAGTACATTTCGCTTTTTTTAAAATATAACAACGGTAATTTGAAATTCAAATTATTCGTAATAAATTGTTCAAAAAATAATATCAACAAAAGAAAATCGTGCGTTTTGCTCTTAAAATCTATTAAAGAAATGAAGCGTTTTTTCTATCTGACAGAATCATTTCAGGAACCAGCTGATTATACAGTTACACCAAATGAATTATTAAAATTCGATACACAACATCCAGAATTAAATAGGTGACTAATTAAATGCCGGTTTTAAATAAATTCATTGATTTAATCTCCTCACAGTCAAGAGTTTTGGTATAATATCTCAAATTATCAGGCACCAGATGATTACCTTCCAACTTATTCATCTATTCGTCAAAATGAGCACGGTTTATTCATTTTAGCATCAAACGATTTTGCATCATGTGTTGCTGGCGGTAATGACTTATTTCCTTTAATTATCAATACTGTATCTTACAAAGTCTTATCAATTCTGAATTTCTAGGCGTTTTAGCTGGGGATTATAATTTCAATAATTTTGTAACCAGTGATTTCAAAAGTGCCAAGTTTACAGCAGTTCACAAAAACAATTTGCTGGATCTTTGTTACCTCAATGATATTACGGTAGGGCCTACTTTTATCTATCTAGAAACAACTTGTCTAATTATATGAATAAATGTTTAGTTTGTGGCAACAACAGCAAGTAACTCGATGGAAATGTATAGCACCAAAGCACCTGTAACATTAGAAAAAGAAAACCATCAAGAGATTTTCTGTTTCATAAAAATAAGTAGCAAAATAACTGAAGGGCGAGTGACATGCTTAAGTCAATTTAAAAGGAAGAACAGACTTATTACTGGAACTTCAAAAGGACATTTTGAATGCTATGAATACGACTCGAAGGAACTCTTTCTTTCTTTTAGTCTTCCTTATGGGCATAGTATGGAAATTACAGGAATTTCCACACATCCATCTATAGATCTTAATTGGGCATCAACATCACACGACAAGAGTTGTTTATTATGGGATAGACGTCAAGTATATCCAACAATTAGTTTAATTGATAATCATCACGATCAATTGACTGACGTTAAATGGCTTAAGGATGAAATAATAATTTTAAGTGATGCTGCTGGAAATTTGATGGTATTTGATACTAGAAACGATCAGATTCCCATGACCAAAATAAATGTCTTGGATAGAAAAATTAACTCTCTTAACTTCCATAAATCCAATAAGATATTTGGTGTGATCTCAGATTCATGTAATGCTTACATCTACAAAATCGATGAGAAGAATGAATTAAAGCTAATTCATGAACACAATGCTGATCCAAATGTGTTGAACTCGTTATGCTTCGATGTTAAAAAGCCCAACACATGTTATGTTGTCGGTGATGGAAAATACGCAAAGGAAATAACATTCACTCAGGATAACGAATAGAGAGATAACTTAAAAAAAAGTCCTCTTATTTACTGTATAAGATTAATATAATAATAAATTCAAGGTTACATGTAAAGTATTGTCTTGTTTATATTTCTTATCTCTTAGAAGTCATTCTCAATTGCCTTTCTTCTTTTGGAGTGAACGAACGCATTAAAAAAATTATGAAAATTAATTACGGTGAAATTATTGCTAAAGTTGAGACCTTTGACATCAGGTTTCCGACTAGCTTACAGGTAAGAAGACTATGAATGTTTTAAGAACATAAATATCAATCGACATTTTATCTCTTTCAGCAAGACGGAAGCGATGCTATTCACACTGATCCTGATTATTCTGTAGCTTATATTGTTATAACGACTAAAAGTGGCAAGAAAGGATACGGAATGACCTTCACATTAGGTCGAGGAAATAATATTGTTTGCTGTGCTATTGAAACTCTTAAATTCATCCTGGAAAATAAGTCTGTTGATGAGATTTATCAAGATTTTGGAGGATTTTGGAGAAAATTAACAAGCGAACCGCAGTTAAGATGGGTAAGAAATTCAAATTAAATCCAAGGATTCAATGTTGGATTAAGATAAGCCTTGGATTTATTGTCGAATTTTATTCAAACCGGCGATTAAAAATCCAAAATATTTTTAATTTTAACTCAAAGCTAGGTCCAGAAAAAGGGGTTCTTCATTTAGCAGTAAGTGCCTTAATCAGCTCATTATGGGACCTTTGGGGACGACTGGAAAGAAAGCCTGTGTGGAAATTGCTGTCAGACATGACACCTGAAGTATGTAAATCATTTTTTTTATTCAACAAGTTTCTTCGTCATTCATTTGATTATATAAGAAAACTAGTGTATCGGGTAGAAAACCAGTGCGGATATATTCACACCGTACCATCTAAGTCTTGTGAATAGACCAAGCTTTCCATTGTAACTTTTGGTTCTTCAAAAATCGTCAGATTTTCTTTGCCATGCCGCAGGAGATGTGAAATTTCAAATAAAAACTTTTCAGTTTTTCATATGTTATACTATCGAAAATTTGATATTCAATCTGAACAAAAACAATTCATTCGCACGTGAATACGGTATGAATATAGTACACAAAATTACAGAAAGTTGGTAAAAATCTATCCAGAAAAAAATTAAGTTTATGATTTTTTTAAAAAAATTAATTTAAACCTAACATAATAATTAATCAATTAATCAATAATAATAATGATAATTTCTCATTCTATAAAGCAGACATAATTTAAGCTTTCTCGTTAATTTAGCTCTCTTGGCTAGCTGATTGACAGAAAAAAAATCAATTTTTCAAAATAGTTCATCTCATTTCAGTTTAATAATTTTTGAATCTTTGTAAACCGTTAGTAATTTCACTGTTTGCAAGTATAAATTTCTCATTGTATGAGCAACAAAATCTCTTCTCACAACTTTTAGTAACATCATTAATTTTATCGTCCATAAAATACATAAATTCAACTTAATTAAAATTAAACTCAAAAAAAAATTGAAAACATTAATAATTTCCTTTCTTTTTCCTTAATTATCTCAAGCAATTTGTGTTCAGAGCGTGTGTGTTTTTGTTTTGTTTTATGGCCTATAAGTTGAACCAGAAAAATTATAACATTATATAAAAGTTTGTCGTTAGTCATTCTCTCTAGATTCTCTAAAATATGTTGGTTAATTTACTCAAAATCATCATTATCCTCCTCGTCATCAATATCATCACCAAAATCATGTCCATTCGTGACATAATTATTTGGAATTGGACTACTCGCTGGATACATAATCGAGCATGCATTAATTGAACTTGGAAATCGTTGATGATATTTGTCTTGCTTCAAGAATTTGACAACGACAAGACGATTATCGTCACCATTGATAAGCCACCAGCCATTAATTTCCTCATGAACGATTCCCGCGTCAACACATGATGAACATTTGACATATGTGCAGCACGTCTTTAAATCTAATTGAATATCATAAATTTTGCACCCTTTCTCGCACACTTTATGCAATATCGTGTCCTGTATGATGCTCTGTAGATTTGGACTATTCGTCTCGTACTTTTCAAACATGTTTCTGATCTTTAAGCAATTTGTTGGCGGATCACTAATCTTATTTGACTTATCAAATGCTGGGCACATCCAACGCTTCAAACTTGCATTAAATGGCTGTGGTGCTTGGCTATATCTCATTGAACTAAATCTTGACGATGTTTGTTGTTGTTGTTGCAATGATCCTTGCTGTTGTTGGCTATGGTTGTTGGTTCCGGGTAAATTTTTTACATCGTCAATCCATCGAATTACTTTAAAGTCTTCGCCATTGATATTTTCAAATCCAAAATGAACTCGACTATCGTGTTTTTCTAGATATGATATAGATTCTTGCCATGCCCATGATAATTCATTCTTCCTACTCGGCTCAATTATCTTATCGCGTAAATGATTCACAACCAAAAATGCATTATCCTTATCCATAACTGTCTTCTCCATAAGTAATCGTATAATTTCATTCATAATTTGATTAACTTGTGCCTTGCGCTTCTCCTTAATATTCAAAATGAAATAGTAAAACTTTCGTCCAAAGAATCCCGCAAAAAGGAGAATTGCTAATGTTCCAATGATCGTAAAGAACGTTTGTAGCTTATTGTATAATGTACAAGTTAATGGAAGTTTTGGTGATAAAATTGCAAAACATTCCGCTTGATGTGCTCGTTGATTTACAACGTCATCTAATGATATTGGCTTGCCATTGTTATCAACATTATATATACCCCATTGCTTATTACGATCCACTAAATATTCAATATTATGTAAATCTTTCATCACATCCAAAACAGACGTTGTCGATGATTGATCCTGATTATGTTTATGATGCGACAAATGATTGTCATTTATGTAATGCCAAAAGTCCTTAACGCACATGACACTCGATATATCCTTAACTTTTCCACACTTCTGTAAAACTGCTCGTTTTTGAAGCTCTGACGCGAGAACTTTTAGCAAATTTAAGGATGGAAGTAAATTTTGTTCATCGATACAGGCAAAAGTTGCTTCCATATCATGATGTCCATCACATGGAAAATAAATTGTTGTTGACGGACTTAGTGTCTTCTCGATATTGGGACTTATTGTAATGTACATGAATATGATGAGCGTAAAAAAGATTACAAGAAAAGTAACAAGCACCATTGGAACGAATGTTTGCTTGAGTCCATAAGCTGCGTCAAGACGATTGATAAAATTCTTTATTGCCAAACTTAATGGTACGTGAGCAGTTTCCAAAAATGGCTCGGCATGGTATACAATGTCGTTTTCGTTCACTGCTTGATATTCGGACATTCTCTGACTCATGTAGCTTGGTCGTTTACGTAGATTATTATTATTATTAAGCTGCGGCTGTGACGGTTGAAGCTTTTGGGCATTTCCTTCACGAAATTGAAGTAGACGCTTTGTATAGTCACTCGTTGTGTTTGTATCCTCCTCATCGTCCTCATTATCATATCCATTACTACCGTTTGTTTTTTGTGACACGTCGAATGTCGAGTCAAGTGTACGAGATGAATTGATATTTCGAGATTGTGAATTTTTTATTAAGCTATTATTACTACGACTTCTCTTTAAGCTCCAATCAAGATCATCATCTTCTGAATCATTTATGATGACTGGTGAAACATAGACATTACGTCCACTTCCAGATGAGGTGTTTCCAATGCGCGTAAATGATGTTTTCGCTGGTGGTTGTGAAAAACTGTTAAATAATGGTGGTGATGGAGTTTTAAGCTGTCCAGTTTGAGAGCCACTTACAGTAATACGACCTTGTCTCTTTGTTTTGCTTGTTTTTGTCTTATCTGTTACATCAGATTCTTCACCAGACGAGTATCTTGTGACAAGCGATGTCGTTTTACGCAAACTTGATGCTGTATTTGACAAATGATTTCGGAGCTTTTTAATTAATGTTTTCCTTGTTGTTGCCGTTATTGGAAGATTTGGAAATCCTAAAATAATTCATTTAAAATCCATTACATCCTGTTGATATGTCTCAAAAAAATTAGTCGAACTTACCGTATTGCAATAATCGTCTTCTTAATTCATCATCGCTTAACAGTTCTAAGTTATCCATTGCTAAAAGTTGTTTTTATTACCTCCTGTTTTGAAATAGCAAATAAACATTAGTTAAATATCGCACACATACTCATGAAATTCCCATAATTGCTACTTACTATTAATTTTCGTCTAATATATTAAAAATTGCTATTTAACTTGTGTCCCTTGCTGCTAAACTTGTCAATTTCTGAAAAGTCATAAACATATAACTTGATTAATTATATTATTTGAACCGAATTTTATATTTTTCATTTAATCTGGCTTGTTTTTGAGAAAAAATGCTAAGCACAAATTTTTACTGAAAAGTACGCTTCCTTAGAAAGTAAAACTGATACTTTCTAGTGCTTATACATTTACTTCCACTTGGTTCATTAATCAGATTAATTTAATTAACTCTAATGACTGCAAAACTTGATTTTTCTGAATATTTACCATGATTTTCAACCAAAATTGACCGAATATTTTTAGTGCATTTTTTCTTAGAAAACTGAATAGTTGTTGAGTTTTGTCGGTCTGTCACATGACATGAACTACAAATAAATTTTAATTTTTCATGATTACAAATGAAGCTTAGGGGCCGTTCACTTATTACGCTCGCATTTTAGGGGGGAGGGGGGGGGGGGGGGGGGTTGAAAATTTGTAACAAAATGTAACATAAGGGGGGGGGTGTCAAGAAGTATGTAACGTTTTAACTGTCGTCTGTCTTTTAAAAAAAAAGTTCACGAAAATTCACACCGAAAACATATTTTTAAATTTTCCACCTTTTTAATGATAAAATAAATTATGAACGTTCAGGGGGGGGGGGGGAGTTGTGAGTTGTAACATATTGTAACAAGGGGGGAGGGGGGGTGAAAAAAGTCGTTTTTTTGCGTAACGTAATAAGTGAACGACCCCTTAATTGCGAGTACTCATTTTTTTAAGTACATTCAATATGCTGAACTCTAATGCTTTTTAAGTGGCACAACGCTTATTTTATTAACAAGATTTGTTACTTGTTTCCATTAAGGGGAATATGAAAAAAAATTTAAAAATGAAAATGAATATGAAAAAAATTTAAACGTTATCTTCTCAATTTTAACACTATTAGTTCCTGGTCTCATTGATTGATTTTCGCTACTGTACGGACGTGCTTACAAAAGATGAAGCAATTGAACTTCTTAAAAAGTCATCAGAAGGAAAAGGCAAAAGAGAACGTGATCTTTTGGACAGTGGATATCCCTGCTACACAACAGCAGCTGGTTGGCTTGGATATAGTGACGAGAAGATGATTGAGTTATGCAAGAAATATATGAATAAGGGATTCAATGCATTTAAAATTAAAATTGGTCAAAATTTGGAAAGCGACATCAAAAGATGCAAACTAATTCGTGAAATCATTGGATATGATAATGTCTTGATGGTCGATTCAAATCAGATATTTGATGTCCAACAAGCGATTGATTGGATGACTGAATTAAAAGATTTTAATATTTTGTGGATTGAGGAACCAACAAGCCCTGACGACATACTTGGTCATGCGAAAATTGCAGAAGCACTGAAAAAGTACGGTATTAAGGTAGCGTCAGGGGAGATGATATGTAATCGAGTCGTATTTAAACAATTTATGCAGGCAAAGGCTTTTGAGTATTGTCAAGTTGATTCAGCTAGAATTGGAGGTGTCAATGAATTACTTTTGGTCTATTTAATGGCAAGGAAATTTAATATAAAAGTTTGTCCACATGCTGGTGGTGTTGGACTATCTGAAATGATTCAACATTTACAATTTTGGGACTATGTATCAGTTTCAGGAACTAAAGAAGGAAGATACATTGAATATGTTGATCAACAACATGAACAATTTGTACATCCAGCAATCGTCAATAATGCACATTACTTTCCGAAAATGTCTTCGTATGGCTTTAATACAGAACTGACAGACGATTGTGTAAGAAAATTTGCTTATTCAAATGGCGAAAAATGGCAAAAACTTTTTAATGCTAATGTTTTTCCGCGACCTTCTTGAAATTGTTGATTTAGCACGTTATTGTTGTACAATTTACAGCATAAACTGGCACAAACATTTAAAGAGGAAATAAAAATGTTTGGTGGTGGGAATTTAATCAAAAAATTAGTCTTTTATTCTTTCGTGTACATCAGTTTGTGTTTTACAGTCATATCTATCATGAATAACTCGATTTTAAGTGCATTATTTCTAGTTTTATATTGCAGTCACGTGGTGTTATCAAAAGAAATCCGTTAGTTCAAAAAATAAATTTTAACAACTTTTTCGCCTGAAACTTTTCATCTTATATTCTAGCATCCTATATAAAAATATGCAATCAAACGGATCCAAAACTTAGTGCCTGTATCAGAAGATCGATTTTAATATTAAGACCTTACTTATTTGATGGAATTAAAGAATTAGATGTACCTTCATTAAATCCATTATTAGTTCCTGAAATAAAAGTAGCACAAGACAGTGGAATTCAAGTTGAGGCATCATTCAAGAATATTTCAATTTATGGCGCAACAAATTTTCGTCTTAGAAGTGTTCGAAGTGATGTCGGTTCCGATAAATTTCGTTTGAAAATTTGGTTTCCAGAATTAGTCATGCAAGGTCAATACAATATTCAAGGCATACTCCTTATGTTGCCCATTCGCGGTCATGGAATGGCTTATGGAAATTTCTCTGATATTGACGGAGTTCTTGCTATGAAATTAAAAAGAGTGAAAAAGAATGGAAATGAGCATTACAAAGTGGACTTTATGCAGACAGAATTCAATATTGGCGGTGCTAAAATTCATTTAGATAATTTATTCAACGGGAGGGATAAGGAACTTGCAGCTACAATGAATCAATTTATCAACGAAAACTGGCGAATGGTTGCTGCTGAGATGTAAGTAACATAACATATATTTTACAAAATTTTCAATTTTAAACTTTATGGTTTTTTCAGCCGTCCAGCACTCGAGAAAATCATCAGTGATCAATTGTCTGAGGTTGCAGATAAATTTTTTTCAGCATTTCCAATATCGAAATTGTTTACTTCTTAACATTTTTTTTTATTAGCAATAGAATAAATACATTAAATTTTTGTGGATGAAATTTTATCAGGCAAAAGATGATCAATTGTCTCTAAAACTTTTTCAGCCTTTAATGTTGAAATGCTTTCCAAACTTCCAGCAATATGATTCTTAGGTGGAAATACGAGATGTATACATGACTGAATATATGGAACTAACTCAAATGAAAAGCATGTGCACATTTTTAGAAAATTCTCTTTTTCCTTCATACCAAATGCTTGTTGTTCACTTCTGTAGAAGCTTAAAATTGATTTTGAAATACTTTCTAAGGAATTCTCTAGTGATTGTACAAATGATTGAAGAACTGCTATGGGTGCACAACTTCTTAGTTCATTAAAAATATTAATTAATGCATTACAATATAAGGCAAGTGGCTCAAAATCTAGCAAACTTTCAGGCGGTGCATAATCTTTTTCATCTTGCAAATCTTTTGATTCCACGTTGGTCTTGAAATGTCGTTTAAATGGAACAATATCTTTGTTAATTAATGTAAAAGTTTCCATGTCACTTTCAAACTGTTTCGTTGCCTTAATAACTGACGTATTTAGGTATCTGGATATCGTTTTTATAAATATTGGTGCACATTGAGCTCTTAAATCGACTCCAATTCTTGAGAACGAAATTCCGAAATACATACATTGTCCCAATATTGATCCAATATCCATCAAATTGTTATTACTGCTGATTAAATCAGTTTCAAGTGTCTTTAAGAAATCCTCAACTTTCTCATGAATCCAGCTGGTAAACATTAAATGAATCATCGTGTCTGTATCTCTTGTGTCCGATTCATCATCAAATAGAGCTTTATATTGTGTGATTATGTTGAATAGATTGACACGAGTAAGTTCAATAGTTTTAATTAAATGCTGATATGGATCATTTCTTGGAATGGCTGCAATGATTTCCTTAAACCAGCTATCACGTATCTGTAAGAACTTCAGCTTCAGTTCAAGCGTTGAAAAAGCTTGCATTCTTTTTAAGAAACCCACAATTTGAAGGCATTTTGGAAGAGTAAGATCAGTTTTAAGCTCTGATAATAACTGAGTAAGCATAACATTCCAAGATGATTCAATAGTTTTAACTATATTCTAAAATAAATAGTTTCAACAATTATCAATAACTTTTGATAGGAATAGAACAACCATTTAATACTTACATTGACAATCGGAACGTTATCAAATTTGGAACTTAGTTTTTCAACATAACTCGCTAGTTCCAGTGCATCCGCATATTTCTCTTCTCTGATTGATAATTCCATCAATTGTGGCAATTCTAATATCTCAAGCAGCTCAATATGCTTTTTCATGGTAAGGGCATTTAATCTCCTAGATGTGTTCAAGTCGTAGGCTGTTTCTACGAAACTATCACTGTTTTTATTAAAATCAGGAACTTTTTCAATTAAATTCTCTACATTCTTCGTTGTTTCATTCCATCCTTTCAGAACTTGTCTGGAACTCTCTGCTGTCTTGATGAACGATTGATAATTTGAATATGCTATGTCTTGAGACTGAATATCAAGATTATTTAAGTCATCTTTTATGTTTACTGTATCTTTTCTCAAATTTTCCACTTTATAGCCACGTAGTTTTTGTAAATAATTGATTGCTTCATTCCTTTCGGATGTTGATGATTCAAAGTTAATTAATTTTAGGATTTTATCCTCTGCTTCCATTGTTTTCCTTAATTTTTGTATTTTAGTGACTTGGCTCGATTGCAGTGAAAATAAATGTTTCTTTCAAGAGAGTTGAAAAATTCAAAAATTATTTAACCGTTAAATGCGATTTTAAGACTTTATTCTTTTTAATTCAGTTAATTAAAATAAGATATCCAATGTATGGATAGTAAAAATCATTTAGAAGTTAACTTGAGCTCGATAATGTTTCTGGAATTTGTTTGCCTTAATTCCAAGCTGTGCATACAATTTTGCTTGAGTACGTTTCATTGTATGGATGTCTCTTGCTTTTTTTGCTATTTCTTCTTGTTTTGCTGAAGTCCATCCAATAGCTCGATATTGACACAATACTTTGTGTAACTTTCTATCTGATTTACTGACGACTACAGCCCGATTTGGATTAATTCTCTGTTTATAGTACCTCAACAATGATCGATGTCCAATTATGTTTCCAGATGGTAAAACGAGTTGATATTCATCCCCATCAAGGACTGGTGTCTCAATTTCAGCGTCTTTATCTTTAGTTTCATCGTGATCTGGATAACTTGCAGAGTAATCATAAAATTCAGCATATTCGGCCAAAGCAGCTCCTTCGTGCAACATTTTTGTATGACCTTTTTCAATCATATGACGCCTAACAGCTTGCACTGAATAGAATGTTTTTCCTTTCTCGTTACACCATAAGCATATGAAATCTTTGCACACTTTATCGGCCAAATAGCTGAGTAGCCCAAAGACATCACAGCAAAATTCAGCATCAGGTATAAAGAATGAATGAGCAATGGACATGTGCTTAAGATTCTTGACAATACTTCGACTATGATGATCACAAAAGATACAGTCATTATTGGCAATTGGATTCTCTGTATCATCATCCCATTCATCAGAATCGACTGATTCTACATCCATTAATTCCGCTTCTTCCTCCTCAAATTGTTTTTGACGTTCTTCAATTATTTCCATAGCTGGAACACAAATTTCAACTTGTTGATCCTCATCATTTGCATGATTCTCAATAAATATTTTGACACAGTCCTTGTGCTTCTTAGAATTTAAGTGATTATCGTGTGCATTCTTTGTTTTGAAGAATTTCTTGCATGCTTTACAATAAAGCGATTCATCTTTCTGTGCCTCTAAATCAGACTTTCGTGCTTCAAGAACTCTGTCTTGGAACTCTTCAGCTGTTAACGGAGGCAATTCCGATACTTTTCTCTTTAAATTGTATCTTTAAAAAACAAAACATTGTGAAATAATTTTGATTTCTTATTGTTCACTTGATATTACCTGTGCCAATCAGTTCCAAAATGCTCACGCTGTGTATCACCGTCCGCAAACTTTACAGAACATGCCAAACAAGTGAAATTAGGCATATTTCTTAATTAATTTTAATATTTTAATAATATTAAACACGAGTTGTTTCTATTACAAGTTGTTTTTCCCCTCTTTTAAGTTGTTGTTCCCCTATGGTTGTTTTGTTGTTGAAAATTTTAAAATCAAATAAAAAGTATCAACAACAATTTGAGTATTTTTAATTAATAACTCGAGATATCGCAAGGAATTCAAATCAGTTCTTAAAATGGTAAGTTAATTATCTTTCATATAAACAAAAATACTCAAAGAATGTGGAAAAAGCTACATCTAGCGTCGGAAATTGAAATTAAGTTGATAAACATCAATTTTCTTCTTAGTCCAATCACAAAAAAACCAAAATAGAAAATTGGAAAAACAGTCAATATAAGAATAGAAAATGCAAAATTATAGCTACGAGCAGTCCTCAACTGAACAGTATAATGAGGATAAAAAGATATTTTGGAATTCAAATCCATATCAATTAAATTTCGAGTTAAAACGAGAAGCTCCAACACCAAGTGATAATAACTTACAGAATTTATCGAGAAGTCAATTAGCACATTTAAGAGAATCTCCAGCAGCTAGAGCACGACGTTTAGCAAGAAATGCTGAACGAATGCGTGAAAAAAGATCCAGAGAAGATAATAGTGAAAGAAGGAGACGACTTGATAAAAATGCCTTAAATAATCGATTAAAACGATTAAATGAGTCGCCAACTGAAAAAGCTATTAGACAAGTACGGGATGCGGCTAGACAACGATTACGACGAGCAATGGAATCACCGGATCAAAGAGAATCAAGACTTAGAAAACTAGCTGAACGAATGAGAATGGTACGAAAATTAGAATCACCTGATAGAAAAGCTGATCGATTATCGAAAGCAGCACAACGAGCTAGAGATAGATTGCAAAGAGAAACGAGCGAAGAAAGAAGAACTAGATTACAAAAAGGTTCCGAATATGCTCGACGAGTCAGAAGTAAAAGAAGTACGACAAGAAGTTCAAGTGCCGCTGATACATCCGATAATTCTAATCAAAATACAATTAATAGCTTATACTCAAGTCATTCACATGACAAAATATTGAAAATCCCACAACAGCAGCTGCAACAACAACAAAATAATAATCATCATCATCATCAGAATATTAATTTTTACGACAATGCAATGCAAGCTAATAACTATAACTTTGTAAACTTTAATAACTCAATATCAGCTTTAGCATTTAATCAAAATGATCCGTCAAGTGTTCCTCAGTCTGTAAATAATTCAATTATTACACTGAATATTCCGCACTATCACACAGTATTTTCCTCACAGCCACCCCCGCCGCAAACAAAGAATTTCCATCCAAACATCATTAAGGAAGAGATATATCCAAAACTTCTGCATTGTGATCCAAATCATACGAAATCATCGCATCATAATTTAAGTAAAAATTCTACAACATCAAATAATGACAATGAAACGGAACTAGATCGATTGGATAAATTAAGAAAGTCAGCTGAATTAAGTCGATTAAGAAGAAATAATGAAACACCAGAGCAACGTAATAAGCGTCTAAATGATCTAAAAATGCGTGCCAGAAAGCGTCGTGAAGAAATTAAGCAAATGGAGTCAGAAGAGGACAGAAAATCGCGACTAGCTAAACAGGCAGAATATGCACGAATACGACGGCAGCGTGAATTAAAAAAACCAGATAATTTTGCAAAATTAGGCGATCAACAATCACCAATTTTAATTTCCGATAAGCCAAGTGTTTTAAAGATTTTAGAGCCAATTATTGAAATGAACACGTGATTATTCTAAATACTATTTATTCTTCCTATAGAGCACAGACATAGAAACAATTTTTACATTTGACACGGAATATTCTGCAGATTCTGTTGAATGGTATTGTTATGAAAATGTTTTTGCTGTCGGTACTTATCAGCTTACGGAAAATGAAGAGAATACAAAATCAATTAGAAAAGGACGAATTTATTTGTTTAAGTTTGATGCATCTGATCTGAAAGTTGAAAAGCTTCAACAAATTGAATCTGATGCTGTTTTAGATCAGAAGTGGTTCAATGACGAACTTATTACAGCAACTTCATTAGCAAATGTTGAATTGTACAAGTATGAAAATTCTTGTCTGGAAAAGAGAAGCGAAATTTCGCTAGATTCGTCAATTCACGACTGTTTAGCACTTTCTGTTGATGTTGATGTAAAAACTAACAAGATCCTCGCTAGTGACTCTTATGGACGGTTAACATTGATCGATAAATCATCTGAGAAAGTTTTATTGCAATGGAAATGTCATGATTATGAAGCATGGACGTGTGCTTTCGATAATTGGAATCACAATATTGTTTATTCTGGTAAGTTATAGCCTAATTTTAGATCAAAGTGTTTTTGATGTTCTAAAATCAATTTGAGTTTTTGTCATGGACTTGGACCATTTTTATTTGAAATGTCATCATTTTCCATTTTCAATGAGAAGTAAATGACTTTAAATACACTATATGCTTAACAAAAAGTATTTATATTACCTTTTATGTTAAGCTGCTTAAATAACCTTTCCAACGATATATAATATGTCATATATGAGTACAATATCCCTGAATAATATTGAAAAAACTGAAAAATTACTCAAAATTCGAGGCGTGTGAAGAACCACACTTAACATTTTTGCTCAAAACTATATAAAATCTCAAGTATATATTATAAATTTGGTTCTGTTGGAAAGATAAAAGTACTGACTATAAGATAAAATCAAATTTTGATACAAATACTTTTTGTTAAGCATATAGTGTATTTAAAGTCATTTACTTCTCATTGAAAATGGAAAATGATGACATTTCAAATAAAAATGGTCCAAGTCCATGACAAAAACTCAAATTGATTTTAGAATTAGAACATCAAAAACACTATTTTTTATCATTCCTGAAAGTTTTATCAAGTTTGTACATGATTTTGATGAAAGAAGTTGAAAAAGATTTTTGAGGTGCATGCAGATGACATGTTTCAAATGGTTCAAAGTTGAAAATTTGCAGAACTTTTTTCCAGGTTTTCACAGTTTTAGAAAGATACAAGTGAGGGCTATATAAAGCAGTTAAAATTTGGAATATGCAGTTATAGTCAATTGAAGTTAAAACATAGTAAAAAACCGTATATTTTTTGAAAAAATCTCAATTTTTCGATGCATAAAAATAATTTTAAACCTTGAAAGGGATATTTTTCTTGTAGATCTAGTAAAGGGCTACAATTTAATGAAAAAAATAAAAACATTTAAATGCATCAGGAATCCACATACTCAAAAAAGTGTGCCGTACTACTAACATTTGAAGTTTCGTCAATTTTTAAGCACTTTCCATGAAGTAAAACTTATGTGACTGATATTTATATTAAAGTTCCGGTTTATATCTGTCATTTAAAAAAAGTTTCAAGAAAATTGGTTGAGACAAGAAAAAGTTTTGATAAATTGAAAATATTAACTATCGAATGTCATCAAAACACATTTCGGGCTATATCTCCAGCACTGCTGCACTTTGGGCCAAAATTAAAATAGATTCTGATTCCTTGGATAAAGACCTTTTAAATAAGCCAATAAAATAATTTTATCCCGTAGTGATAACGACTTTATTTACAGTTTTATTTTATTTTATTTTTTTCAATAAAGGAGGGGATGATTCGCTGCTCAACATATGGGATTTGAGAGATAGTTCTAACGAAATGGCTAGTAAAGTGCTGTCAAAGAAACGAGATGCAGGTGTAACATCATTTCTTAATCATAAAGAAAATTTACTGTTGGTTGGAAGTTACGATGAAAATCTGTGCCTCTACGACGTCAGAAATGTTAAGCGTAGCATCGATGAAATTAACTTAAACGGAGGAGTTTGGAGGATCAAAAAGTCACCACATGATGAGAATTTACTTTTGACTGCCTGCATGTATCATAACTTTTCAGTCATCGACTGTTCTGTAAAATTAAAAATAGTTGGGGAGTTTAATGAACATAAAAGCATTTGTTATGGATGCGATTGGTCTCGTATGCAGAATGAAAATTTTAAATTTTTTGCAACTTGTTCTTTTTACGATCACAGACTTTCGGTTTGTAGCTTCACATATAAAAAATAATAATTTTATCAATTATAGACTAAAATTGATATATTTTTTGGTACGTCATGAATTGAGTGTTTATAAATAAAAAAAAAATGTAAATACCTATGAAACTATTTTGAGTATGGAATTCCTACAAATTTCCAGTCGAGACCATTACTAGACATTTTCAGGCATTTTCACTTGTTCCTTTATTTTTATTACCTACTTGATATTCGTGATTTTTATTTCAGTTAAGAAAGTATAAAAACCTTAACATGCTCCGATTTTAAGCTTATTTGTAAATCGAAAGTTACGGTTCCAAAATGTCTGATAAGTTTAATTTCGTTCAGGAAAATGTAGACAATTTTTCATACTTTCCAAAGAAAAAACTTAAAATTTTATTGGTACTGTTGCTGGCTATTACTGCTTTATTTATGTATAATTCACCCACATCATTTATTATTCCTGATGAGATCGATTCAATGGAATTGTATATGCCAAATAAAACCAAAAATATTTTATTCTGGACGCAATTCTTTCAACATCATACATCAGAAAAAAGTGGAAATGTAGGAAAAGAAAAACTAGAATCTATCAACTGTCCAGTAACCAACTGTTATTTCACACACGAAAAAGGATATCTTAAAAATATTACAGAATTTGATGCAATAATGTTTCATGGACCCGAATTTATACCTCAAATTCCACCTCATTCGAACTTAAACCAACTTTATATTTTCGTGTCATTAGAGTGAGCATTAATTAGTATAATAATTTAAAATCAGTGCATGACATTTCAATTGTAGAGCACCGACTGCAGTTTTTGGCCAAATAGAACGATTTGTAGACTTTTACAACATGACAATGACTTATAGGATGGATTCAGACGTTGAATGGGATTATGGCAAAATCGTGAGTGCTGAAACAAATGAAGTTATTGCGCCATCAAAAAGTCCTTACTGGAAGTCACCTGAAGATAATTTTTTTGGTAAGGTCCAGTAGATTTTTTGCGGAATCCATTACTAAAAACTGAAATTACTTTTATAGATCAAGACTTCCTTAATATCTACCTCAATAAAACCAAGTCAATCGCATGGTTTGTATCCAAATGTAATGCACACTCAAAGAGACAAAATTTGGTTCAAAAAATGAAGGAACTTGTTGATGTCGACATTTACGGAAAGTGTGGAAATTTGTCATGTGAAGGAATCGTATGTGACGAAATGCTGACGACGACTTATAAATTTTATCTCTCTTTTGAAAATTCACTGTGTACCGACTATGTTACTGAGAAATTGTACAGAGCATTAAATGAATACACAATTCCAATAGTTTTTAATGGCCTAAGAGACATGACAATGTACAGTCCACCAAAAAGCTTTATAAATGCCAATGATTTTGATACACCTGAAGATTTAGTCAATTATTTGAAATTTCTTATGAGTAATCCTCGTGAATATATCAAATATTTCTGGTGGAAAAAGCACTATAATGTAAAAACTCATCCAGTTTATCCATATACACATTGTGAGCTTTGTAAAAAGCTTAATGATAAAAGTTTCATGACTGAAAATCATCAGTACCGAGATATAAAATCGTGGTTTTTTGACGGCGCGTGTAATCAGACATCTCACATTAAATTTTAAGCAATTCTTAGAAAACTCGGTGGACATTAAGAATATCTTTTATTACTTTTTATTATTTTAATTTTTAAAGAAATAAAATGAACAGTATTTTCAAATTAACTGGGATGATCTTAAAGAATCTCATAAACTTATATTGCTGGATCTTCAAAACTAACATTGGGCTCTTCTTCGCCATCTAAAACATCAGGTTCTAGTAGCTGCAAGCTTAAAAACTTCTCTCCTTCTAGAAGAACCTTATCTTCATGTTCCAGTAATCCTTGGATTTCATATGAATTAAGCTCTGCTGATAAATGTTTTATAAATGAAGCGTTTTGAAGCAATATTGCTCCTAGTTCATCACATTCTTTTTCCAGTTCATAGATACAGTCGCTTGAAAATTGTTTGGTTTGAGCCCTATCTGTTGGCAAAATGACATTTTCTGGAATATTGAGCAACTTTTCGACATCATCGTTGACTGTGTACTGAATATTAGATTTTGTTGATTCCAATATATTAAATTCAACTTGATTTAATGAGTTTGTTAAATTTTCTAAAGTATCAGGCACTTTTGCATCTTTAATCTGATCCATAAATTTTGAAGTAATAAATTGCATGGATTTATTAAGCTGATTACGAAAGAATTGAAAATCTAGCAAAATTTAAGTTTAAGAATTGCAGAAATATAACTTAAAATGATTAATTGCTTACTTTCATGTTTAAAGTCCTTTATTGAAAACCCATAAAGGCTCATTTCATACTCCTCGCGCTCAGAAAGCTTATTCATATTTAATATTCCTTATTAAACACCGTTTAACTAGTTTTAACAATTAAAAATCTTCTAGAGTTTAAAAATCGAAATAAAATTTTCAAATACTCTAAATTGTTGAATGACTAATTCAGATGCTTTAGGAATTACGCTTTTTAGATTTAAAGCTATTAAACTTGCATTAATGCTAGTTTACATTGACGTAATAAGCTTACCTAAAGTTTTGTAATGGATCATTGAACTAAGAATGACATAAATTAATTTTATAATTAGTTGTTTTATTGTAGTTCGTGATAGCTTTTTAATAATTGCAGATAATATAAAAGGAAGGAAAATCCAGTTTTTTGCTTATTTGTTAATTTAAATGCAAAGTGAAAAGTAATAATATTTAAATGTCTGATAAAGTCGGACTAGTTTCTGAGTCATCAACAAATGACTGCTCTTATTTCCCTGTAAAGAAATCAAAGTATTTCTTGATGACCCTGCTCGGATTTGCTGTCTTCATACTTTATACACCACCAAAAGTGTTTAATGATACTGATAATCAGCAAGATTTTCTCTATGAAAATAAAACAATTAATATTTTATTTTGGACAAAGTACTTTGGAAATTATGATTGGTATGCAGAAGAAGATGGAAATGCAGGAATAAAGACACTGAATTCTGTAAATTGTCCTGTTACAAATTGCTTTTTCACACATAATCACAGCTTTCTGAGTAATATAGCTGATTTTGATGCAATTATGATTCATGGACCAGAATATTTGCATAACATTCCACCGCATTTTAGTTCTAAACAAATGTACATTTTTGTTTCACTAGAGTAAGTTACTTTCGATCAACACGTGGTTGACATAATTCACAAATAATTAATTTTTAAGGGCACCAACATTTATCAGAGAGGATTTAAATCGCTTCAATAATTATTACAATATGACAATGACTTATAGGATGGATTCAGACGTTGAATGGGACTATGGAAAAATCTTAAAAAGTGACACAAAGGAAGTTATTGCGCCATCAAAAAATCCTAATTGGAAGTTATCAGACGATAAATTTTTTGGTAAGCACAGATGAATTTTTTCTTTATTCTTTTCATTACTGAAATGATTCCTTAATAGATGAAGAATACCTCAAAATATATCAAAACAAGACAAGGTCAATAGCATGGTTTGTTTCAAATTGCGATGCATTTAATAAACGACAGGATTTGGTCAAGAAAATGCAGCAACTTATTGATATTGACATTTATGGAAAATGTGGAAATTTATCATGTACTGCAAACTGTGATCAACTTTTGACCACAACTTACAAATTTTACTTGTCATTTGAAAATTCCCTTTGTCAAGAATACGTGACTGAGAAGTTTTACAGAGCATTAAACCAAATGACTATTCCTATAATATTCAATGGAGCTAAAGACAAGAAAATGTATGGACCGCCAAAAAGTTTTATAGATGTAAATGAGTTTGATACAGTAGAAAATCTAGTCAATTATTTAAAATCTCTAATGAATAATCCTCGTGAATATCTGAAATACTTCTGGTGGAAAAAACATTATTCAGTTAAAACTCATCCAGTCTTTCCATATATACATTGTGAGCTTTGTAAAAAGCTTAATGATAAAACTTTTATGTCTGCAAAACGTCAATATGAAAGCATTCAATCATGGTATATTGACAATATGTGCAATCAGAGCGCGCATATCCAATTCTAAGTTTTTAACTTAAAACACAATTGATAAAACCAATTCATATTTTAAAAAGTTTTAACTGAGTTTTATCATCTTACCACATGGCTTATAAAATTTTCAGGTTTTTATCTGGCAATAAAAAAGGATAATGAAATTTCTATTTGATTATTATAGTTGAAGCTGATTTAAAAACGTGTCGTACTTAAAATAGTTTATGAGGAACACGTTTTTCGTGACATGTGAGAAAAATTAAAAAAAGAGAAATTTAATCATTTTAAGGCAGACATCAAAGTTTAAACTCTTAAAAAAAATTAATAAAGGAAAGAAAAAGTTTGCAGTTCTTATTCAAGTTCTTTATTCATTTATTGAACTTAAGGAGATATTTTACATAAAGGGATGATCTTATCATCATAGAAAAGAATAGAGAGATGGGAAGAATGAGAGAAATAGAGGGATTACAATCAATATAATATTTATATATTAGTAAATTATTGTATTTTCATCGTCATCATATTACATCAATATATATTTTTTCATAATTTTGATAATTATTTACTTCCACATTGGTTTAAATTTCCCTCAAAAATAATTTTTTTGTAAGGTTTATAAGGTTGTAAAACAACTAATAAAACGCTAAATCTTCATTATTTGCCGATACCTTCTCTCAATTATCTAATGAAGTGATTGTGCATGTTTTTTATACATCAATTATTTTTTTTTTGTCATATATGTTAAAATACATTAAATCCAATTTTTAGACAAAATAAGTTCTATCAAATAAAAATCTTCCTATAAGAAGCCATACCTTTAGTAAATCGCATTCATTCAATTTCATTTTTTTTCTACAATAGACTCTTTAGTTTCCACAATATTAACATTCTTTATAATTCTTTCATTTCCTGTCTTGATTCTCAATAAAATTTCGAGTTAATAATAAAAAGTAAAAATGTTGGATGTAAAAAATAAATAAATATATAATTATCTATAAAGATTCCACTAACATTCGATATAAAGTTTCTCATTTTGAATTATATCTGAGATTATTACTATTTTTTTGTTATCACGAGCTACCCTCCATGTGTCTTTTCATAAAATTTGTTCGTCATCTTGATATGATTTTATTTTTAAAGGATCAATAAAGCCAACGAAAAGTTTCATAGGAACTGAAAAAGAAAATTAATATAATAATTTTTTCTTTCCTCTTCTTCTTATTCAATAAAATTATTCTTGTGATGGAATGTGATGCTGTCATTTACACGTTTAATGTTGTCATTTTAAAAAGTTTATAATTGACTTGCTTCGTCGTCAGGGATGTGATTGAGATGTACTTCGGGATTTTTCCAATAGAAATATGGAGGACCGGCTGTGAAGCAATATTTCATGTCGAGAGGCTCCTCATTATCCACGTAATACATTAAATAGAAATTACACATTTCGTCTTCGTTTGTTGCTCTTTAAAATTATTTACACAAACATATTATTAGCATTGATTAGCTCCTTTTCTAGATCTAAGTCTTACTTACCCAATTTTCGTTACCCTCTGTCGTTCACTAACCATCGTACAACGTGCAGCAACTCGATCGCCAGTTTTAATTGGTTCATAATTCGAGACTGGATAGAACATTTGAGGAGTAAGTGGATTTCGTTTTCCAAGCAATGTCCAGTGGTCATTTCCTTCATCATCGGTCCTCACACGATATCCAGATACTACTTTTCCTAAATTATGTGTGTGAGTTCGATACGCAAATGGATAAATCGTCTTTTTCTCAGTGATTTCACATGCTGTCTCCATATATTCCTTCTTCATTGGTGGAATTAAGCCACTTGTTCCAAGTAAGAGAACACCTGCTAGCTTGTTCATTGGCTGTGTTGTATAATGAATAAATACACCTGAGTCGTCAGTACTTCCATCTTTGAAGTGCTCAATATGACCATAATGAACCTGAAGAACTAAATACTTGATTGGGGAATTTTTGCCAACTTTAAATCCAACATCTTGAGGAAGATCTAGACGTGGTGCGTCACGAGCCCATGCATATATAATCTGTTGAATTAAAGAAAAAAATTATTTTTTCAAAAATAGTAAAATCTGGACACAACTTATGGTTTCAATTATCGAAAGTCCACACCTCTTAAATAAATAAAAAAGCTTACCTGAGAATGTGATCCACCAGCACAAGGGCTACCTGAATCCTCATCACTTTCACCATGTGTCATTTCTCCACAATTCCAGATTGGCTTTGTTGTACTACCAGGTTCGCCACAACCATAAAGAAGCATGTGATGAGCCGTGTTCATCGTTGCGTTTGGTTCAAAAGCAACTAAATATAAACATTAATAATTAATAAGAACTAAATTGATTCGCATCATCTTTTTACCTATATAATAATTCCTCGTGTAATCAACTTTGACTGGTGTACACAGGTACAACTCAGGCTAAAAATAAAACAATAGAAATTCGCGATGCTTAGTCACATTTTATTGAATAAAGTTTGTAGATAAAAAAGCTTGAATTGAATGTTGGCAAAAAAAAAACTTTTGAGAATATTATCAACGTGCCAAAATATCATCATATGTTTCTCCCACATAATGAAAGAGGAAACGTGACGTCAAATTTATTTGGAAAATGAGAAAGTGCGTACGAAGGAAAATAAGCAACGATGAAAAAGAAAAATTGAAGCAAGAAGAACGTTTTTATTTGCTCCGTTATTCACATTGTAAGGAAATTTTCGTGTGGGCGAGGAAAGTTTTAAAAAGGATCTTTGCGAAAAAGATTTTTTTCACGTAAGTTTTTCTTCTTTATTTCTTGCTTATTAACAACTTCATCATACACAATTTTGCCTATGAACATATTGATAGTATATTGATTACTCTTCTGTATCTAACATGCTACCTCATTATTATCAATGATTTCAATCTCTGGGAAAATATGAACACAAGAAACGGTGAGATTGTCACGTAGACCAGTTTTTCATCATCTTTAAAGCTTTTCAGCAATCACTTGGGTCTTGATTATATATATAACACTAGGAAATATGAGATCTTTTTGGGAATTTCCATAGCACGAAAATGTCAAAAGATTGAAAAATATTTGTTTAATATTAGGTATTATCTCGAACTTAGTCAGCAAACATGATTGGCGTTTTTGCAAATCATATCAAATTTAAAAGTATTATTCTATTTTCTTTCAGATACACTTCGTACTTTATGGTACGTATAAAATTTAAGTTTCAAAAAGGTTGATGTCCTTGAGCTTGTTGGTAAGACAATTTTTTTTCTTTCTTTTATCAAAACATATGGAACATAGAATTTGTTAAAAATGAGGATGAATAATGACTTACACGATAAGGACGAACATTTGGCATTGTAAATGGAAACATTTTTGTCTCTAATCCTGCAGTAGAGTGCATTAAAAATGCGAGTGCCGTGAACCAATACAAAACCATCTTGATAATCTTGTTTGTCGACGAAACACTTTAATTTGTACACAATTAAAATAAAAATATATTTAATTGATTTATTCGAGTTTTACTAGATTCTTAAAATAAAAAATAACATCTCTTATTTAAACTTTATTTTAATCAATAAAGTTTTTGTTTTTAAATTCAGATTAGTAAAATATGTTTTATTTTTTTTAAGTACAATATTTTTTTTGCTTCCACTTTCTGCGAAGTTTCTCTTTAAATAAAAATCGATTAAGCTTTTTTGTGCTTTCATCGCAAACTCATCGAAAAAAAACTAGCCGAATAAGTACCAGAATCATGATTTTTGTTACGCTCGTGCAATGTTTTCATTTTATTTTTTTTTCTTTTTTTGTGCAAAGATCGAAAAGATAATAAAGTTTAAAGATGCAAATTACAGGATTTCAGATATTTCACATTATTTTGGGTTCTTTTATGTTTTAAACTTTTGACATTAATTATTAAGTTAATTTTATTTATGAATTATAAATTATGATCCACCGTTGAATTTTAAGAGGGTCTTCTTTTTCATGTTGTGCTGTTTCAAAAGTGCTATGTAGTTCCACACAAAAATATTTTATTCTTCAGCAACTTACAAATCGATCAATTTCTGACATCAGCATAAAATTTTAATAGAATATAAAAAACCGTAGTTATAATTTCAAATATGAATTCGTGTACGTAACATCATTTAGGCACGTTCGCAAAATAAAGTAGAAAATTTAAGAATTTTTCTGAAAATTTATTTTCAATGGCTGCAAAGGAACCAGTAAAGCGGGTAATTCAGCAAGTGCGACCAATTTTATCGTTGGACCGGGATGAAGCTAGACGACGTGTTTTAAATCTATATAAAGCTTGGTATCGTACAATTCCTTTTATCGGTAAGAAAAACTCGCAAATAGTATGCTCATGTAATCAAAACATCCAGAACTGGAAGTTGAGTTGAATTTTAAATCATCAGTGATGACTTTTTAACAATGATTATAAGTTGTCTAGTTAATATTAAGTTTTGTGAAATAAAATATTACATCATCTATTTCAGTTGATAAATTTGACATCCCAAAAAGTGAGGAACAGTGCAAGTCAAAGCTCAGAGAGATGTTTTTGAGACACAAGGAGGTTTCAGATGTTCGTGTTATTGATATGCTTGTAATCAAGGGTCAAATGGAATTAAAGGAATGCACTAAACAATGGAAACAGAAAGGACATGTTATGGTAAGGCAAGCATAATAAATGTTATGCTGCATTAGTTACTCATTGCTATTTTTTTTTTCCTTATTTTAGAACTATTGGCAAGAAACCGTTGAACCTAAGCCAGCTGATTTTCTTTCAAAATTCATGTCTGGACAGAACTAAAGGAATAGAAACAAAACAAATAAATTATGTTAAAGTAGTTTCCGAAAAAATTGTGCGTTTGACTCGAGAAAGCACTTTTTATTAAATAAATTATGTGTAAACTTCATTAGCCATTCGATGTCATTCAAACTTAAATCGCTTTTTAAAAAAATTTATGAAGATATTTTTATAATGATCGAAACTTCTATGACTGCTTAATCCCACTAGAAATAATAATAGAAGATAAATGGCAGCTGACACAATCAACGGATTCCTTCGGCACCATGTGAAGAAAGTTCTTGGTTCATCAATTAACACTGTTGGGTTATTTACAAGATTTGCTGATGTTGACTTCTTAAGTGATGGTTTATTTGATCCATAAACAAGTAGATATCGAGGACGAACAATTTCATTATTTGTTATCAGCAAGTAGTTTTGTGGAATATCAGAGTTCTTTGCATTTTCTAGAAATAGAACACAGAGAAATATTAAGGAATGCCTGATACATGCAGCATGTACTTCATACCTTTGCGAATCTTTGTGTAGAGTGGATCATCTATGTATTCACAAACTGCCGTGCAACTTACTAGTTCACCTAATTTACTTTTATTCCAGCTTAAGACCGACTGACTGAATAATTGACTTACTTGAAGTTCATATGAAAAATATAGCCCTTCGCCTATTAATATAAATAGGAAATAGCACTTAAAGGTGATTAAGAATGAAAATTATAAATTTTTACCGAACAAAGCTGTTTTATTTAAATGCTGTTGTAATCCATAATTAAGAATGGAATACATGCAATAGAATTTCGTCCCATGAAAAGCAAATTTTGTTGTATTACCAAATTTTAGTTGATTAAATTTCCTCTCTGATCCGGATGTATTTTTGTAATTGATTTGAAAAACATAATTCGGTACTTGATATTTTCCAGTGCTTTTAGATAACGATAATATTTCATCATGCTTAGATTTGTGGACAGTCTGTATATCATACTTTAAATACTCAATTAATACCCAATGCAGTAAGTCAACCACAGAATCAGTCAAAATTTGTTCACTTCCGAATTCAGCAATCAAAAGCAACAGCAACTCTTCCAATGGAGGAATCTGATCCAGATCACTGGCCTGCAAACGAACTTTTCATGATTTGTATATTTAACTTAATTCATCTTCTTACCAGTTTATCAAAATCCTTTATATCATTTTTTATGTAGAACGATGGAAATGGGTTTACTAAAAAGTCTTTCTTGTAGCATTTTGAAGCGCTAATGAACAAGCTAAGCTTTAAATCGGAGGCAATTAAGTCATGTTGTAAAAAATTCTTAATATCCTGTAACTTTTCGTCTCTACTCAATGACATTTTAATAATTATTCCTTAAAAAATAATACTACTAGATTGACGTGGTCGAAGGAACTATACACTCGTCGAAAATGGAAGTCAAAAAATCAGATCTGTATTCATAAAGCGCTTAAATCTTGATTTAATTAATTTTGAGATTATTCAACGGTTTTTTAATTTGAACTGAAATAAAATGAAGTGATTTACTGAATGAATTTTGACTTTACAAAAACACATAAAATCAAGTTAATTAAGCTATTTCTTAATACATTGTATTGTAACATCAATGTTTATATGCGACCGTTCACTTATTATGTTCGCATTTTAGGGGGGAGGGGGGGTTTGAAAAATTGTAACAAAATGTAACATAGGGGGGGGGGGGGGGGGGTGTCAAGAAGTATGTAACGTTCTAAAGTTCACTAAAGTTCAGTAAAAAATTTGTTTACAAATTCTCACCAAAAACATTTTTTTAAATTTTCCACCTTTTTAATGATTTATGAATGTCCAGATCACTTTTGATAGCTAAGCAATACATAGTTTTTGTTATAAATGTTTTTAATAACAACATTTAAAAAATTATCAAAATAAAATTATGAACGTTCAGGGGGGGGGGGGGGTGTCAGTTGTAACATATTGTAACAAGGGTGGGTGAAAAAAGTCGTTTTTTTGCGTAACGTAATAAGTGAACGGCCTATGCTTAATTCTCACTAATGAATTGAATATCTTTAGACACTTTGATTCATGATTTATACATACCGGACATACTGTCAAAATATTGACGCAAAAAGTCTTTCAAAAAAGGGTTAATAATAAATAAAAACAAAAAGATTAAAAACATTAAATTCTCGCTGAAATAGCCATAAATATAATTAACAGAATGAATGAAAATATTTTTTTGAATGTCGGTAAAGGTAAACAATTGAAAGAAGCATTAATGTCGTTCGATTTAACACAAAAAATTAAATGCAATATATTTTAGCCGAAAATAACAAAATAAGAACGCTAGTCAACCAAAGCACAATAAACCAGCTTAAAAACTACAATTATCCACGACGAATCGAGATGCAAGGAATTGATCAAGCTGTTGTTGTCAATGATTCAACAGTTAATGTTTACACTCCTTTAGATTGTGATCGTTTTTATGCTCCTCAAATGAATGGATTCAGCTTAATATCTGTTTATCATCAAGGGCTTCCGTTTTCAAAAGAAGATATCATTAATGGATTTTATGATGCTGTTGGTGAAATGATGTTTATTCCAATTGCATATAAACAGGATAGACATATTGATTACTTTTTGGTAAAAAATCAAAATGATGCATTGAGAGAATTAGTCAAGAATAAGCTACAAATTCAAGTTAAAGACTGGAAACTCCCACTTTTGATTAAAGTTGAAATTTCTGCAAGCAACATTGGACAAATTAAACCGCGAAAAATTATTTCTTCCTATGTTATACGTAAAGTCAAGGAAAATTCTGCAATTGGAATTTTAGATTTAAATGATATCCAAAAGGAACCAGAATTTGTGGATATGCACATCTCGTTGAAAAATTTGGGTGTATACAGAATGTTATTTGATGAAATTAACAACATAAGAGGTATCAAGTCAAGCTCTAATTTTCGAGCTATACGATTGTGCAATAATGAAGTGCAATCACTGGAACCATTCAAGCGACTCTTTGACTTTAATAATATTGAAATACTAGATTTGAGCAACAATAACATAACTGACGTTAATGAATTTAACAATTTGTTGGGATTGCATTTGAATGAAATCACCATTAATGACAATCCGTGCACGAATATTACAAATTTTGAAAAAATCATTCAAAGGATCCTGCCAAATTTAAAGACACTGAATTCAAAACTAATTTTCAGCTTCTCGAATTTGATGAGTAGTATCCAAAATGGAAACAATGAAATACCAAATATAGGCGATGGAACGTTAATTAAGCCTGATAATCTAATGCAATATCGAAATAGAATTGAGAAAATAGTAAATGAAAAGTATTGGGCTCAAGTCACTCTGTTCCATAATAAACGATATAATGTACAAGAGATCATGAAAGAATTGTCATCGAATTTACTAAAGGAAGTTCATTTTTATCCGTGCTACTTAAAAAGATTGGATAATCACGATGAATTTTATTTATACAGAAACTTTGATGCATTAAGAATCTTGTTCCTGAATGGATTAAAAATCCAGATGCCAAAAAATTCATTCACAATTGATGTTCATATCCGTTTAAATGTTGCGGAGTATAGAGAGGGTGAAATTAATTGGTCTAGTAAGATCTCGAATGCTTTAAAAAATCGTGTTCATGATGACATCCTCGATTTAAATGACTTTCCACGAGATCCAGAATTTTCTAAGCTCACAGTACTGCTTAATTCCAGCAAGACTTTAGATTATGTCCTGACACTTGCTAAAAGAATCAATCAGAACATAACAAGAATCAATGCTGAGAACTGCAATATAACAAACTGTAAAGGATTTGAATATCTTCTCTCATTTCCAAAGCTCACTGCTTTAAATTTAAGGAACAACAGCATTATGAGTTTAGAAGACTTTAAAAAGTGTACGTCAATAAACGAAATTTATCTTGACGGAAATCCAGTTTGCAGAAAATCATCATATGACTATATTGGTCATGTTCTTGAGAATTTCAGAGAAATAGTTCACGTTGATGGTCATAAAGTTTATGGACAAAATCAAATTGTGACTCATCAGAACTTTATTGTTAACAATAATGCTTATATAGTTGTGAATGCATTCGTTGACTATTTCTTCCATTTGTGGGATTCATTTGAACGGTCGAAAGTTCGTCAATTTTACACTGATACATCAATTTTCACCATGAGCTTGAATTATGAATTTCTTGAAAAGAGCTCTAACATGACTTTTGCCCAGATTTATCCTCGAATTCAAAATCATATGAAATTTCAAAGAAATTTACTGAAATTGAGTGACATGAACTCAGTGGCATCAAAAGTACACATTGGAAAAAACGATATAGCAATGGTTTTTAATGACATGAGCAGAACAAAACACAATTTTTGTACCTTTACCGTCGACGTTCCATTTTTTAGTGAAGAACAAAGAAAAATTGGAATTGTCGTCAGTGGAGTTTTTGAGGAGTTTCTTTACAACACTGAGGACAATTCACTACCATACAGTTTCTCTCGAACATTTCTGTTTGACGTGATTGATGGAAATTTTATAATTAAGAATGATCAACTATTACTCAAATCAACGACAGTTGCTCAAATGGAAATGCTAAGAAACGGAAATAGAGCTGCAACAAAAAAGGAAATTGAGGAAAAATGTCGCGTATTACTTCCAAGTGAATTTGAAAATCAGGCAATTAAACTTGCAGTGTTCCAGAAATTGACTGAATGCTCAAAGAGTTATTGTAAGAAGTAAGTGAAATGCTGTAAACTTTAACAGTTTTTACATTTTAATTAATTTTATTATATGTTTCCAGAATATTACAGGACAACTCATGGGATTTAAAGGTTGCTTTAGCTTCCTTCACTTACTTGTTGGAAAATAATGAAATTCCCGATGAACAATTTAAATTTAAGTAAGTTTTTTAAAGCAAGAAATAAAACAATAAATAATGGATTCCTTAATCAAGTTTTTGACGCTTTGGTGACTTTTCAGGTGTTTCAGATCGTTTCGTGACAAAATTTAAGATGCTGCCTTTATGAAAAGTTTTAGGTTTATAATTTAATGGCTTATTGCATTGATCTGACTTATTCTTTGTGCTATTTACGTAATTAGTAACTTGAAACCAAATTGTTATTTTTGGTTGACGAATCATTTTTAAAGCTTCATTTGAAGGAATGTGCTCAAAATCAAGCCAGATGATCAGATATCAGATTCGTATGTGATAATAGTAAAGCTATAAATTGAATCTCCAACCTCATCATTCCATACATCAAACAGTCCAGCTATGTACATTAATTTTAAATCCTCACATAATCCATTCCAGCTTGATTTATCCTCAATCTTAATTTTATCATTTTGTGGCATGTGAACAAAGTATACAGACCGTTCTGATGATTTTGCCTTTAAATCAGTAGTTTTCCATTCATAAAATCCTTCAATAACCATCACACATCTCTTACCACGATCCAGTAATGGCTTATACAACTTTGAATCTGTCAATCCTTCAAATCGTGCATTATTTGTAGTTAATCCATGCTTACGATAATCTCCTTTATGCCATTTCGGAATTAATGACCATAATGCAGGAAGAACAGTTCTGTTTGATGAAATTTCGTCATCATTTAAATGCTTCGAGGATACAATTATTGGACAAATGTCAGTTGGTGCAATATTATATGATGGAATGTATCTACGAAACGTGGGTAGTTAAATTTTCAACATATATTTAAAATTCAAATAAATTCGACCGAAATGAACAATCAATTACTGAACGTAAATCTGTTCATTAATACAAAACAATTAACCTACTTTTTTCCCAAATTGTACTCATTTCTATAGGCCGGTTCCTTTAATTCTTCATCATTATTAACTTTATATTTACAGGCACAAACAATTTCATTAGGATCCAGTGTCATACAGCTTCTACCACACATTTTAATTTAATTTTTTTTATATAAAAGAAATAAATACTCAAGAACAGCACAAAACACCATAAGCCGGTCAAACAAAGCATATCGAAAAAAAATTCTACCTGAAAAAGACATGAATAAGAAGATATTTATTTCCTTGGTCATTCCCATTCTTTATTAATTTTTTTTTATCGATTATCACAATTTTACAATTTTTTTCTTTCAAGCAAATAAATCAGCGTTCACGAAGAACTTGATTTTTACAATAAATTTTAACTTTAAGTCGAGTTGATTAACAAATTATCAAGTCAATGGTTCCAAAACATAATTAAGATTTTTTTTTTTCATCTCGATATCTTCATTTTTGTTCAACTTCCTTGATTGGAGTTTCAGCATTCAAGTTTACTGATTTTTCAGCATCGTCATTAATTGGCAAGTTTTCGTCATTTTTTGGAACATCAGCATTCTGGACATCACCAATATTTGTATTGTCACCAATTGTTAATTCCGATTTTTCGTCTTGATTGTCTTTAGTTTGAAAGTTTTCATCCATGACAACTTCAATGTCACGAGATTCTTCATTTTTGGTTGGACATTCAGTTGTTGGTTCTTTAATTGGAACTTCCTGGACAATTTCATCTGTAGCGTTTCCATTTTCTAGATCAGTTTCAAGTTCTTTGATCTCAGCAATTTTTTCATCGTCTTTTAATGTTTCAGCTATTGGAACTTCTTCTGGCGATTTTTCATTCTTTTTTGTCGAACGTCGGAAAAACATTTTAAGGGTGAATCCTTTACGTTTTACATCAGCAGTGTCCTTAATAATAATAAAGGATATATTCAATTATATTAATACTCAATTCGATTCTACTTACTTCTGCTTGCTCAGATTTTTCAACTGTCGATGATCCTTCCTTTGGTTTGTCATCGGTAGCAGGCTCCTTTTGTACCTCATTTGGATTTTGCGGATCCTGCAAGTGTATAATTGAAGAAATGTGTACAAAAAAAATACGGATATCTACCTTTGCTACATCTTTAGCTAATTCATCATTAATAGCCAATTCCTTAGATTCAACAATCTCAGGACTTTCAGCCTTATTGTCATCAGTTGTCTCAGTTTTAATGTCTTCATCTGTTTTGATCTCAATCTCCTCAATTATTGTTTCAGTAGGTGAAACTTTCTCAGTTTTCTTATTCTTCTTTGTTGAGCGTCGGAAGAAATTCAAGGTTAGTCGCTTTCGTTTTTCAGGGTCAGTAATTGGAGTTTCCTATTATTAACAATGCGTGATGATTTTAAATGTTTAGGATAAAGTATCAGCTTATACATACCATAGAAGCATTATCATGCTCATCTTTATCACTCAATTCAGCTTTAGAAGGCAAAGTCTCAGTTTCAGCAATCTCGATCTCAATGCTTTCAGTTCCTTTAGCTTCATCTTCTTCAGCTAAAGGAGCTTTATTATCAGTCACTTCTTCTGTTTTTTTGCTTTTCTTTTGGTAACGTTTTCCAAACCATTGGTACCAACGCCTCTTTGGAACAGCAACATCTGCAGTCTTCATGCCTTCATCAACCTGTTCTGTATTGTCTTTATCGTCATTAGTTTTCTTGACATTAACAATTTGAATCTCTTCAAGATTTCCTTTTTCGTCATGTTCAATCGATTCCACATTTTTTGGCTTGACACTGATTATTTTGACTTTATTAGGGTCGTCACCATCTGTGAAAATTTCTTCAGAAAAAATTATGCTTAATTAATATTCTTTATTCCAGTAAGACATGATTTTTTACCTTTCTTTGCATTTTCCTCACTTTTTGACTTGTTATTACGAAAAAGTGTCCATCCCTTCTTTTTTGGTTGTTCCACTTCTGCTGGAACTGCTTCATTTGAAGTCACCGAGATTATTTCTAAATTCATATTTTTGGATTTTTCCTTCATTTTGTCAGTTTTTTTTGAGCGCGTTAATATTTTTCGTCTAAATTGATTGAAATCACAATTCAAAATGATTGAAAACTTATTATCTGAGTTAACTGAGATAAATTTTTATCAAAATTATAATTTACTTTATTTAAATAAGTCTAGTTCTATTTAAAGCTAATTAAGCTTTCAAGACGTGTAACTTTACCTTAAAATTTAAGAATCTGATTCTTGTCATTTATTAAATCCATGAGAAAACTCCAAAAAAAAAAACCCGATAAAATTCAAAAACTTAAAAACCGTTATAAAATTTGACACTTCATGCACGTGTAAAATAATTAAGAATGAGCATTTTTTTATTTGGTACCAAAAGATTATGTTTTATTCAGTGTTATTACAAAAATACTTTGAAAAAAAATTAATTCGACAAACATGATTAGGGGCCGTTCATTTAGGGGGGGGGGGGGGGGGGGGAGGGGGGTTGTGAGTTGTAACATATTGTAACAAGGGGAGGGGGGGGGTGAAAAAAGTCGTTTTTTGCGTAACGTAATAAGTGAACGGGCCCTTTGTGGGAAGTCATCTTCGAAAAAACCATTAAGCATAAAATATCTACGCGGTAGATAAATTCTTCTTTGGCATATGTCCACAATCTCCAAATAATTTTAACATTACTCTGCCATTTACTGGATAGATTGACAGCCAAGTAATAGATGCATGATGAAGAGACATTCTTAACCATGCTTCAGGTGTAACTTGCAATGCTCGACAGACGTAATACCTAATAACATTTGCGTGACACACTAGGACTGTATATGAATCTTCTTTTTGTTCTGGGTTTGCTCGATGGAAATGCTTCCGAAATCCAGCTTCAATTCTTGAGCCATCAACAAAGAACTGCTGAAATATAAAGACAATTAAATTTCATAAATCAATGCAACAATGCATATAATTACCCAATTCTGAGGTTTCCAGTGACCAACTTTTGGTTCCGGTGGAATTGGAGCACCTTCTTCGATTAAGGAACAATTTTCAATTTTAAACTTTTTATCAACCAGCTGATCGAGGATGATGATTCCAGTTTCTTGCGCTCTAGTCATTGTAGACATTACGAAATTAGTAATTGGAATTTTTAATTCATTCAATCGCAGTCCAGATATCTTTGCCTGCTCTCTTCCTAATTCCGTGAGAATTCTTCCTTTATCTGTCAGTGCATGAGTATTGTACTGCCCATGACGAATTAATATGATGTGCCTTACAGCTTTTGCTTGGAATTTTTCCAAATCATCATTATACTTATTTTGCTGCTCTAAAGTTGGATTTTCTGGCAATGATGACTTAATTAAGGCACTCGGATCTCGATGATCCCAATTGCTATCCCATTTTGTAGTCGGTGGCTTTAAATCCGAGATCCAGGAATTATGAACTTTTCTATACTTTTCATTACTTATCAAATAATACAATGACAATCCACCCAATGAATAACATCCTACGTTTATAGCTTGCTTGAAATACTTCCAAGACATATTATACTTAATATCTTATCTGTCTATGTAATTAACTCAATGAAATATCAAAATATTGAGGAAATTCAGTCTTGTATACTTATAACATTATTACAAAACTTATGAGGTGTTTTACAATCACTTTTTCAGGCTGACTGGATCTTGTTATATGTCTTCGTTCTTTAATTAACAAAATGTTTTACCTACAATTACAATGATTTGGAACAAAAAAGGAAACGGATGCTTAATTATGAAATTGGATAAGAATCAATAAAAAAAAGTGGAATCGGAAGGAGAATCATTAATAACATTGCAAATTTGAAACTTGTTTCAAAATGGTAGCTTAATAATACACTTTGTTCGTTCGTTCTTTCGATCGGAAGACATCGTAAAGACAAACAAATTGATTAATGTTTAAAATTCATTTCAGTTCAGATTTTTTGGAAAAAAACGCTATAGAAAATAAACAAACGAGTTGGAAATTTTAAACTGAATTTTCTCCAATCTTTCTTTTGTTTACATTTCATTATCAAACAAAGCTAAGATCTGCTCAAAAATTAAGTTTGTAAAATAATAGTAAAAGTACACTTTAATTCATTAAGAAGATGTATTTCAAGTTGTTAAAACGTGCTGCAACTGTCAGCTGCTATTCTCTTGGTGGATTATCATTGTATTATCTAGTAAATATTGAAAAGAGCAAAATTGTACAAAACTCATGGACATCTGACTTCACTCCGTCATTAAAATGGGATTCTAATTGGGATCATCGTGCATGTACAGCATTAGTGAAACCGTTGGCTGAAAATGCAAGTGCAGAGAGACAGAATGAGCATAACGAAAAGTTGGATAAACATCGTGCTAAGGCAATAAGGCATATCATATTGATTCGTCATGGTCAATACAATATTCATGGAATTACTGATAAGGAGAGAGTCCTCACCGAATTAGGACGTGCTCAGGCTAAATTAACAGGCGATCGACTTAAAGAATTGGAATTTCCAATTTCAGATGTTGTTATATCCACAATGACTCGCGCTCAGGAAACAGGAAAATTAATTTTAGGACAATTAACCAATCGAGATAGCATAAACGTACAAAATTGTGGGATGCTTGAAGAGGGTGCTGTATATCCGCCGGGTAAATTTAAATGTAATTACTTTGATTCATGGAACTAATGAGAATTCTTTATAGAACCAAAAATAGATTACTGGAATCCAGATGAGTCAGAGTTCTTCACTGATAATGCTCGTATAGAAGCAGCATTCCGCAAATATGTTCATAGAGCCGCTCCAGAACAAAAGGAAGACTCGTATACTGCATTAGTTTGTCATGGAAATGTAATTAGATATTTTGTATGTAGAGCACTTCAGTTCCCACCTGAAGCATGGCTAAGAATGTCACTCCATCATGCATCTATTACATGGCTAGTTATTCATCCAAGTGGACGTGTAGTTCTTCGCTTACTAGGCGATTGTGGGCACATGCCAAAGAAGAATTTATCAGTACAATAAAATGCAATGCATTGTGAATTTATTTCTTAATTAATTATTATAAAATCATCAGAAACGTAAAAATACGGATACAATTAATGTATTTAAAAAAATAATTGGTTATAGTAAATTAGGAAAGAAAGTATCTCTCTTGAATTACAAAGAAATCGAAAGATAATTAATAAATTTTTCTATAAGATTACAAATCTTTTCAACATCTGGTCTGAATAAATGATTTTCATCCCAAGAAGCCTTGTACAATCGGATATATTCATTCTCAACTTTAAATAAACGTTCAGGCTTTCGTAGATAAAATTGTTGATCCTTTAAGAAATTGATAAACACCTTTGTAGACTCGTCTTCAACCTCATTTTCATTGTTCAGACTGTCTAGCAATTTGGACTTGAATAAACTTTTGCGAATTACATTTTCCGATCCTTTCATGACACATTTAGATCGGTTCAGCTTAAAATCACTTTTCGATGATTTTTCATTACTTTTGATCAACAATTTCTTTGGTGTTAATGACCTTACTTCTAGTGGCATCCTGAACAGTTTGCTAGAATTACCTTTTCTAATATTTATTGGTTTCTCGAGGAATTCGTTAAACAACAAAAGTTTTGAGTCAGGTCTTAAGTTGTTTTTTATAACTTGCCAAATAATAATCTCGTTTGATTTAATCGTTTGGTACGGAATTTCATTCTCTTTTAACTGCCACATCAAAATGCCTAATGCGTAAATATCAATTTTTTTTAACGACGTCAATTGGACAGCTCCTTGCAATAATTCTGGAGCACTATATCGAACAGTTCCCTAGAATTCATTTTCGCATGGTGTAAAATTTAAATCCGAAGATTAAAAATAATTGTAAGTCTACAAATTACATACCACAATGCTATCATTGAAATCATATTCCTCATGTCCTTTTTTCAGCATCTCGTCTTGAACGAAACTCGAGTTATGATTAATTTTATAGCTACATCCAAAATCAAATAATTTACAAATAAAATCATTACGATCATGATCCAAAATAATCATTAGATTATCAGGCTTTAAGTCTCTATGGATGATATTATTTCTATGACAAAACTTTAAGGCACTTGTAATGTCTCTTAATATTTTAAGTCGATTAATAAGATCTATTTTGTTACAATGATCAAGTATGAACTGTAAGTTCCTGCAACTTTCAAATCTTTCCATAATTATTGCACCATAATCCTTACTGTCCACAATTTTGAGTATTCTAATGATGTTCGGGTTGCTTAAATGTAGAATATTGCGTTCACGATTAATAGACGAAAATTTGTAGCCATCACATTTTGAAATAATCTTTACAGCTACCATTTTACCACGATATAATGCTTTAAATACGATCCCGAAGCTCCCTCTTCCTAACATGACACTATTTTGCTGGATCTTTTTCACTGTCTGTTTTAAACATTCCCTCTTTGGAGTGTCAAAATCCCTTTAAAAAGTAACATCCAGGATTCAGTCAAAATACTCAATTTAGCTTTTTATCAGATATACTTACATGTTTCTTTAATCTCTTTATTAATTAACATAGTATTCTTATCACACATAAGAAAATTTATCAATAATGTTATCAACAAACTTAAGATAACTTTAATTTAAACTTTTTGGTCCTGACTTAAAATTTCAGCTTTCTTCGTTCGTATGGGATGCTAACGGTTCCTCAAAATTTAAATTCGGTTTGTTTTTCATCGAATTATATTTTTCATTATATCTCAAGATAGACAACTATTTATAATGATCTGCTTCATACGGATGAATTATGAGTGTTAAATTTTCAATTCTGGGTACTTAAACTCTACTAAATCTGAGTACTTTTGGAGATATGAGTTAATGTTTATGTTGTTTATTTTTTAAAGATTCAACACCAATACAAACATAAAAATTGCAAAATCATTAACAACAAAAAATATTAATTTAAAAAATTACAGGATTTGCTTAAGTTATGTCCAATTTCGGAATTGATTTACTATTTGAAACGCAGAAGGGAAACATTCACAGTGAAAACGATGCATTAATTATCGTTATTCATTGGGTTTTATGCAAAAACAATTTTCGTAGTGTTGGTGTTGGTGATAATGTAAGAAAATTGTGAAATTCATTAATTAAAATGCATTTTAAAATTCCTAAACATTACAGAAAATATTCAGTGATGAGGATAGACCAACAGAGTTATTGCCACAAGGATGGAATCAAAATCAAACATCGTACACATTGAGATACACATTAAATAAGAATATCTTCATCCTTTATGGAATTGTCTCGGATGATACTTTAATGATCAATTTGTTGGATGCAAAGACTCTTAAGACTGTTGGATTAGTATTTAAAGCAATGGAAGTCATAAAATCAAGAGTTGGAATGACATTGAATGATTATGTTAATGATAGTCAAACTATAATTAATAAAATGAATGAAGACATTGTTAAGCCGATTTTAGATCAGAATGCTGAGAGACGATCAGGAAGTACATCAAGAGGTAATAGAAATGATGATCCATTGCTTGTTAGACCAGTTGTTCCTCCAATGTATCAAGACAGAAGAAATGATCCACTTAGAGATCCATTAAGAGATATAGGAAGAGGTGATTTAGATCCATTTGGACGTGGAGGAGGAAGTATCTTTCAACCAGAATTCCGACCTGAATTCGGCCCAATAAACCCTCTTCGCCCAGCTGGGTATGTCTTATGAAATACGCTCAACAGTTTTTAATCCTAAGATTTATTTTTAATATCTCTTTCTGTCCACAGGATACCTCCCGGTGCTAGATATGATCCTCCCAATCCTTTCAGACGATTAGATCCAGACAACGATCATTTGAGACCTCCACCTGGCTACGATGACATGTTTATGTAAACTATGTCTATCGAGGTGCATTTCGAAGTCAATAAAAATTCTGTTTTGTACTAAATAACTTTGATTTTTTATTGCTTAATATATTTTTTAAGTGCGATTTAAAAATTTTTATTTCATCAAACAGAAATACATACCTTCCCCCTTCTTAAATTCATTTAAGCCTAACGATTCAATTTTATAGTTTATTTTTTTCTTCTGCCTTATTTAGTGAATATCTGAACACGAAGAAGTAAGAATCGAATTGTTAAATCCAAAAAAATATGTGCACTCAATTAAAATTCATAATTAATTAAGGAAGAAGTTTAGTGGAAGTGGCTTATGTGAAAAAAAAATCTTTAATAGTTTAATAGAGCAGAGCAAAATAAGTTGTAATGGTGATGTCACTGTACAGAACATTAAAGACTGGCACTATGAAGAAACGCCGGGAATCAAGGTCAGTTATTAAAGTGAATGTTAAGGATGTCACATCCAAGAAACTTGATAAAAGAATTAGACATCAAGTAGAGAAAAAATATTTTCAGTAAAATGCAACAGTTAACGAAGAAAGTTGTAGGCTTATAGGCATTCGATTTCTGATTTTCTAATTTATTGTTCGTTATGCTGCGTTGTGCATTTGCAGTTTGGAAAGAAAAACTTGCATTTTTACGGACTATTGACTAATTATGATATATCGCGCTTGCTTCTTCTGTTAATTTGGTAATTAAAGTTTGTCTGGTTATTGACTTTTTCCTGCTAAATAAGACTTAAGTGAGGAGCTTACTTGAAGCATTAATGCTGAAAATGAAAAATTTAAAATTAACGGTCATAATCATTTTTTTCGAGTGCTCCAGACAGCATATAGACAAGAAATCTAAAAATAGGAAAGACCCTCAAAAATGCAGCAATTGTGAAATTTAAAGCCCAAAAAAGTAAAGCTTGAGTAATTTTTCATTCAATAACTTCTTTCTGCCTTTCAAAACTCACTGCCTTGTTGTAAAATGCGATCAATTGTTGGTAAATTAATAATTTTTCTCAAAGGTTTCGCAATCATATGAAAAATATGCTGTAATCAACAACAGATTGATGACATTAGTTCCATTGTTAATTCGCCTGATCAACAAGAATATTGTAAAGCTTTTTAGGTGTGTGACGCAGTTTATTGTCTTCCCTTACACGATTCGATTTGAGATGCGTGAAATGTGGAAGATCTTTATTGTTTTATGTCCATGAATTTTAACCATGACTCCTACACGATATAACACCTTAATTCATATAGTGCTGTGAACAACATAATATACGAAAATATCATCTACACAAAATAACAAATAATTTCATAAATTTTTTATGAAAAGAATCCCAAATCGAGCAGTGCGCATAAACACGATGAAATTTTTGGGACCAGAAAATGTCACAGTAAATTATATTATTTGCATGTTATGAACACTGCAGTGATTCTTTTAAATTATGATCATTGCTTCTGAAATAAATTCTTTTGATTCATAAAGCAGATTAAAGGAATTTTGATATTCAAAACTGGTGCAGCACAGAACATTTCATGAATTTTTAATGCTCCATAACTTTTATCTTAATTTTTGCAGAGTTTGATTGGCTAATAATGTTCATTTTGGTGGATGCATTAAAATAAAATTCATCTTGAGTACAGCATTTTAATTAAAGTCAAGAATTTAAAATGAAATTAATTATAAGATGGTATAACAAACATCAGCAATTAAAACACTCGTCGGGAGCTATTTGCTATTTCACACTCTACTTGCTTGAGCTTTTAAATAAATATTGCAGTCATTTGTAACAAAAGAACATCTTCAATATTGCATAGAAGCAGCAAAAAGCGTCTTAATCCTTGCAAAAAAGGCTAATTCCTTCCATGATCTTAGAAATATATCAAATTTCAAATAAAACAGCGACACAGCTAGAATCGTCCATACCTGAATATTTTTAACTTTAATGATGTAACCAAAATTTATGACGATACCAAAAAAATAATCATCATCTATGATGAAATCTTTTCGTAAACAATCAATATTTGCCATCTTTAGTGCCAACTATATGCTTGCTATTTCCGATTCTTAAGTTCTTACACATTCAAATTAAGAAGTCACAAAAAAAACCCTCAACACATTTTGTTTAATGACATCATATACCGGCATACAAAAAATGAATCAGCAATCATTCTTTCTGATCCTGACACATTTGACATTATCTTACATTAAATTAACATTTCAGGTCAAAGTGACTTTTAATTGAAGATTATTTCTGAATGCAAATTGAAGCCTTGTTAGTTCTTATGATTTATCATTTGGGAGACTGACTTTTAGATCCTATTATACTGTTTCTAGTCATACTCATATTTCTCATTATATATCTAAATCAGAGGCAATTTATTATTGAAATTTAGTGTGTTGGTTGATGATGAATGAAAAATTGTGCGAGATGTGCTGAATTTTGTTCTAATGTGCAAGATAATATGAGTGATTTTTTAGAAAGAAAAGAGGATTTTTAAAGAAAGTAGTTTAAGAGCTAAGTGAGAATCTGTTTAAGCATCTAAAAAAATCGCTATGATTAATTAAATATAGGCTTACCTTCCCATAAGTTTGAAACCTTTTTTAACTTTAAAGTTTTCAAGGCCACACTGGGATCAATGACTTCTCTCCAGTATACAAATAATTTTTTACTGACCTTGATTATTTTCATGCTAGCGTTCCTAAACGATTAATATCTAATCTACTTATATTGTTCTTGTTCTCAAAAGACTAACCCTCCCGCTTCCTTTTCAACTAAAGATTTGCTAAACTTTTCAAAAAAATGCCCCATGAAATTCAACAGACTAAAATCAAGTCAATTTTTAAACAGTAAATAACTTATTCAGTAACAAGTCATTGAAACTTTAGTAATCCAAACAATTCTATTTTTTTCAATCACTTCCTCTATTGCACTCATTTAAATACATAACAGAAAAATCTTACGATACATTAGAGGCCGTTCACTTATTACGTTACGCAAAAACAACGACTTTTTTCACCCCCCCCCCCCCTGTTACAATATGTTACAACTCACCCCCCCCCCCCCTGAACGTTCATAATTTATTTTATTTTGATAATTTTTTATTCTAAAAAGACGGTTAAATTTCTTTTGTATTTTTTTCTTAAACATCAAAATACTGTACAGCTAAATAGGTCATGTTTTGATTGATACTATTAGTATTCTCATTAATTATTGGATTGAGATATAAAGCAAAAATTTGTTTTTTTTTGAAGAAAATTCAAAAATATTATGCCCGATCGAATTTTGGAAAATTCAATCAATTTTGAATGTAAATATCACAATGATGGGATCACATTAATCATCATATGAATGACAGATTTAGAGAGATTTACTTTTAAACTTATGATTGATTTAATTTTGAAAATTTCCACAAATTATGATTGTATTTTAAAGTCTTGTAAATCAGTTTTCTATTGATTTGTTACAAAAACTATGTTTTGCTTAGCTATCAAAAGAGATCTGGACATTTGTAAATCATTAAAAAGGTGGAAAATTTAAAAAATGTTTTTGGTGTGAATTTGTAAACAAAGTTTTTTCGACAGTTTGAACGTTACATACTTCTTGACACCCCCCCCCCCCCCTATGTTACATTTGGTTACAATTTTTCAAACCCCCCCTCCCCCCTAAAATGCGAACGTAATAAGTGAACAGCCCCTTAGTCTGAATTGGTCTTTTAAAAAATTATTTACAGCAAAGAAATTTTCTCACCTAATCACCTAATTTTCAACCATAATTTGTGGTAAATCACAATATTAAGCTGCTCTATTTTGACATAATTTTGTTTCTTTTGAATTCACACTTTGACTGGAATTAATAATTGAGGCATGCAATGTGAAATAAAAGAGACCTGACATAATATGCCTTATATCACTTGAGGTCATTTCACACATCATCGGAATATCTAATCAATGCTTGTAGGTACTTTATAGTAAATTTAATGTTAAACATGCGAAGTATAAAATTGTTTCATCATTAAAACGTTTAAATCAGCATTTGTATGCAGAGGTGTGATTAAGGAGAATTCTTTTAAAACTTATAAAAGAATTTTGAGAATTTCAATGACTTTAAAATTTGAGTTTTCAAACTACATAAATAGACAAGATGGTTGAATTAAAATTTTTCAAAACATCTTCAGAAAACAGCTCTGCCTGCAAACATGAAAAGCTCACAAAATATGAAAAACTCTTGTGGAAAAGTATCAATTGAAGAGCAAGAAAATGTTGTGTATTGGAGCAGCAAAGTAAGTGTAACTTGAACATATACAAAACACACGAATCGCATTAATACAAGTACAAAAACAACAAGCATTAGTAAAAAGAAAGGCAAAAAATGAAGAAAAAAAAAAGAGTTGGACTAAAGATGTGAGAATATACAAACAGTTCAATTTTCTTTCAGTTCACTCGTGGTTTCTGTCGCGTAAAGACATAATAAAAGATATTTCATTCAATTGCTTATATACTTAAGCTAGTGAATTAATTAGGAGTTGTGATGCGTGATAAAGATTCAATCGAAGTGTGGAATATTTTTTTGACTTAATATTAAATAATTCATGAAATGTGTTTCGTGATAAGAGGGTTTATCCAATAAATATTAGCAAAAAGAAAGTCAGGCTAGAAAGAAAAAGTCGTTAGTGGAGAAAAAGAAGTGCAATGAATTGATAGAAAAATTAAAATCCACTTTCTCAATAAGTTTGCAATAATAATAATAATAAAAAGTGAAACAAAGCCTGTTCGAGTCCAGTATTGGATGTATCATGATAATTGAAATAAACAAGTATTATTATAAAATGCAATACACAGAAGACGAGGCGATAAAGTTTTAATGACTAAACAATTCAAGTGAACTTAAATTTAAGAGACACGCATGTACGTTTTTCTTGACTTCCTTAATTATTAATCCTTTTATCAATCTCAACTTCTCCTGTTACTTTAAAATTCTGCATGTCGAAATCATGACATAATAAGCCTTATAAGGAACTGTGATTTGATAATATTGTTAATGCTTCTTTTATTAATTTTCATTGCCGCCTACATCTCTAGATGTTTCAAGAGAACTCTTGCATCAAGTCTTATAAATAAATAAAAATACTATTATTACTGTAATTGTATTTCTTTTTCTCTTTTAGTTCCTCTATTACGCAAAATTGTATAAAATTCCCATTCATTCATAATAACAGCTTTCAAGTTCATTTGATGCAAATTCGTTCCAAAGTCATTGCTGATATTTTAACTGTATGACATTTTACTGCATTAATATTACTATGGTGTGTAACAAGTTGTAATTTGACACTTGTGAATCATAGAACAAGATAAATTTGTTATTATTTGTGGTTGATTCCTGAAAATAAATTTTCTGAAATAACTCAAGAGTTGTTCACTCTTCTTGTCTTCCATTATTTGAGGGAAGTGGATAGTATGACACTCATAAGACAGCGATTCCACAATTTTGTTCCGACTTCTTTCAGTCATGTGCATTTAAAGAATGCATCATTCAAGATAATCTACATATCGATCAATAACAATACAAGAAAACAATATCTGTTCAGAGTCTTTGCAATTAAGTTTGAGACCTTAAATTGATTTAATTACAAAAAGGCAATCAGTGACCAAATTTGTGTGTTTGAAGATTTTATGGATTCTACTTTATACATTCTGAAATATTGTCATAATTTTTTCAACAATCAGTAGATTTTCAGAACTTCCAATAAAAATGAAGATACAATCCAATTTCAAATATATTGATCATCACGTATCATTAAAAATATCATTTCTCCTTCTCACGCCGCTTCCTCAATTAAACCAAACTGTTCATAATCGATCGCACTTAATTGCTTTTGTTTTAATTGATGCATTGAAGCTTTATTAAAATTATTTAAATTGATTAACTTCAATCCGATAAGTTCCGTGGTTAAAATACCAACATGTCAGTCAGTTACATCAAATTCATTTCAGTTCTTCAAGAATCTCTTCAAAAAGTGATGAACTCACGATTTTCAAAAGACGTGAACATTTCAAGTCAATATAAAAGTAATTCTTCTTAGCTTGACTTGTGCTGAAACTTTTACTTAATTCTAATTCTCTATGCATAATGTCAAGGTCTGAAAATGTACATCAAGGTAGAATTCATGATGTAATACAATCATCAGCATCAAATTCATAGAGATTGCAAAAAAGCCATCACGCTTGAATCAAATTCATTTACGATCTATTTTTGTTCTGCTAGAAATCTGACTTATTGTAAATTTTATCTCTTTCTTATAGTCTCGGTCCGCCAGAAACGAAATTAAAAGATTTAAGTCTGCCAGTTGATAGTAGCACTATAAGCAGTAGCACAACGATAAATAATAATAATATTACTAATAATAGCAACGACATGGTGTCAAGAAGGAAAATATTGTCTCGTTCCCGAGATGATCTTAATATGGATGCACCATTTGTGCAAGTTGAGGAAGACGTTTGGTATCAAAAGGAAAAGCTATTCAGGGTAAGTAAACAATTCCATTATTTTTTTATAATCATGTGATAAAAGTAGGAAATGAGTCTCAAAAAAGAGTTCAATGGACGTTTGAATTCAATGTGTTTTCATTCAAAAATGCTTTTATTCATCATGAAGAGGAAACAACACAAAAACAGCCGAGATATTATAACATAATAATAAGAGCAAAACGCAGCATAGAGCGAGAGAAATAAAAATAGCAAAATTATGATGGGGGGCGTTCATAATTGATGTCTATCAATTAAGGTTAAATTGGCAGAATTTGAAGCAAATACTTTGCAGAAAAAAATTGTGATTAAGGATGTAAGAGTCATTTTTTTGACATGAGAATACACATAGCCATCATTTGTGAACGAACCCTATAAATTTTATTAGTATCGCACTGATACATATGAGTTGGATGAGAAAGTTTTCATTTTCTTTTATTTACAATGGGAAATACATAAAAATGGGAAGATTAAAACATGATTTAAGTGATTTAGTTGAGGAAATTTCATATATCTAACATGACAAACTTTTCATGTGAAAATATTTGTAATTTGAGGATTTTTAAGGACCACAAGCACGAACCTTAGAAAATTACCTTTTTTTCTTTCAAGTTATTGATGATGATGATTGCATATCTGCAATTTTTATGAGTTATGTCCAACATATTCCTATCACGTGAATCATAGTCATTATTTATTTCACGTTGCTAAAATTATGGCACTTTGGGAGATGGCGATGAAGATGATTATTGAAGTGATACTTTAACAGCATGAGCTGTTAAAAATTGGAATTGTAATTTTGGCATCCGCAGAGAAATAGAAAGGAAAGTGCGAGAAATAATACTTGAGGGTCATTTAGATAAATGCAAAAATGTTTATGCTTCATAACATTTGAAAGTTTTCTGTACTATTTTGAGACGTATCCATAGGAGCACTCAGATGGCTTTTGGGGGGACAATGTCATGCTACGCATCAAAATTTAACCTCAATTTACATGAATCTAATCACTCTTTATAGCTGTGATCAGCTGCAATTATGGTTTAGAACACCACCCAGCAGTTCAAGAATATACAACATCTTCAATCATGGATCAAATAACTTTACTTGCATAACTATGCGAAATGCAAAAAAAACACAAATTGTCCAACAATTCGAGCTTCAATTACATTTTCGATTGAATTGCATTGAAATTTACAAAGATTTTGAAACTTCCACTTAGGTAGTTCACTTTTCATGCAATTGTTAAAATTTCATTTTTTCGGTAATTTACTTAATTGATCTTTATTAAAAGTGAAAACTCCGTTTAAAGCAGTTGCTTTATATTCAATAAACTTGAAATACTATTTATTTATTAAATAATCAGTTCAGTTACTTCAATTCAATGAGGATTACTAAACTTTCGATCGAGTTAATTAATCTGGAATAGTGTTTTAGTTTTTGAGAATATATTTCAATTTGTTCTGTTGCTGACTGCAACTTTGTATGTCTAAGTTTGAAAATATCATTTTGATCGATATCATTTCTGTATCATTTCTGTATGTATTTCTTTGAACATCTAAAATGTGATAAAATTTATCTCAAGAAATCTTGTAGCAAATTATCAATGCAAATCCATCGTGACAAATCAAAATTTCTTAACAGATTTTTGAAAATTTCTCTAATGCATAATTTATAAGTTGAATAGAAACAAAAAGTAGCTCAACAAATTTCTTCCACATTGTCTTGACATACACAAAATTAGCTGAACATCGAAAAGTTTTTATTTTTAGTTTTACATCTTAATGCTCCTTCTCAAATTGATGAAAAAGTTGAGGAAATAAACTATTGAATGTTTTATTTCCATATATATTTATGATTACAAATTGTTTCCTCTGGTATGAATTACCGATGCTGCAATGTTTGGAATTTCAATTTCAAATTCTTCAAATTTCTTGTATTGGATATTTGTTGATACTTTTAAAAATGCGGCAGAAACAAGCCGGATATGGATCTTAAACCAGCAATATTGCATCTTGTTTGTACCCTTGTACATCTTGAATAATTAGATTTTAATTGAGCCACCATTTGAAGATATATCCAAAATGTCATATCTTTCTTTTGCTACCAGTACCACCAAATAATAATTTCCATTTTCAAAGCAAGCCAATTTCTCTCTTGTCTGATACAGCAACAATAAGATTAATAAATGCAAAAAAAGACATGAAACATCTGCAAACTTCCGGTAGATAAAAAACTGATTTAGCGAGTTTTCATTTCATCTTCATTTTTCTTTACACTTCATTGTGCAATTTGTACTATTGCATCATGTATTTATGACACTTGGTTCCATTGAATGGGAAAAAAATTATTTCTTTATGAATAATGTAAGCTTTGTTGACAGTGAAGTGCAATAAAATGAAAGAGAGAAGCATTTACAAGATTCGGAAGATGCTGTTGATGATGCTCATTATTATGCAATTGAAAATATCTCTATTCAAAAAAGAAGTCCAGTATGTAGCAGCAAAAACTAGAAATTCCATTTTAAACGATAGTAAAAGTAGTTGAGCCAGCATGATAGCTTTCGATTAAAATCTGAACGTCGTAATGTAGATCCATTAAAATAAAAACTACGGACATCATATAAAAGAAATATCCGCACGTCTACGACTGTGAACATTCATGATGAAAAATTTGCAGTAGCCAAATTCCAAAAAGTGTATCTTGTAGTGACTATCTCTTGCTGAAGTCATAATGTATGGATGGTAATTTTTCATTATCATTGAACGTTATGAATACCTTCTTCGTTTAAAGATGTTATGACTCTATTTATGTATAGAAAATTGAATGAGTTTTAGAAGAGCAGCAGGGAAAGGAGAAACAAATCAAAATTGCCAGCTAATTCAGTTTTTAACTCAGAGCTTCATTTACAGCATTAAACTCGTTTACATATATTGCAAATTATGATTGATGAATGTGAAATAAATAATAAATTACATGCAGTATGGGAATACATTTTTTAACAATCCATCATCATCTTTCACATTCACATTTGAAAAACGTTTTTGAACCTCAAAGACCTTTTAAAATCAATGGAATGTCTGCCTGTCTATAACTCCATCCAAAAGATTATTAGTACCGACAACCAGTATCCAGTATCTTTTCAAAATCAATGTAAAATCATTAATAATTGACATTAGAGTATTTATGTCAATTTTGAAATTATTTGTAAACTTTAAAGTCATGTAGATACATGACATGTGGAAATGAATCAATATTGTTTTATGAAATATATGGAAAATTAGAGCAAGCTATGTGCTTCAAAAAAAAAAATAATAGACATACCAAATAAGTCCATGCAAAAATATTGAAATGGACAGCATTTAACAAATTTGATTGGATAAAGATATAAATTTATTATTTAAGTATTGAACTAGATGTGATTGATTTGAGTTGACTTGGAGGTATGTTATTTAAATATGAAGAATGCTGTCTAGAAATGAATTTTAATTTTTCTGACCCAAACTTATTGCAAAGAATGAGATTAGATTAATATAATTAAAACCTCATTATAGGTATACGCATTTCAAGGTTACTCTTACTTTAATAAATTTTTCAGGAATCATCCTCAAACCAAGCATTGCATCTCAATATTGCTCGATATACAAAACAAAATTTCTCACATGCCCTGAAAAAGATTTATTTATTATTTTTATGGTACATCAATTACCAAATTAATAGACCATTCTAAAGCATCTTCGTTTCAGCCCTAAATTTGTAACAAATTAGTGTCTCAACAAATCTTATTTTAATTTTCAAACAAAGCAAATGCCGATCTAGATATTGCGCAAATGTCATTTGCAGACAATTTTTTAACTTAAATTCCCTTTTTTATTATTCTACATAAATTACAAGTCAAGAAACGAGATGAAAAACCAAAATGAAATTGCCTTACATAATATTATTTTGCATGTCGTATTATAAAACAATTAAATTGCAATATCTTAACCTTTCATTTAAATTATTATCCAGCATATAAATCGCTTTACTTTCAGTTTTTTTTCTGCTGTCATTGTCGTTTTTCATTTGTATGTTTTGTCTATGCTTGCATTAAGAACAAAAATTTGTTCCACAAACATCAAAAAGAAATTTAATCAAAAGATTTAGAGCAAAAGAAATTATATAGCCAATTAAGTAACCGAATGAAAACGAAAGTAAAGGAAGGTAAAAGACCTACAAAAAGCATAGTCTAGCAAAATAATAAGAGAAGCATAAAAAGAAGACAATGACAAAGAGTAGAGTAAAAATAAAAAAGTATACAGTTTTATGAATGAACAAAAAAGAAAGAGAGAAAAGTAATAAAAATTTCTTCAGCGCTCTTTTGGAATATTTTGATCGTAAACAGAGTTGCTGTTTGGGTATATCTTGAAGATATTGATAAGTTTTAAAAATCTGAATGATAAATTTTTGAAGTTTTATGAAGGACTGTTAAATTTGACATCCAAAGTTTGATCAAGCCACAATGCTTATAAAATTAACTTTCATTTCTGTTGCCCAATTAATGCTTAATTTCGGCTCAAATTTTCTCTAACTTAGGTAAATGTCCATTCAAAACAAAAGTGACCACAATAACAATAAAAAAATATGACATGAAAATTGTAAACTTAAAAGCCTTTTTCATGAATGGAATAATTGAACGTAGATCATCATCATTATCAATTCTCATATTTTTTTCAGACATTCTTCATTTTCCATGTCTGCTTTACAATTCACAAAATAAATTATGAATGAATATTGGATTTAACTTTAAAGAAAATGAATACTCATGCCATTCAACTTACTTTTATTTTGACTGCTTCAAATGACAAACGACTAATTCAATGAAAATTTCTTTAATTTTATTTCGAACAATAGGAACATGTTCAGGAAGTTTTAGATAAGTGGACACAAATAGACGATGAGATATGGGCTAAAGTAATTGTCTTTGAAAGAAATCGTCGGGTAGCCAAAGCTTATGCTCGAACACCAGTACTCACAATTAATGGATCTGATGATGGCTTCGATGGTATGAGGTAAGTCTAATTGCAACTTGTAGTAAGAAACCCTGATGCGCATTAATGTGATTAATATGTGAAGCTATTCCGATACACGGTGATGATTTTTTCACATCATTCTCATTTTGTCTTGATATCATCTATTCACAAGATTTTTCGAAGGTTTTTCACACTGGTCTATCCGTTTTGGCAGTAGCATCATGTTTATGGAAGCTACAAATTTTTATATTACTAGATTTTCTCTCTTCCCTGTTGAATATTCATCAGATATTTTCGTTGATATTCATTAGCTTGATTAATTTTTAATTTTGAATCATGATGTAGGAGTTTTTATACTCATTAATCACTAGCTTCCGACTTTAGTGCCGCATTCTTATTCGATAAATATTTTTTTTCTCCTCATTAAGCATCATCGTTTATCTTTAATGAGCAATTGCGATCATGAAAGGTAAATGCAAACTTGAACGGAAAGTGAAATGTATTGATGGGGTTTGTGTGTTGTGCCAATAATTCTTACTGAACTACATCTTAGTAGATTTGTTTTTCTGATTCAAGATGATTTGTGGATGAAAACTTTAAGGCTTAATTAGTCATTAGAATTACTCTAAATTCAACATAATAAAAGGCTATTGGCACACTCCTAATAAACAATAATTCCAGTTTGCATTCAATGCCCTTGTTAAGGTTTAGTTCAATAACTAAGCCAATAGTAAGATAATTTCAAATATTAAATCAATCAAAAACGTTGATTGTAATACCTGGAAAAAAAATATATTACGTGATGTAAGCATGATTTCTCCATAAATTGCATTTAAATCATAAATATACTTTAATTGACATGATATGCTGTAAGAATAGAAAAATCAATTTTTCTTTTATTTTATTGCAAATAGTTGTCGATAGATGGATACACTCTTATGATAAATATTCACATACATTTGCATTAATTTAATTTTCTTCGCATTTTATGCATACCATTACGCTTGAAAGAGACTTTCACTCTCATTTACTACGAAGCATGTTTTTGTCTATCGATGCTTTCATGTATGTATGTATGTATAAACTTGCTTACTCCATAAATGTACATAACGATTTTATATCGCAATAACGAGATATTGCAACAAGTATTCAATTATGCTTATGTTTTTCTTCCTTTCATTATTGCAGAATTGGCTTGTGCGGTTTTGATAATCCAATGCGGGATCAAAAAACAGATGAATTAAAACGTCATGTTGGACAGGTGAGATTATGTTGTTGATTTTATTAATTGCCACTTTTTTAAGCTAATCTGCTTATGGGAATGTAAGGTAGTTGATCATTTCTCAATTACCATGATACTCTGATCAAGTTGAAGTTTGAGTTATTTTGTAATCATACATCAAGACTACATGCTTAAATCGGAAAATCAAAATTTTTGAGATTATGAAATTACAGTTCTAATTTTGAGACAATAAATATTTTTTGGAAAGTAATGGAATTGCTATCGCATGATTGAACAAGTCGTAATATTATCAGTTGTTATTTTATGGATTATGTGTGCCTTGAAATTGTGCGATTTTGTTAAGTTATAAACGAAACAGTGTGATATAAATTGTAGAACATGATTCTTGATTGTATAGTTTCAATTATCCTTATAATTCTTATTAGAAACTGTTGATAAATTTAAATTAGTTCAATTCGTCTTGTACCAGTGAATCTATCTATTCAATAGAGCTTCTGGATTTTAATATGACGCTAATTATTAATTGTGGACCAACATTTTCTATTCTTTATTTTTTGTTACAATAATCAAACATAGAGAATAATAAGATTCGTAGATCCGTGTAGCACAAAACACATTGTGGTATCATGCATAGTGAATCAGTAGGTGGGACACACCTATGACGAGAACTCAATTGTGTAACATGCTTCTTATAAAAGATTGTTATGAGAAAAGTTTCTAATCTAACTTGCCTTTTATAGACAAGATAATAATATATTAAGAAGCTATGAAATTTGTCATGGGTTGCTGTTGTATATGCAGGTTAAAAAGTATAGATATTTATTATACCTTTTAACATCAAAAGACACTCATGTTCGACCTTTTCAATCCATAATTCTCAAAGATCGCAACCTTAATAACCGCCAATGATGGAAACAATCAAAATGTCTTATAATCCATTCATTTGATTAATCAAATTAATTCCCTGACTGATAAGCACCCATAATAAATATCATCAAAAATTTTTTTTACCTTAATCGCTCCATTATTCGTTTCAATAAGTACCTTTGGATTTTAAGTCACAGATTAATTCGTAAATAATGTTTTAAAATAATTAAAAAAAGATTAAGGAGATATAAGCTGCTGCTGATGTCTTCTTAGAAAACATAATTGGTTGAAATTTAATATAAATCCATACCCGCAAATAAAAACACACAAAAATATTAATAATTTTTTTCGGCTTCTTCTTTTTTCCCATCATGTAAAAAATATAAATTTGAAACTCAGCACAGAAAATTAATTAGGCAAGACCAGTAAAAATATTCCCATATATAATTAAATTAATCAAATACGATTTCTTATATTGTGTAAGTTAATTCCCTTGTGTATCCAACACAGATGAGTTTTTTAAGGTAAAAAGTAATCTGAGTAATGGAAAGGAGTCAGGCAATGTTAGTTTAGAACTATAAAAAGACATCCTAAAGGTCTAAGGAAGTGCTTATTACATTCTTGACAGCCACATGCAAATCAGCTCTGTCGATGCCTTTATTTGGGAGTTTTTTAAAGTCTGTATCATATCATCAGCTTTTATTTTATTTATGCTTTCAATAGTATAATAAAACGGTATGAAATATAACCACTACAGTCATTACAGAATGAGTGATGTTGTGTTTTTATAAATGTCTAAACAACTTAATGCTGCTTAATACAATCAATAGTATAAAGTTTATATTAATTTGTAATAGAGTATCAAAGAATTTTGAAAATTTTAATAACTCAAACAAGTTATGTGTACACTAACGCGGTTGTAGATTTAAATGTTGATATCAAAGAAATCAAGAACGAGGTCAATTGAGACAGGTGAATGAACAATTTAAATGACTACCTAAAAGTTGTTTCCTATGCTCATTTATGCTTTTATTTCTGATTAATGAGACTTATAGATTATGTAGATAAATTATATAGCATGCTGTAAAGATTTATAACAAATGTTTGAATCATCTTCTATTGGCTTAATTGTCCACAATTACTGATAAAGGTCATGATAATGAAATGACATTGAAGGTCTGAGAAAATGCTCACTGGTTTTGCTGCTGCTGAACGATATTATGTTAATATTATTAAATAACATAAAGCCATATAAAAGTAATGTAGTTGCAAAGTAAAACTTAACGGAACAGCTTTTCCATGCGCGCGCTCATACCACACTCATCTTCCAAAGTATTTTACATACATACGATGATCGTAATCGCAAAACAGAGTGAAAACCTGATTTTTTGGAATTTCTCACACTTTCGTTTTCGTTTCATTCAAGTAAATACAAAAATGAACTTGAAAATGATTTTTTTTTCTGTGATTGAATTTAAAGTACTTTAAACTTACTACATAAAGGTGCAGTGAAGAAGAAAGACAAATATCTTTATGTATACTTAATGCATAAACTTAATGATGAATTGATCAATTCGATTAATCAACAATATTTATTCATTAACTCATCAAACTCTAATTAATGGCATTTAAGTATTTTATTTTAACATTTATGATTTAATTGCGTCGCTCTTTTGTTGTGCTCAGCTATGAGATCATATCCAGTGTGTTGACTTGCAAAGGGAATGTAGAATTGATCGTAAAGATTCTGATGGGATATTTTATGCATACTTAAGTACTTTTGAATTAAACTTTTTACTAGAATTGATTCTTATCTCTTGTAATTCTTAATCTCCGTCATAAAATCTTAGATTTTATATAGTTTAAGGCGCCAGAACTAGTAAGCTTGAACAAAATCTTTTTACAATTTTGAAATCATAGAAGAACGACTTAATCCAATGTCAAGCCTCAATGGAAACATTATGCAATAAGCATCCTTTCCCTGAGTCCACAATTATAGGATGAATGTCTCATTATTAAAAGTCAATAATTGACAGAAGCGTTAAAAATCCTGAATGCATCTCCGAAGCAAATGCAGCTTATCCACAAAAATTATTTCTCGCTTGAACAACTTTATTTATGTTCAATCCATGAACTTTTTATTAAGGTTTATTTCATGTAGCACAGAAAAAAGTTTATATCCATTATAACGCTTAAAAAATTTGCCGTAAAATTATTTAATTTAATTCTTTAATTTATTAGAAATTAAATAATAATTAAGCCACCATTTAAATTTGCTGGATTAATAAATTAAGTTATTTTAATACCTTACCGGCTGTGTACATGTTATGCATTCAAATGGTCATAATAAGCACGTGTACTTTACGTTCAATTGCATTACAGCGTATTTCCTTGAAGACCGAGAGTAAAAGTGCTGCCATAATTTACACTTCTTGACATTTATACTTAACATTAATGCTTGAGTCATTTAGAATTAATAAAGTTTAATTTTGAGGAACATTATAAAAAATGTGAAACTTTTTCTTCTGAAATTTAATTCTAAATGAACAATAAATTTCATTAGACGTAAAGAAAAACGGATGTGTAGTCAGAGAGGTGTTTTGTATGATCTCATTGAAATTTAATCATCGCGTTATTTCACACGAGTGTTTTTGTCTATTAACTTCTATACTCTTTATTTTAATTCACAATTTTGCTTCTGCTAATGAAATTAAAAATCGATTTTCATGTTAAATTAAATGACAAAAAATCTGATACGTAGATGGACATAGAAATTATTTGAATATCAAATGTCGTCAACTTTAGGTCTATAACTCATGTTTAACAGTTCGTCATGATAGCTTAAGATAAAGGTTAATAAAAACCACAGACAGCACTCAGGATCGATTCCCACATTTATTGGAAAAACTTAAAAATGATTGTAATAATTAAACTTTAATGTGTCAATAATTCTTTTCAGGGAGTCAAGCTTAAAATGGATGACAATGGAAACATTCTAGCAAGACGATACTCAAAAAGCAACATCTACGTGAAAGGAGCAACAAATTCAAATGACGAGACGGCAATTGGAACAGAGATTCTCAAATCACCAGCTCAATGTTTAGAGATTGAGAAGGTCATGAAGATTTTTGATATGAAAAAGTTTCAATCAAACGTTAGCCGTGAATTGAGTCGTTCATATCCAGACAGACGACGTCTTGAGACACAATGCATGTCAGTATTGGCATTTGTCAAATCTGAAAATGATGTTTTGGACTGTCCTATTTGGGTTTTAATAATCAACGTCGTTGCCATGGACATGCTTAAAACTAAATTGCCTCCAGGTAAGCATGATGAAATTTTTCTTGTGCTGTATATCAATCGGTTTCATTTTAGTAAAAAAAAAGTTTATTATTTCAATATGCACATTGAATTGAAAATTTTAGCTTGACTTGCTTACGAAAATAAAAAGGCATAAAGGCACAAAATATTGAAAATCATTAAAGCTATTATTATGGGAAAGTTTTTGCGTAGTTGTTGCTGTTTTGAATATTAAGTGTGCCTTCTTGTGTACCTTTCAAAATAATAATAATAATAAAATATTATTCCGTTACAATGAAACAGTTCATCGTCAATTTGACATGAGGAATCGACCAAGAATTCCAGTTCCAGACGAAGATCCATATAGTATAGCTGGAAATGAGATTGAAAGTTCAGGATCATCAGGTTTCGGTGCATCAGGCATTTATGGACGTGTTCCACGTGACCAAATGTTAATGCAATCATCACAATATCCACCATTAAGACGCGAGAAGCCACCAAAATTGCCACCACGCAGCGATAATTTATATGGACTTCACGAAACTCACAGTGCATTGAAAGTAAGTGTGATGTGAAGCATATATTATAAACTGTAATCCTTGTACTAAATCCGTCTTCTCTTTACACTCTTTTTAGCCTGATTATGATGAAATTGACGATGAAGAAATACGCGTAAAGCTAGTCTCAAGAAGTAAATCGGATAAGAACAATAACAAAAATCAAAGGAAATATGGTAAAAATAATGTCCAAAAAAAGATCATTTTAAACGTTTCGCAATTTGTAATGCAAGCAGCTTTCAATGACTTTATAGTCACTTCTTCTCGTGTTCAAAGAAACAATGCGACAAGGCAGAATTTCTATTCATTTCTTTCGTAGATCACGAAAAATTTGTAGTTCAAGATATACTTCTTTTATTTCTTAACAGAACAATGAAGCTAGACAAAAAGTGAAAAGTTTAAGACCTTCGCTTGTAATGTAATAGAAAAAAAATAAAACACCAGCAGTAGAAGTTGCAAAAGTGCTTTAAGCGTGCCTCTAAACTTTCCTTTTATTACATTGAATCTCATTAATATTCTGCTATTACTTTATGAATAGATGATCCATACTATTGCGGTTTGCGTGCTCGGGTACCAAATTTTGCAAAGGAAAAGGTGTCTCGAAAGACAAGTCGTGCAAATGAGGAGATTTATGTAAGCAATAGTAGAAATTTGAATAGAATTCCACGCGATCCAGTGATTAAAAGACGCTCAATTGCACATATGGATAGACATCAGCCAACATTCTCATCATTATATCAATTAAATCAAATTAATGATCCTAGATCAAGTTTATATCAAAGACTTCATCATCATTCACACAATCTGATGTCACCGATGAGACAATATGGCATGTGGCATGCACGAAGTTATGAAAGTGGAATAGGTGAGGCTGGCATTCATCTTTATGGTTTTCTTGATGATTTATTTTCTTGTTTTTGACTTTACAGATTCAGAATTTGTTGAATCACCTTATCATATGTATGGACGATTGCCAACACCTTCATCGAGAGGAGGTTCACGCGGTTATGTCTCATCAGCTTCGAGAATGTATATTGGTGATTGGGAATAATCAAGTATGTGATTAAGTTTGGATGTGATTAAGTTTGGATGGATTAGTAACGTTAATTCTGCAGATTCCCCAATTATTATATCTTATAAGATTTTTTGCAATACATGATTTTTAATGAGGGGGTCCTATCCTTGAAAAATTCCAGTATGTTCCCCTATCAAGTTTTACATACTTTGTTTCATTGTCTAATAAACCAAAGAAAGTCAAAATTTTAAAGTTTTTCTGTGAGGACATAGCTCATCACATGTTTTTGTATATCATTGGATGAGATTATAATTGATATTATATATATACAATAGCATAAATCACTTACCACTAGCGCAAAGTACTTCCATATTTTTCATGATATATTCTTAATGATATTTAGCCATTTATTTTTTATCAGCTTCCATTTTTCTCTTATTTTTTTGCATTCAACTGAGGACATTCTGTACTTTATAATTCTTATAGATAATCGTAAGCACAAAAGCTTCTTGCATGTATAATTGTATAATTTTTAATATGAATAAAAATTATATTTTACTATAAAATGTAAATTAAAGTTTTTTAATTGACTTGGTCAATGTTTTTCTTAGTTGCAGTAATTATATCACAGATAAAGACGTCAAAAGAGTTATTGATAAAATATTTCAGGTACAAATTAATGGATGTTAATTATTGTTATTTTGATTAATGAATGAACATTAATACATAAATAATTGCAAAAGCCAGAAATGATATTAATATTATTGCAGCGATGAAAATTAATATGCATATATATTTAATATTTATTAATTGTTCTAATTATGAACGAGATAAATTATTTAAGTGGGCAGCTCAAATTTAAACTAATTGAGGAAATTATATTAAATTCTAGACCACATTAAGATCTAATGAGAGCTATAAAGTTACGCTAGTTTGATCATGCTCGGGAATTTTTATAGAAGATTTTCCGTCAAGGTTTTTAGGAAATGTGATGAAAAGTTTTAAGGTTTGAAGCAGTGTTGTCCTAACTGAGTACTGAAGACATGAAGAATTTTTCGTCATAAAATTGCTAAATCCCGAAGCTCCTAGAAATACATTTAAGCAAAATTCTGATAATAGAGATTTTTACAAAAAAAATTAAAGGTGTGCCATGGCACCAAAAAGTTTGAACAACACTGGTTTGAAGGGACAGTTCCACCTAGGCTATTATCCAAGTAGGAGGTTCCTTGACTTTAGATAGATTTTAGAGCGTTTATTTAAAATTTAAGTTTACCATTTTACATAAAGAGCAGACCAGACTTAAAACCATTGTAAGTCATTTTTTCTGATAGAAGAAAACCAAACCCCAGACATGTATCATCATAGAAAATCACAGAATTTCTCACAATTTTCTCATCATCACGCAGAAATTATTAATAAAATTCAGAGAATTTTTTTATAATTTAAACCTTCATAAAGAGGAACTATTAGTTCTTCATCACATCCACATTCCGTTCATTTTTATTAACATTGAAGGAATTTTTTCTAATCAAGGACAATATCATACTTCACATGTGTATGATTCACACTCTTCGATTCGCATCATTTTATTTATAGCGTGAAATTTTCCATAACAAATCCGCTTTATTCATAGAAGCATGCTAAACGTCATTAGTCAACATCTTTATAACTGAGACGAACTGAAAAGGATTAATTATTAATAATAATTATAGAAAAATACAAAAATATTATTCGCACACAGAAAATACCATTGATTCACTGACTATATGACCTTAGTATCAACTAATGATGATATTGAAACATTTTTTATTTCTCTTGAAATTTAAATGAATGCAGTTCAGTTTTAAAATATCATTCGTTATGATTTCATACGATTGTGTAAGCTTGAATTAAATAATCATTATGCCAGGACATTTTCCTTGAACATTTCATGTACTTACAGCAAAATAAGTTATTGAAAGCATGTTCGGTGTGTGTAATTTTAATGCAAAAATTTCAGGCTTGAAACAAAAATGACTTAATTTTACGATTTTCGACTGATTCTTGTTTTTACAAATTTATTAATAGAAAAGCATGCAGATTGATGAATTAATATTAAACAATTTTATTCATCACGTCGACAGCAAAATTAAAGTAAAAACATGACTGGTGTCTCATATGCATTCTATTTTAATGATTCTATAAATTAAAATTTAAATTGCATCTTTTACCTGAGCTACTAGAAAGCTTTCCTTACTGAGGAGATAAGATAGATCGTTGTCAGCTAATGGGGCACTCAGCAACAGCATTTTTCTTCAGATTTTATATAGTTATTCTAAGACAAGAGAATGCAATAAAAGAAATCTTGTAGCTTATAATGTGGTGAGTCAGATGACTTTATGATATTAAATATCGGGAAATGTTTAATTGTGATGTACTAAATAAATAAATCTATCCTTTATTTTCTCACGTCTTCAAAGTCGCGTGCTGAGAAGCAATCGATTAAGTCATAGCAACAATCTGAAGTTATTTATTACATTACGCACATTGTAATCTTAAAGATTATACAATAGCTATAAGAAATCCCTAATAAGGAAGCAAAAAGTCACAACATTAATTATTTTAAGTTCTAACTTAGCAAAAGATTTCTTAAGTGACAATCTCGACTTCGTGATTAAAGATCTGTTGCATTATTTTTCTCAATAAATGAGTCCATATGAAGCAATTCATTATAATGTGTGAACAAAGGAGAATTTTTATTATTGTGCAAGGTTGTGGATGACTAAAGTGGAGATATATTTTACCTTTATGCAGGAAGAAATTTTTTTTATGGCTGGCATTGAAAATTACTCAATTCTTGGGTATTAAAAATTTTTAAAACATACGTAATAAATCTTGAGAAATTCTTTAGATCCTTAAACAATTTGAAAATGCAAATTATGTGCCTTATGAGACTATGATTTAGTTCCCACATAAATAATCGCCTATCAGATTTTTTAAAGCGTTTGTAATTTAATTTAATAAATCGCACACGTTTTTTCTTCAAATTCTGATGAAAAATGTCTCTAGCAAAATTAAATTAATTATGTTTACTCAAGATATCCTTTTGTGTTGTGAAATATGTCATATTCTTAATCTGAACTTAGATATGAAGTATCAAATAAATTTTGACAGTAAGCAGAATATCTCAAACCACATCTTTTCTGAAGGTTAATGAATAGCAAATTAAAAATATAACATTTTTAAGGAGCATTTAGAAAAAATTCCAATAGAATTTTTAAGTATTAGTTCAATTTATCAATTGACAAACCTCTAAGCTGATTACCTGAAAACAGCATAAGAAAGAGAATCAATGATTCATTCATGTGATATACAAATTGTAATAAAAAGCCTTTTAATAGGAACTAATTTATTGTTTGTTATAAATGGTTATGTGACACAATAAAGCACGCCAAAGTGTGAAAACGAAGCAGAGAGGTAGAGGTAAAGGTACCTATGTGGTGAAAAAGATGAGGAATCATAAAAAAGAAGGAACAAAGAACATTTTTTTAACTTGCGGTAAATATAACATAACAAGGCACAAAAAGAATTTGCGGATCAAAGAGGAATTCACAAGAACTGAAATTGATGTTAGGCACATGTACAAGAAAGATATCACTGACCTACCGTAAGGAGGTTTTGAAATCACATTTCATTGTATCAAGGCATGAGTTTAATAAGGCAATTGCATAATCGGTTAAAGAATGAATGTAAGTTGGGGAGTTTCTAGTGATATTTCTTAAAAACATGTTGCTGGAACTATCCTGTTCCATTGTTTAGCATAAATGTTTAAACCTTATTGTTACAGTTTCTAAATTGCATAATTTTTATTTTTGCTCAACGCAGTCACAAAATATCATCTGATCATAAAATATTCACCGACTCGTGAGCTTTTGGAATTACAACTGAGAGAATTAAGCTTTTTGAGAATCATGACGTCATTAGTCGGCAAACACAATCAAAGATCTTTGTGTTGGTGTTACTAACACAAGTATATTAGATGTGAGCTTTTTGAGAAAGCTCTAAAAAAAAGCTCAACTTCATTTCTTTAGTTCAAGTTGTCTCGCTGATTTTATTTTCATGCTTATTTTCGTTGGAGTCTCCCTTCTCCCATTCACAATGAAAAAATTATATTTCAAAATTAGTTTAACCGCGAAAGCCGTCGAGTGCGCATGCTAGAAGAGGAAATTCCTGAGAATGCGCTGTGCGATAATTACACTGTAACAGGAAGAAAAAAAAAGGATTTTTTTGTAGCAGTGCAGTGTGTGCATGTTCGTACGAGTTTTTAAGAATTAAACTTAATAATTTTTGTGACAAAAAAAAATTAAGAACAAAAAAAAATTCTGAATTTAAAAAAAAAGTTCTAAAAGGACGCCAAAAAGGATTAAAACAATTACGTTATAAATTTCATCATCAAAGTGTCAAGTTGATTTTATTTTATTATAATTATCACGTACTTATTGGATTACGATTACATCCAACTTAAATTGTGAAACAAAATAAAAAGGTAAAAAAATTATAAAAAAAGTAAAAAATAATATTTTTTGCATACATTACCTTAAATGTGAAAGTTTCTTATTTCCTTTGCATTGAGTGTCAATTTTAATTTTTTTTTGTTGATTGTGAAATGTTGCTTGCCTTTATGGTCGATCATACATTGTAGGATACATCCATTAGTATCCTAGAAAAGATATTGTGAAATAAAACTTACTGCCAAGATCTTGTGCTTTTTTACAGATTTTGGTGACAATTTTTTTTGGCAAAATTTAAAAACACAAAAAAATTAAAAAATTGAAAAATTTAACGACTTTTTTAACTTTGAATAAAAATGAAGACAAAAAATAATAGAGATGAAAAATTAAAAGAATAAGATTCTTAGGATTTTTGAGTATTCTTTTATCTGTGGCAACTTAGCAACAGCTGAACGAAGCTGAGCATTACTCCAATAATGGAAAGATGAAAAGAACTTTTTTAAGAATAGTGTAGATCATTGTGTTCGTTAAGTGATGCCATCTATTACTTCTGTCTGCAAAATGTACTTCTTTATAAGGAAGCCAAAGTGTAGAAAGGGGCAATAAGTGCGGAAGTAAGAACGTTCTGACTTTGCAAAAAAAAAAAAAATATCATCCAAGATTGTTTTGACGCCCTGCTCCTAAAATAATTGAATGTTTAAGTATATGAACCCTAATTTCTAGGCTAAAATAATAAAGTTAACTTATCAAAAAATTACAAATCTTATCAAATAAATTTTTTGCTCGAAATATTTTACTATATACAAGTTCCTTCTCTAGCCAAAAAAGTTTGGAATTGAATATTCATGTCTGTTTTACAATTTATTGCTTCTTGATTGAAATGTTGATATGACAGGTGCCAATTTTTATGTTTCATTTCCTATTTTGCATTTTATTCCTTTTAGACTAGTTCTGAAATTCAAATTATTTCTTCCCCTTCTGCATTGAAGGGCCATGGTTTAAAAAAACTATAGATACTTTACAAAAAATTTCAATCTAAGGTCAAGTTTAGGGCGTTTACTTTACAAGCACCATAAAAATATCTTTTAAATTTTTTTGGTGTCATTCAATAATATTATAAAGTAACATACGACACAACTAGATACTCCTAAATCAATAAAATTGTGAAGAAAAATTGATCCAATGAAGCGACGAATATGAAAGACTTTAATCATTGCATAAGCAACCAACCTGTTTTAATAGCAATGAATTTTTAAAGAGACACAATTTTTTTTCGAAAAAAAATGTAAAAAGTCGCCTTCAGCATGGCATTAAGAGACGAAAAACACAAATTTAAATATTTAAAGAAAAAAAAAATAACTAGATAGAGTCGGTCAATCAAGATGACTATGGCGATGATGACGATTGGTTTTGTGTATGTGTTGAATGTTAAAGTTCAGAATGATTTGTCAATAGATTCAATTTGAGGCAATAAATCTAGTAAGACAAAATCTAATAAAGTTAGCAATTCATCATCTAAATCCATGTAAAGTGATTCAACAATTGCGTAAATCGAGTAGTTGACATCTGACAAAGATATTGTATGAAAAGAAAGACAAGAAAAAATTGTGACAATATTTGTCTTGCATAACAGATTTAATGATGTGAGATGTGAGAAATATCATCAGTTTTAAATTCAGTTTTTTAATTTAAATCGAGTTGCTTATTAGGTGACTTATAAAGTAGAATATTTTGTCACCAAAAACTAGTATCTGTAGAATAAGTGACCTTTCTCGATAAATCCGATAAGTCTTGATTTAGCCTCAGAATCGCTTACAGATGCAGCCCAAAGCTATTCGCAAAATCACAGATACAATCTCATTAAAATGATCAACTTTTAATGAGTCTTTTCGTCTGTATTTATCAGATTATGCCAAATCATAGTTTTAACGCAGTTATCAACTCTGAACTGCATGCAGTCTGTATTAATGCAATGAATTGAAGTGACGAAATACTGAAAGAATTCCAATTCATTGCAATAAAAAGCAGACAGAAAGTATTTCCGAAGTGCTCGATTGAAAAGAAATAATCGAAATTGATTAACTGGAAATATGAAGAAATGCAAATGAAGTCTATAATAATGAAAATATTTCATACGTAAAAGGGAAGTCGGAACAATCAGAGAGAATCCATCTGTATCCATCCGAATGCTTTCATTCAATAAACTTTTTCTTTAAATGTGAATGCTTAAAAGTCAAAGTTATGCAGAATAAATTTTTTGTTTTAAATGCAAGTGTAATTTATTTATAATTCCTGTCTTTGGATTATAGACACGAGTTAGTTTTAAAAGAAAATATTTTTGAAAATGTTTCAAAATGAATTGACTAATAAACTTCAATTGCGAATGTTTCGGTGAATGCAAATCAATAAAAAGAATAAATTTTTGTGTATTGTGATGAAATTTTGGCATTTCTCATTTTTCGATTGAATGAATTTGCATTATTGGATTTTGTTACATGAACTGATTTTAAAATTGTGAGAATAGGAAAAGCCTTAGCTTCCGATCTTTTCATTGAAGAACAATTCTGTGAATTTTTATCTCAAGTTTCTCCAACTTTGCAGATTTTTTATTTTGTATAATAATGAGAATATCATGTTAATGTAATTAATACTTATAAAATTTAAATCTGCATTATTTCTAGTCGTAACATTTTACAGCCTTCCTAGCTTGATTGAAATTTGCAATTAAAATGATAATTTTTGGTCAAAGAGAATGATAAAAATGGCACACCTGACAATGACTAACATACACGAATTTGTTTGTATTCAACAAATTAATATGATAATATCTAGTCTTAGAAACAGGTCTTTGAACATAAATGACTAGTTTTTTTTGTGATTATACCGGAATTTTATTCAAAATTTATCAAATATCGCGTTGAAAATGGACTAGCAAATTTTTTAAGGCTTCCAAAAATTGAAAAACAATCAGTTGAAAATATTGCAAGATTTTAAATTAAAGATGTGAAAACAACAGGATTTACGGAATTGTTTGGCAATGCTAATCTAAAATATTTTAAGTCCTTTTTGTAAGGGTATGTTAAATAAAAAGTGTAAATCCTGGTTTATTTTTTTATTTAAAAGCACTGATTTGAAGTTATTTAAATTAAAAATGATAATTTTTTAAGAGTTAATTCACTAATTTTTAACACACACCAGTCGATTGCAGTCCTTTAAAAGCATCAAAAATTTGTGGAATGTTATAGAAAAATTTAGAAAAGAATTTTAATGTTTGATCAAAACATTTTAACAGAAAATCTTGAGAAATATTTTAAACCTCGAAATGACTCTATTTTTGGACAGCAGTGGTGACCTTAAAAATGTTTATCATCTCTATTATAAACTTAAGTTGTGGTATTAATTAAATTAAGACATTCAGTTTCAAAAAAACAATGCCTGCAATTTCTTCCAAAAGTTCTGCACGACTTTAACTATAACTTTTTTATTCTACACGGTAAATTCTTACAACACACTAACCATACTGTGCGGTATTATTTTTTTACAGTACTCGAAGGTCATGCCAACTTTTGAATCGCTGAAAGTAGGAGTGCTTGAAATTTCTGTCATATCCAATATTTATTTTCGTATATCTTAAACACAAAATGATGTAAGATAAAAGATTTAAATTAGAAACTATAATTTTTTGCATTTCAAGGTCCGACATTCATATTTGATATATAGATTAATAAATTTTCCATATCAGGTAAATAAATGTCAACTGCTTGCGATTTAAATTTTGCAGCCTCAAATGCTAAATATTTGCATTTTCTGGTATCAATTTGTTGCGGCATTGATGCACATTTGAACTGCCGTCAACCCATATGGCAATAATAATTTTTTATTCATGCATGATTGTCCAAATTTTTTTTCACATTAAACTTCTTTCTGAAGAAATAACTGTACACAGTAAAAATCACTTCTAAATGTTCTGACCTCTTCTGACTAATAAGAACCACAGCTATTAATCTGAAACAAATTACAGCCATAAAGAAGAAAGAGGAACAAAAGAGATTTTTTTTTTGAGACTCTATAAAAATCCATTAAATATTCTATTTAAGGCATTTCCCGCCTACAAATATGAACAATTTGTTGAAACAAGAAGAAGTATGAAGGAGTAATGTGAGAGAGCTGAGTAACTTGCATAATGAAGAAGAATACATTTTATCGACAAAAGTACGCTTACTTAATTGTTCAGCTCATTTGCGCGTGTGTATTTTTGCCACTTTTTTTGCGCCCATTCTTCTTTATTCTGGACGGTAATAAATATCTTATGTGTTTAGTACCTGATGAATAAAAAAATCATTTTACTGGACACGGGTCGAACTATTCTTAGCCACTTAAATGAGAAAATCTTGTTCTTCGTTAAGCACACAAAAAAAGTCAACAGTATAATAAATTTATGAATACTAATGAACAAATCATTTAGTCACTTTCAATTAAATAGACTTGACCAAATGTAGACAAATTAATTTTTTTTCTCTTTTTTTTGCGATGTTGTCAGAGATTGTTTAACACCGAATTTCAGATCAACTTGTTGGATGAATTACTCATGAGTTGAGTTTTTGAAAAGTGAAGCTTTGGATATGAAGTTGTTTTAATCATGTCAAGTTCAATTTGATATTTTGATACTTTTTGAGATATTAAATAATTTTATTGAAATTTGTGTACTGGTTCTCAAGTTTACGTAGAAAAGTCTGATCCAAAACCACCAAAATTTACTAGACTTGCAACTCATAAGAGCTTTTGAACGCGCGCGTATCTGTTTAATAATAAAATTTATCAATTAATATGAAATATCTACCTATATGAGGCATTAACGCTCTATATAAACAATTTAATATGAGCAAACATTACAGCTTGTACTATTTCGTGATAGAGAAACTAAAAAGCTCTCATAAATCAATTAGTGAGCTGCCAGACGTATTGTTTGTTAAAGTTATTGACAAAAACCATGTCATGTGTTGCAATCCAAAATTAAAAAAATACCTACAAAATAGTAGCTGAGATATTCTGGTGAAACAGTCGCTTTTATTTGTGGGAAACTTTTCACAATTGCATAAATCTTAAATTCATTAAGTTATTGATTTTCAATCAAGATTTTTAGTCTTGTCTTAAAAAACTATTTTTCTGCATGTATAAAGACTGAATGTAGATAATCAACCTTAAAAGATGCAGATGTAAGACGTCCAATTATCGCTGTATGATACGATTATTTTTAGTATCATAATAATAATATTTTTTCAAGTCATAATACATTCATAGAGAGCATGTACAGCTCATGAACGAAACACAAAAAAATTCACTTCAATTTTAATCATTATCAGCCACATTACGGGGCGCGCGAGAGAGAGCAGCAAACTTGATCTGATCTGAAGGCTATCAAGATATCGGAGCGTGCAAAATATACAACAAAAAGTCGAATGCAATTTTATTATTGTAAGTGGCATGGCTATTCTAGTTATAATGTGTAATATCAACCTAACACCAAATCAGCAACGACTTTATTATCCATTAAAATAGTTCACTCGACAAAGATATGCATTGAAAAAAATTAAATTCAATTAAATTTAGCATTGTTCTACATAAATATTAAATTCTAAATTCCATCTCAGCTTTATCTGTCTACGTAGATATCGATATATGCAACTCTGATTGGCTAGAATGGCATAAACCACGATTATTGTTAAGGATACGAATTATTTTTTGACGTCTTGTATTACATATCGTGTATGCTATATTCTATTTAATTCTATTAAGCACATTCGAAAGGGAATCGAGGATAGAATATATAGAAATAAAAATTATAGTCGAGACTTCAAAATTTTTGTGCAAAAGAAACCGATAGAAAAATAAAAATATTTGTTGGGTTTTTAATTCAACCTTGATGCGATTTTACCGCACCTAGCCCGGCTGTTACTTGATTGTTGGTTTTATTCTCTCACTATGTGTATCTACAGCATAAAAACAGTAAACCCATAAATTTTTTGTTTCAAACAAATTTTTTATTTTCATTGCATTTTGTTAATTGTTTGATAAATGATGTGTCCTTGCTGCTTGATCAAGGGGGAAAATTGGTGGCAAATAAAGAAATCGAATTTCATGAGCTTCTCTTTGTCTTAAAACTTATTCAATGTAAAGCTTTACTCAACACTACAATGTATGACAAAATGAATGGAATTTAAATAAACTTTATTTAAAGTGATAATTAAAACTCAATATTTCTCTCTCAAGTGTTACTTTAGAAAGTTATGTTGATATATATTTAGGAAGTGTTCAGATTCTTAACATGCTGATTTGCTTGATTGTCAATTTTTCAGTTCGAGAACGTTTAAAGTTCCAATTTAATGAGTAGAATAATTACTGATCAGTCTTCTAGAATGAATGCAATCAAGTGAAACAGAAATTAATCAACAGGTCTTGCGAATCGACACATACATTTTTGCGTATAGGAAGAAAAATTGAAAACCGTGTGGAACAATTTATTAACATATTATTTTTTTTTCAAAGCGGAGGATTATAAATAAATTGAGACACATTTTGTAAGTTAGAACATGAAGTTGAGCAGTCAACTATTGATTGAACAAAAATCTCGTCTAGGTGTAGACTGTATAACCTTGACAAATTTATATTTTTATTGCGCTGTACTGAAATGTTGTACTCACAAAATTTTCTAAACGTTAAAAAATCGATCGAAAATAATCAGTTTACGTGCTGCGAGTCTTTTTAATAAAAATATAAGGGATTGTTCATTAGTGACGAAGAATTATAGAAAGTACTTCAATAGTAATAAAGACCTTTCATATGAAACCCATCAATCATCTTCTTTAAGCGCCCACAATTTTCATTAACATCATTTCATATCTAAATGTCCTTCACAATGATGAAGGGAAACAATTTTATGGCACTTAAATCAAACTTCCATATTTTCATAAGGGTACTGATTCGACCAGATACTAAACAAACTTTATCTTGACATTTCTGAGCAAACAAAGCCTCTTGAGAATCTCTTGATGCTATTCAAGACCAAGATTTACATTTACCTTTTTACTTATTTTTTTCGAGTCTCAACTGGTGACATCTTAAATATTTATGACATTTCTCTTAGACACTATAAATTTGAAAATTTACTTTGGGATTGGATATTAAAAAGTTTCAGTTTCAAAGTCAGTGTGAAATTCTAAAACAGACCTAAATAGTGTTAAATGACCATTTTTATTGCTGCATTCCATAGTAAACTTAGTAATTTTACGAGACGATAAATTCTGGATTGAGGTTTAAGAAGATGATGCTTTAATCTCATTTTTATAGCGTGGATATATAAAACTTTTTATATCCCTGTAAACAGGACTTGAAAGTGTGACCTTTAAATTGGAAAGATTGCATCAATAGCTATCGAAACTATCGACAGCAACAAAAAATGAATTTTCTGGATCTTTGTACTTTGAAATGTGTTTCTTTAAGTGAGTTCTTAAAAGAATAAATATTTATTGAATTGTTATTTTTTGGTGGACATAGCACAAGACCTTTGATATTTTTATTTTGTACAAAATGTAATCGTATAATGTCAAGGTTGTCGTTCAACTTGACAGCTTCACTGTGTTTTTTGCATAAAAGCGACAGCTCAAGCAAGTTTCCAAATCGAACAAAATAGCTATAAAAATTATCTTTGACGCAAATTCATGAAAAAAATGTGAAAAATAGCAGCAAAATTACGCTGCACTTAATTTCATAATTTTTTGACGCTTGACTTAAATGCAATAATTACTTAATTCCATTTTTTTCTCTTATTTTAATTACAGTAAAATAAATTAGCTCACAATATCACTCAATTTGCAAATATCACACAAAAATAAAAAGCTCAAAAATGGTGTCGAGGCGTAAAATATTGAATCGGTCGAGAGACGATCTAAACATGGACCAGGAAGAAGAAGACATTTGGTTTAATAAAGATAAACTATTCAAGGTAAGTTGCATTAGTTAAAAACAGATGTTGCATGCTTAATACAGAAGAGTTGACATTTATCAAGTGGAAATATGCAAATTTTGATTTATGTCGGTAGATTTATTATTCGATTGAGCAATAATGCAGTCGAGAATTGATGGTAAATTGAATTTTGATATAGAAAAGAAAGATCATCAATTTTGTTAAACAGTTATTGATTGTAAAATTCATCCATGGGTGTGAATAGACATTGCTATACCAAATTAACAGCATGTGGTTAGGAATGTAGAATTTTATTGGAATTTCTATGAAAGATGTGTAAAAAGGACAGATTTAAAAATGACATAAATAAGGACTTCAGTAAAACACTTTATTAGGCAGACGAAACTTTTGTTATATCAAGTTTAAGTCCTTCTTGGAGCTTGCTTTGACATTTTAAAACTTTGTTTACAACCATTCTTATTTCTTTCATAAAATTCTTGATTGAAGCTAGCTTGGTGCTGCTCATAAAGTCGATGTTTCTACGCTTAAGGTCTTTGAGATTGTTAATTACAAGAATTTAAATTTCGAAACAAAATAACGACTTTTTAGTAAAATAACAATGTTCAATCATTTCCTTGCTAAGCCAACCAACAATTACCAATTTATCGGCAAAAAATCAAAACATTCCACAACATATCAACTCAGCAATTCAATAATTTGTTAATATTAATGACCAATGAACTTTCAAGTACACAAAAAGAAGCTGAAAAAGCTACAAAAAAATTTGTCGAAAACATGAAAATACTTTTTATTTGTGGTAGAAATCAATTGATTCAATAATCGCATTAAACTACATTATCGCATTATTCGATACAGCAACAAAGAGGAGAAAAATACGCGTAATCAAAGTAATAAGTTGTTGATAAATGATGGCATCTAACGTTTATTGGGTTTGGTCTTAAATGCTTGAAGGGAATTTTTGCATTTGAAAAAAAAATTAATTTCAAATGAAAGTTGTGCAAGTCCCCGAATAGCTTAAAGCATTGAAGGTTAAATGCTTGAATTAATTTTTCGAGGAAAAAATTCTTGAAAAAGCAAAAAAAAAAATATTTTGCAGACTGATTGGAATTTAGCTTCATTAAGCTTTCAAAAGAGAATTGCGGAAGTTATTGAGAATTTAATCCATCAGTTCAAAGCTATTATCCGACAGCTTGAACTCATTTAACTTTTTCCTTTGATTAATTTCTTCCCTTTTTCTATTAACGAACGTTAACCTTAAAGAAATGTTCATGTTAGAGTTGTGCATTTTCTACTTGAAGTTCCTCATCAATTTAAAATTTGAAGCCAATGATATCACAAAGGTGCATCAAGCAATTGCGAGAGGAGTATTCGGTTAACAACTTAATTTAAAAAATTATGTTTTTTTTACTTAAAATATCTTTGTGTATATATCAAAAAATATTGCAAGGCTTTGGAAATGAAACAGGCAGATACTCAAAAACGATTAAAGCAGAAAGGCCAAACTCATAAACAATCAAAAATTTATTTTGTCTTTCCTTCTTGCAATTGCCATTTCATGCTAATAACTTTTGTCTTCTGGACACAATTCTGGATTTGGAGCAGAACTAAAACGGGATTAACCTGGCTCCTTACAATTTATTGTACTGCCGAGGATGAAAGAAGATAAAAAAGATTTTATGTCTTGATCAAAATGCGTAAATCTTTAAACATTTCTCATTCTGCGGCATTTCCAAAAATTCAACATTGTAATTATTTTATTTGGAGGCTGGTAAATGGCAAAGCCTGTAAAATTTATGTTTATATGATCGAGATATTTTTCTGGCTTAATTTCGATGAATTTAACTTTCTGCGTTAATCGACTAAGGGGCCATTCACTTATTACGTAACGCTTTTAGGGGGGGAGGGGGGTCTAAGATTTTGTTACGGTTCAAACAAGGAAATTTTTTTTTCATACAAATTTTGTTACGAGGGGGGGGGGGGGTCTAAAAAGTCATTTTTTCGCGTTACGTAATAAGTGAACAGCCCCTAACATATTTTGATAATTTTATGAGCAGTTAATGTACGTGAATTTTATCAGCTTGATCTCTATAATTTTCAAGCAGCAATCTCTTGAGGTAAATATAGCAAGGTGTTCGAGTTATTGAGATATAAATTTTACGGAAATTAAGCATGTAGCCGGAATCTTGAATCTTTGAACTAATAATTTTGATGTTATTTGAGGAAAATTGATAATGTTATGATTATTGCCTTAAAAGTTGAAAGAATCATGGTCGATGTTCTGGTGGTCTGTGCTTAATTAAAGTTAATTCCGGTACTTTGTTCATTTTTCGTGCGAGAAAATGATTTATGAAAAATTTCGAGCATGCATTGAACTTTATTCCACAAAAATATTCATCACCAGCAAGTCAGCACCAGAAATGTCATCAAATGCCAACAAACACCATGGTACCCGCATAAAATACCATTTACCTTCGAAACTTTGTCAGCAGGTCAACAAATTCTGTAGAAAAATATTTTCCATTAAATATCCTCGTTTTAAAAACCTACATGCTGTTTTCCAAGCTGTTATAATAATTAATATAAATTATTTAATAATAATGATCGCAATCACAACGTGCAAAATGTTTACTGCTTAGAAGATTTTGTTTTAACATTCAACTTAATGAGTTTTTAATAATTTTAAATGTCTTCAACATTTAGCTTGTAGCTACCTCTCTAATATTATTCTAGTCGGGAGAAAACAAATTGCATCGATTGAGAACATTTTTATAATAATTAAATTTGCGCGCATAAGATGAAGGTTTGAACGTGTAGCTTTTAATATGAGTTGTTTCATTATTTTTCTAAATTTTTGAGAGTTTTGTCGAATGAGGTATTAAAAAAATCCAGAGTTGCTTTCTGTGTGTGTTTGATTGAGAATTTTTAAGAACATGTGTTGAGACAAAAAAGAGTACGCAAACCAGCACATATCACAATTAATAAAGCCCAAAGCCTTATAATTTATTTTATACACGTTCAAACTCTCCTCTTCCTCTTGTGTGACCAAAAAACTCAGAAGAGTTAAAAAGAAGAGAAGATAAATTTTAGCAAAATAAAAATGGATCATTTGATAGTTACTTTGCCGCATGCATTTCTTGTGCGGTGTTTACAGGGTGAAATGTTTGCACCTAAATTCCAATGTCTTTGTATCCACCGTTTATAGAGTGAACAGTGGAGTAAAAGAAAGAAAAACAAAAGATTTAGCGCACATTGCCTAATTTACTTTATAACATCACCTGAGTCTAATGCCGTCGTGATTGTCTTATGCTGTTTTTATTGACTGACTGCACAGGCACCTATTAAATATTCCGATTGCATTTTTTCGCGATACAAATTTGGTGAGCATTAAAAGGCATGAAGCATAGCAACGAAAGTGCTCTAAATCATTTTTTGGGGCCGAATGGTGCATGGTATGAACTAATTGACGACAAATTGTTGTTTATTGCTGTCGTCGTTCACGATTCTGACACGTTTTCATTAAAACCAAATTATTCTCCTTTTTCTTTCACATTCTCGATAGTTCTTGGATATTATGCCTAAATTATACCCCAAAGATTGCCACCACAGGAGAAGATAATTTAATTTTTTCGGGATAAGTTTCTCTCATATGATAAAGAGCTATAAATCAATACAATGTGACGTAAGAAGAGAATGAAGAAGTAGAAGAAAAATGATCCATTGCATGTGAGATCGTGATGTTGTTGAACTCGTTACTTTCAATTGTTGTCTCTCGTTCTGCTCACATAAGAAATGAACATTTGACCATAGGATTGGTTTATGCTCTCCATCCACATATACATTTCACTTTCGAAGAATTATTGTTCCATAAAGAAAAGTGAATGTTACGTTTGCTTGAGGAAGTGTATGGTTGTAAATATGGAAGCAGGTGGGTTATTTTGTAAGGTTTTAGGGCTCAATTTTCATAAGTTGCATACTTTTAAAGCTGCTTCTGAACTAAACATGGACAATATTGTGAAGGAACGTAGATCCAAAATTCTCAAGCTATCATGTCTATTATGTTGCACGCAAAGTTATTCTCAAGCCTTCATTCTCCTTTAGTCATAAATAAAGCATTATTCTCCTGATTGCTAGTCATTCATAACCTATTCAAGCTATTCTTTATGATCTTCCATTCAAAACATCCGACATGAATAAATTAATGTGGAATTCGAAGCATTCTGCACCTGACTTCATAGAATTCTTAAAAAATATATAGCTGGTAATTAAAATTGTCATAATATCGACTACTACAATAAACAATCATTAGTTAATGACTAAATAAATATATAGTCGACGATTTTACTCAATTAATATCGCTTCCATCTTAATTAACACAGAATTTATTTGTAGCCACTAGTCGAAGTATTAAATTGCATTACTTATAGTACAGACAGTCAGAGGGAAATTGAATTTCAATTTACATATTTTACTGTCAGATGGAATGCTCAAAGAATTGTCTATGGAAGCGATTTATGATCAAGGATATTTTTTTTCTGAGAAGATTATTACTTTATGTCTGTTTCCATTACCATCGAAATGAAGTGTCATAACCTTAATAAATGATTTCAGATTCATAAGAACATCTCATGTAAGGTAAAAGGATAAAGTCATGAGTCATAAACATTGTAAATGGCATGAAGAAAAATTGCATTAACAAAGATTGAAATATTCTGTATTGAATAAAAGTAAATCTTTTATGATAAATGGTTTGAGTACGCAGGCCGATGCCATAAAATATTTTGATTGGATTCATCAAGCACTGGATGTTAAAATTGCTTTGTACATAAACGTTTTTCATGTCGAAGGATTAAGTGAAATAACTTGTAAGCTTTTTCATACCTTCCTAGGAAGCAGATCAGTTTCCTTTTTTCTTGGAGAACAACATTTTAATCGAATTTTGTTGGCTTTGATTGGTTAATTTACACAAGATACATAAGTCTATTGCAGCCCATGGCCGGCTTAACACTAGAATATGCTTT